GAATTCGATTGATTCCAGCTATTATTATATAATTTGGTTATCACGGAAAAAAGAAAATACCTACTCTTTTTAGAAAATTTATTATCGGGCAACAACTATGACAGGGATAAGGGTAAGCCCGGTAAATACCGGGTAATTCAAATAGTTATTGTTATTATTATTATTATTTATTGTTTCAGCACCAACTACATTAGCTTACAATTATTATAACAATCTGGATTAGTTTATTGGAAATAGGAGAGGTGTTTATTATTATTATTGTATTGTTGCGCGGTGGAGGAAAAATGTGTAAATAAGTGCGACGAACGTTATGAAAGAAAAAAGTAAAATAATAATAATAAAAATAAAAAAATAGTGTGAAATGAATATTACCACTCGATGACGGAAATGAACGGTCCTGTAAAAGCATAAATTTTTATCTTTTCTCAGCAGGGGAAATTATTTAATCAATATTCAATAGGTAATTTATCCTTAGTAAATTCGTTACACGAAGGTATATACGATAGTTACTTGAATATAAATGTAAATTATACGAACATTTGTATTACTATACAGGAAAAAAATTACGATTTGTTCGTGTTTTTCGTTTCAAACTTTTTAGCATTTTTTTGGAGCCGATAAAAATATTATCCGCATAAAACCAAAAAAAAAAAAAACTAAAACTAAATAAACTAGACAATTTCAAATAGCTTTACAAATGACCCGAATAACGCAGCAGGATTGTTTTCAAAATACTAACACGTCTACTGCTGAAAGAAGTGGTGAACATTTCAGGTGTCTGTTTTTTCTAACAACCGATTTACAATAAAACAAAACGAAATCGAAAATAACAGAAATCATTATTGCGTGATATTCTCGTGTTGCCCTTGTTTTTCTCCTTTTTATTAAAAATCGAAAAGAAAATCGAAAAATTACCTCCCCATTGCAATGTAACTATCTAACGAGTTTCCTCGTATTATAAATTATAATATTATTAAACCATGTGAATATGACGCGTTAATTATCAATTAGACTTGAACAGTTGAATTAAAATTAATTTTCAAGTTTAAGACGAATATTTTAATTTATTAATTCGTAATACGTAAAGAAATAACTATCGTACATCTAAGTTTATTTTTTTTTTCTCCAGCATAATCAAATAGATTACACTTATAACTAAAATGCGAAATATTTTTAAATTGATAGAAATGTATGAAAATGATTAATTCATATTATATTATGCGGAATTTCAGTCGAATTTCGAAAGCGCACCCATCATCCGCCCACAGTCATACACCCATACTATTTATACACGGTTTTGCATAATTCATTAGAATTAATTTTTTTAATGGTTTTAATTGTCAGTGTCGAACTTGTTAGTTTATTCAGTTATATTTTACCGAAGTAATAAATACGAGTAGTTTATACGAATCTCAAATTCATTAGTGGAATATTAATTATCTTCCCGATTGAAATTATTATTATGCGAGTACTTGTCGCGTTTTTATTTACGATATCAATACGATATTATTGTTTATATTTTAGATTCTTGCTGAACAGCGAGAAAAAAATTGAGTAGTATTTTTTTTTTTTTAAGAACTTTAATATCAACAGTTTAATTATTACGGTTTTTTAAAATATATATATATATAACCGTACGCCTCTCAGAATCGTTTTTCGTTAGCAATAATTAACTTTTGAAAACTATATTTGAAAATTTCCAAAATTCTAACGGCGACCGATACTATACTGTGTACACAGAATGTTCAGTGACAGAATAAAATGCTATATGGTTAATAGCGGTTAGACTAGGGTTTCCGGGTATTTAATAATGATACGTGGAAAAAATTTCTGTTACCATTAATCATTTGAAAATACGTAACAGTGATCGAATTGAGTGAATCATTTGAAATAAGTACAAACATAATACATTTTTCCCAATATCAAAATAGAACGATTTATTGTGAAATCGTATATTTTAATATTTGAGTACCTATCAGAACTAATCGAATCTTATAATATTGTAAAATTAATGATAAAAGTAAAATATGAAAATGCGTATAAACAACATTAGTTAGGTAGACATACTGTAGTTATGAACACATGCACACTCTTTGCTCTGGTTTGTGACATCAAATTTCCTAGAGATCGTAAAAAGGCTTTTAGTTTAATCGGATACGAGTATATCAGGTAAATATGGAAAATATTAGTGAGAAAATATAATAAATCATATTTTTGTATATTGTGTATAATAAGGTAGGCAGCTAATGAGCAGTGCCACCAACGGGAGCCAACCAACTCCCCACCGAAACTTCTTAACAAATAAGTGCATGTGTTTTTCAGATTCAAAAAAAAACTCTGTACTGTATCGAAAACGCGATATTTGTGTAATATTAATATTAGTAATAATTTGTAATGAATTTGTATGTTTACCCACTATAAATAATAGTAAAATTGTATGTAAAAGATTTGGCTCCGCCGAGTAATAAAACGGTTTACACATTGCGCATGGCAATATTATAATGAATGTTGCTTGTTATCAGGGTTAACATGTATAATACAGTTAAGTTTAAAACACGTATTATAGGTACGCATTTTAAACATAATTTAAAACTTCTTGATTTTATTTTGGTTTTTTGATTAAATTTTTATTAATTTGTTAATAATTAATTTAAGTAATGTTTTCGATTTGATGCGCAGTTGAGAAGGTATAACACAAAAAATTGTTTTTATTTATCTATTTTTTTTTTTTAGGTGTTTTCTATTTGAAATGAAATATAATATATCAACAGTAAAAACACTTTATTATATTAATACAGAATTGAAAATACCAATGGAATATCTAGAATATCGAACATATTAAATGGAAAAAAGTTATAAACGAAGTCGACGGATATTAGATAAAATCAATATTTTACTTATAAATTTCATATGAAAAAAAATGTATACAAATGCCATAAAGTTTAATGTACGTATTAGTCATTTTGTACATTTCATACGTGGTGTAATATTATACGTGTAACGTATACGTTTAATTACCAACCCTGCTAAATTATACATTTACTGGAAAACCATCATGGCGTTCGTATCTATTCTATTCCAATAACAATCGAATATTCAGTATTATTTTAATAATGAGTTATATTTGAATATTCTTAATCAGTTACAATAAAAATGAATGGAAAAATTATTCAGGTCAAACGCTGTTTTAGTGAAAACCAAAAAAAAAACCTATTCGGTATCGCAGAACACCGTTAAATCCCAAAATCCCAAAGCAGTTCGCCGCCGCGCTTGTTATAAACCACGTCGTTGTAGGTATCGATCCACAACAAAATAAAAGCGTTTATGGCATAACTATATGCTTTGAAGATAATAACTTTTTTTTTTTTTTATCGCATTCAAATGTCCATCATTCGTTTCCTTCACGGGGGTACTTTTTTATCCTTATAATATAGTATTATTTGAGTCGACGATAATACGTTATTTCAAAATGGAACCGACAGAAAAATAAGTGCCATTTTTCACTTTGGTTAATATTCATGAATGTAAGCTGTAAATGAATGGTGATACGGTGGTGGAAGCGTAAGTAAAAATAAAAAACAAGTTTCAAGAAAAATATGTTTACTAAAAAAAAAAGACTTTGAGAAAAAAACATTGGTGATACGTGGTGTGCTAATATAATAATTTCTTTCTTATGCGATGGTATTGACGATCAGTTCAAAAAAAAAAAAAAATCATGTATTTCAACTTAGAAATATTGTAAATATTATTTCTCAAAATTATTTTAATAGTTTTTCGGTTAGGCAAATAGTTTGATATTTTCAAGTGTTATCTCAAAAAATACGGAATTTCTATATAATACTTATTTGAAACATTTATCGACAATTTCAGCAGTTCGCTCATACTTATACTTATTTTATTAAATATCTATTAGTTTTACTATAATGTGGGTTTTTATTTTTTTTTTTTATCTATCTATAAACAAATTTTTGAACGGAAAACTTAATCCAATCGAAAAATGAATCTTTCTTTAAATTAAATATTGTATCTGTATATGCATTTGTATCTTTCAATGTACAGTGCGAATAATTTGGAGCATTTTTTCAAATCAAAAAGTGTGTTTTGATATTCAATAAAAAAAAGGACGTCGCCCTCACCGTTTTCGCGGTCTTTTGGGTTTTAAAATTGTTTTTGAGAGTAGTGAATATTCAAAATTATGAGACAACGCCCCTGTAAAGACACCATGGTACACTTTGTGGACTGCTGGTATAATCTAAACTACTAAGATTTACATTAAAGAATCAAATGGATTACAAAGATATCAATTTTAAAATAATTTACAAGTCATATGAATCAAATTTTAGGAGAATTCTTACTATATTATGCTGGAACGGCATACACAAAATGTCGACCTATCTGGTTATAAGACCAGAAACTAAAAACTTTATTTTAGATTCTGAAAAGAGCGAGAATTGTATTGGTTTTACAATGATGTTTATTTTTTTTTTCTGTGGACAATTTTTCTACCAGAAATAATTTTACTCTGATTTATTATAATAGAATTTTTTATGGAAGAAAATCTGCCTGGAGAGGTAGTTTAGAAAAGTAATTTTTTGATTTTCCTAGGATTTTTCATAATAAATGGAGAAAAACGTAGAAAAAACGAAAAAATAAATTTTAAGTGAGTTTTAATAGTTTTGAATTTGAATATTTTTTTAATATTAGACAAATATTATTGAAGAAAATATTAAATTCATATATAATTATTTTATCATAATTTGACATATATATTATTTCAAAAACAATACTATCAACCAAACTCCGCATAAAATCGTTTTTTCGTTGGCAATCGTTTATCGTTGTTTACATACATATATATTAAATTATTTAAAACAGTGGCTGCGCCCGTTTCCATTATCCTAGTTCAATAATTTACGGATAGAACAAAAATCATATTGTTTGTAAAAAAGTGTGTACTTTAGTACTTACTCGTCATAGAAATCGATTTCAATTTGCCTCAAGAAATTAGTTCGTTTTAAAACGTGGCATATCGGAAAATGACGGATATAAGTGGAGAAGTACCGCAAAAACGCAGCGGTTGGCATTGCGTGATCCGCAGCGGTTTCTCAAGGCGGGCCGTTCCCTTGATATTTCACCACCGTCCGTTTCACGGCGGTACACGACTATCCGATAGGATTTTATTCCTCGGTCGTTTCTAGGTACCGCGGTTAATAATTTACGACCGAATATACGTGACGCGTGATCGCATTTCGATAGCATCGTAGAAAATCACGAACAGTAAAAAGAAAATAAAACCTGTGTGCACCTAATCGATATGCAGTGTTATCTCGTCGCCTCGCACGTGCAAGACAAATCGGACATAAATATATTATGTTTTGTATAGTCGAATACAGTATCGACGACCCGTATATTATACAGGTGCCCCACAAGGATCTGGCCGAATGCAATTACTTTTGTTCCGTTCGATATTTTCGAGTTTCTCGTGACGATATTATACTAAATACCCACGCTACGCGAATTTGATTTCTATTTATTTTTCTTCAACCACTGTGAAATTATTTAAGCCTTATTTCAAAACCATTTTTGATTTTTTACCCCTACTCCATGTACCTCTAATAAGTAAATACGATTTGATTTTAAATAAGAACCCTCCTTTTAAATACAAATTCGAATAGAGAATATTTTTATAAAAATGTTAATTTTAAACAAAATGTTGATGTTAAAAGTATCTAATGGTGAATCGTAAGTTTCTAATAACATTTGAAGTTTACGAAAAACATTATCAAAATTAATTTTCATAGCATAATCGTATTGTTATTAATATTAATAATAGCAATAAAAACAATTTAAATTTCTTAAATTTTTAAAAATAATTGTGTTAATGATTTTTGTTTAAACTACGAAAAATTGTAAAACCTTAACGATTCATCATTAGTGAATATTTTTTAATATTTTCTTTTAAAGTGTATTTATAAAAAGACTCGCTTATTTGTGTAAATATTTAAAAATGTAATTTAAATTTTAAATTTAAAAAAAAATATCGTTAATCTGAAATATTCACCGAATATTAATATTAATGCCAGTAATTTGCTTTTCCTAGACGTTGTATGATATTCGGATAATTCTGTCAATTTTTTTTTTTTTTATAACTATTTCCAATTTTTGTGTTTGACCAGCCACGTATATTATTTAAATTTTTAGATTTTGAGTGTAGCGGAAAATGTATTGGTTATAAAATGACGTTTATATATTGTTCACAATGATAGCACTTTTTTTAAAAAGAAATCTAACTGGGATGGTCCTCCTTAAAGGTAATTTTTTGATTTCCCCATGAGTTTTCTCAATAAATTGGAAAAACGTGGTAAAAATCGGGAAAACGGAAAAATAGATACAATATTAAACATATACTATTAAAGAAAATGTATAATTTATATTATACAATTATTTTACCATAATGTTACATATATAATGCTGATATAGCAATACTATCAACCGAACTCCGCTCAGAACAGTATTCCGTTGACAATGGTGAATTTTTGCGTACAGATTTACATTCCATTATACCTTCCCAACTTCTCACCTATTACAGTGGCCCACCCACGTGCGAAGTATGGCCGTCTTTTCAACTCTATACTAACTTAATAATCGTAACGGCTTCAATGAACCCTCACCATGGGATAAAGTAAAAAATGACCAGATAGAAATTGCACGATAATATTATTCATCTCATCGCTATCGTTACATCTACAGTATAACGCCGTGAATATAATAGTAATATAATTTCGCGGTAAATACTCGAAGAGTATGTCACGAGTGCGAACCTGACTTTACACTCAACTTGTGGTGTTGTTACTTTGATGGTAACGACGACGTCTACCACTCAAAAGTTGTTAGCGTATAATATTATTATGTTCGTCCTGGCTGTTGTTAGGACTCTTCGTGTACCTATATATAACAATATACAATTCCAACCATCAGAATCTCCGTACGCATAGTTGGCGTGTCAATGTGTGGAACGAATTTTAATGAAAACTGTATAATATTGTAATAAAAATCACCGAGTTCCATGTGCAGTTAGAGTTGTTTAAATTTCCGGAATTCAAGAGAGAATTTTTTCACAAATTTCTAATAAATTCCCGTATAATGGAAATGCTCCCTATGAACCGTAACGTTTAGTTAGTAAATAACTCCACACCGTTTAACTAAACTTAATTATTGACAAATAAAACATTAAACATTATGGATAATAATATATATATTATATAGCTCTTTTATTATACAGTAACACCACTATCACTTTTAAAAAAACAACTCGGATTTACGGACATACTTCTCATGATGAGTGGGATTCTGTTGTAGGTGAGAAGTTGGGAGAGTAAAGGGGAAATTCAATGTATATCTAAGCACAACGGTTAACCATAGCTATCTAAAAACGATTTTTTGCGGAGTTCGGTTAATAGTGTTGTTTTGTCAACAATATTTCTTTATTTATTTAGTAATAATTAACGGGCGGTGCTCTTCGGGATTTCAACACAATTAGGTAATATATTTGAGCTTTAAGTAAAAAGTAAGAAACATGCATAGTAATACGAATCTATATATGTATATATAAAAGCTAAATACTACTTACTCCTCACTGATTGCTATATCTCAAAAACTACATAACTTACGAAGTAGACATTTGGAACTCAGGTTTCTCTAATAATCTTAATGTACAATAAGAAACGATATTATAAATATTTAGTTTAAGTGAATTAATTAATTATAATACTTCATCACCAATCCGTATTAACAATCGAGTCATTCATTTTAAAAATAATCGGCAAATACGCACATAGAAGTATACGTATAAATGTACAATTTTTGTATTTTTATGGATTGCCATAGTGACACGCAGGATTGACGTTAAGGCAAGGCAAGTAGGGCTCACGTCCAGGGCCTCGTGCTTTTAGAAGCCCCGCTATTATAGACCCATAAAAAAGGGTAGCATAATTATTATGGGCGTAAAACTGGAAAAATGATTCAATGTAATGTATGAAATGTATCAATGTTCTTGGGAAAAACACGTACACACGTGTTTTCTTATTAAGTGTAGGGTAGTATTACAATTATTAGGTGAAAGGAGTAGTAGGCTGAAAAAAAGTCTCATAAAAATTAATTTATCCAGAGCCTCGGAAATCGTAACACTGGCCCTGGTAACAAGGATGAAATTTATTTCTATTGGTTACCATAGTAACACAGATGAAATACAAACAAATTTAAATGTTTAAAGGCTAGTAAAATTAAAAAAAAAAAAAAACCGCATGAAATATAAAATAATATTAAAAATATTTTGCATCACAAAACTGTCTAAACCAAGTAATATAGCTGGTAATAATTATAATGCTAACAAATAGGATAAACAATTAACGAAGTAAACAGTAAAGATAATTAGATAATAATAATTATGAAAACCAAGTTGTCAGAAAAAGAACTGTGCATTTCATTACCCAGCTGGTATAGGATTGTTATTCTTTGAACGAATTTTAACTTTAGTTATAAACTCATCATTGATTGTTTTGTTATTAAAATGGACGACTAATTTACCATCACCTTGTTTTAAGATCCATTAAAAAAACATTATTAATCATATCTAATGGACAATTGATGTCTAAAATATATGATACTTTTTTTACAATACTGATTTGGTTTTCATCTTTAGTAACAGGTACTGCATTTAAAGTAATATTATTACATAAAAGTATTTGTTCAATTTGATTATTCTCACATTTTAAATCAATAACCCACTTCGAAAGTACTCAACATTACTTCCATTTGCGATATTTTCTTATCAAGATCATAACGGTTTCTGATATTAAGTCCAATTATCGATTTTGTTGGAACTAAAAGAAACCGAATTTTCCAAAGCAACTACTATAGAAAGTACTTTGGAAATATCATCCCTTATCAGTACTATATTTAGATCTCCATCATTAACAGAGATATGCTTTTATAGATTAGTAAGATTTTTTTCCACTTTTGGTAAAGAACTGCATAACTCACATACCCATGAATACTCAGAAAACTGTGAATCGAAATTTAGCAGCACATTTAGCATGAAATATTCCATTAAACCTTGAGCAGACAATTTTATTTTTGCTAGGAGAAGCCGATAAATTACATTTATCACAGGTACTCGATATAGTAGCTGCATAAACGACAACGCACACGAACAAAGCAAAGGTGACTGGACCGAACGACACGCCATGCGACGCGCGACGTCCAGATAAAAATTGATTATAAAGATTATAAAGGAGGAACCCTGATTGGCAATAGACATCAGGCATCTTAACGGTTCATTTTTCATTGCTTTTAAATTGGCGAATATGAAAAGTCATAGCTATACAGGTAGAAAATTGCGAAACTTTAAAGTTTATAAGGGATAAAAGAGTAAGAGAGTCAATATCATTTGATAACAGACCACTTAGGAAAGTCTTACCTAACATCCGTCTACGATCAGCTAGAAATTTAAGGTCAAGAACCTTTAAGACTAGAGTGTAATCGTGTTTGGGACATTGAATGCCTAAAATAAAATTTAAGTTCTTTAAAAATTTATGTTGGACTCTTTCAATCTGCAAAGAACCATTTGTAGTATGTGAGTTCCAAATTAGTGAACCGTATTCCAAAATGGGTATCACAAATGCACAATATAAAGTTTTGACCGTGTATTTTAGAAAAATTCCTTAAGTCAGTTTCATTACGAACCCTAGAGTTTTCAACCACTTGCAAGATCATATTATAGTAAAATAAATACATATGTAGGTACTACGCATTATATATTTTCCTCAATAATATTTGTCTAATATTGTACCTATTTTTCCGGTTTTTCTAGTTCATTATGAAAAATCCTCAGAATTTAAAAGGAACGTTAATTTGTGTCTGTGAATACGAGTCAGTTTAAAAGTATACGAATATATGTTATTGCATAGTAATGGGGAAGGAGGTAATGGGGATAGATCCCCAGAGCCTTGTTTAAATATTATATAATGTACCTTCGAAAACCTAATTTTGTTTGACAGTTTTTTTTTTTTAAATAAAGTATCATTTAGTGAAAAATACGCATCTTTTAATCTTTTAAGGTCTTATGGGAATAATTATGAACATTTTTACTAACTGTAAAAGTATTTTCCTGGAAAAAGTAGTTCAAATAATGTATTAACAGCGAAAATTCTACATTATTTAAGGAACTGTATGAAAAAGTCAGATTATTTCATTTACCGAAAAATTATTTTTAAAGTAATAATAAAGTTCAATTTTCGGAAAAAATATCGAACATTTCAAAAAGTGTCCAAATAACGTACTATTTGGTTAAAAATCCTCATCTTTTAATGTATGGCAAGACAAAATAGAGTTAAATTTGCTAACCGAAAATTTTTTCTGACAAATTTAAAACCAATTCTAGTATAACTAATAGCTTTTTCTAAACTCCAAATCTAAAACAGAAAGCTGTATGGAGAAAGAGCGAGGTCCCCGTATGATATTAACCTAACAAATTATCCATATCCTCTTTCTTCTAAACAATCTAACCAAAACTATGCTATTGAACGTATGACTAGTTGATACAGTGAACAAAATATAGATTTTAAAATTTAGTGAACATAATAATAGGTTGTGGGAATGTTCCCGATAGTTCTTTGAACATATTACCACGGTACATGTTTTGCGGTCGAATTTGTGTGCCTACAAACCTCGAAGAAAAGTGTTTTCATCGGGTATTATATAAATTACAATGTTATCATGGGCGTCGATTGAATAGCGGATAAAGGCGAAATATTGTCACTACTGAATTTATCCTACATATTATATATATATAGTATTATAATTAATAGTTTATTAGAATCGAAAAAGGTCAACAATATTGAAAAATATAATTCGAAATAATACATTGACCGCAGTCGATTTTTGAATGTTACATCTGCGCTTTTAATGCGGCTAAGGCCCTAAGGGTTTATAATAATAATATTTTATTGCGATCGTTTTGCCCATCAAACGAGATAACGCGTGGTCTATTTTCCGTTTCGGGCAAATCAATAAAATATTATAACCGCCGACATAAATTATTATAAAGTTAGCTAATCGAGTTTATTTAAACGCCTGATAAAGTATTACGAAGAAAATACAAATATAAAATACGGAAATCGTTTATAGTTGAAAATTTTCAATTTTCAATTAAACAGAACAGTATAAAACAGACATTTTGGCATATTCAGTTTCATAATTGTTTAACGAAAATAGGCGATTTATTTCGGCACTGGATTTATGATTCAAACTGGTCCACGAACCTGCACAAATCAAAGATGCAAATAGAATAAAAAAAAAAAAACTAGAACTGCTCAAACCTTGTTTATTTATAGTAAACTATGGTTAGTTTAGACTACTCTCCTCAACAATTATCAAACAAATGGTCAACTAAATTTGAATAAAAATTTAAATTTCAAAAACATATTGGAATTTTTAAAATATATTATATCACTATCAAAATATATTGCAAAGTATAAGCATTATATACACTACAGGTTATGAAAATTCTGGGAGTTCCAATTTTATAAATGGAAATTTCAGGTTATCTCTCCACCATTTGTGACAATGCCACAAGTTAGACATTTCTTGCACTTAAAGGACATTGAGAAAATTTTAATTTTTAACTTAAATAAATCCTTCTCAGAAGATTTGGCCGTAAAAATCAATCCGATTCATAGTAGATGATTTTAAATTACTAATAATTTGTGTACTTCGTACCTGCTGAATTAACTTAAATATTTAATGCACATAGACACATTTTAAATAAAATAATTAATAAATCAAATATTAAATACTTGAATCTATAGCTACGATGGCATCAGATTTATAGGTATTTAAATTAGACTTACTTTTATTTTTCAATTGTTCGACTGTGCAACACATAATACTATTGTAAAATAAATACTAAAACCGTAATTATTAACATGATTCCAAGTAATACAATACAATATTTATTTATGTATATTTTAGAAATTACATAATAATATAGCGGCCCACACGAAGACCGGCTCCTCGAGAAATTTTCGAATTTTTCTATTAGGCCATCTGCCCATATACCCATAAGTTTATCATATAGCTATTTATTGATTGTAATAATTTCGGTTATATTTGTGTTATATATTGTTATCATATAGAGTACAATAAATAGGGACTAGAGCAATATATGTAACCTCAGATAATATATTTTATATTATAACAGTTGTCACACTATAAATGCATGCGATAACCCTAAAATTAAATGGACGTTGTCAATGCAACCAAAATTATGAGTTCGATATTATAGTTGTTTGCAATCTAGTTAACATATAGGTATATGTTAACCCATATTATAAAGTTTTGTATACATGAGTAGACTAAAAACGGAGTAAAATATAAAAAAACGGACATACTTTGCACGATAGTTGGGCTATTGTTGTAAGTGAGAATTTGGAAAGATAGAGGAAAAATTTAACGTACGCAATGATTTATCTTTGCTAATGAAAAACAATTTTGAGCTGAATTTGTTGTATATAATTTAATATGTCATAATGTTTACAATTTAAAAATAATACATTTCGTATATTTTTCCGTTTTTCTCTCCCCCTATTTATTATGAAAACCCCTAGGAAAATAAAAAATTACTTCACTAAATATCACTCCAGTCAAATTTTCTTTTAGAAAAAAAGGTTACACTTGAAATCGGAGAAGAATTTCTGATAGAAAAATTGTTCACAAAAAGAAAATGAAAAACCATTATAAAACCAATATATTCCTCTATCAGCTCAGAATCAAAAATATTACAACAAACGCAGAAAACGATTTCAAAAAAATTAAGTGACGATTTGAATTAATAATATAAGAAGACTACACTAATACAATCATTATTTTCCGTATTCAACGATCAATATTTAAATGTTTTGAGTTTAACAAAAAAATAATATTTATCTATGACCCCTTCTTTACGGAAATATGTGTAAATATTATTATATATTCTTCGAGTAAAATATTATTTTTATATTCATTTATTTTTCTTCGAGTAAAAGCAACAGAATTCCAAGCGTGACCGCATTATTCATGTACGGCTATACATAGGGCATATTATACGTTCTACATATTATTAGAATCTACATTTATATTTTATAGTAGGATATTTGAAATATTATGATTATTAAAATGAAATACTCTGATTTATTTCTATACATATATTTTAAAGACGAAAGAAACATTCCGAGCACGTATTTGATACAAAGCGGAGTAATGACTACGTTTCAATTTTGCAATATTGTCATATTCGAAAGACTACGTTTTAACTTCTTAGTTTTAGGTAAACTATTACTATTATTATTATTTTTAATTATTTTTTTTACAAAACTACTTAAATTTATACGTTGATTGCGTTTATTGTAAAGTATACATACAGGTACTTTTGAAGTGATTTTGAGTGAAGTAAGAAAATACTGAATTTTAAAAAAAATAAGGTGGTGGTCGATATACTCAAAAGAATATTATTCTTTTAAATTCTAAATATTCAGAAAAACCACCTTTAAATGAATATATAAAAATTAGACTTCAAATACCTTTTAGAAGCTAAAGTAATTCCTAACGATTATAAACATTTCTATGATGAGTTGCCCACTATCAAGAAACGTTAACCACAAGTTTCCTCAGACGATGAGGAAACCAAATGAAGATACTATTATTTGAATAATGAAATTTTATAATAATATTTTGATAAGTTAATAAAAAGTTACACTATGTCATAATCTAGTTACTGTTAAGTTTCATTTGTTATAGAATATAAAGCAGAAATAATATTATAACTTTATTATAATTAAAAATAAAATAAAAATTGTATAAGTGTTTAAACATTACATTCTTTGAGTACAAATGTGTTAAGTACAGTTTTTATTATTATTGTTATTATTTTTTTTTAAATATATGTCTACGAGGGCATACCCAAAAGAAACCGAACTGATGTTGTGTGGGACAGAGTTTTAGTAGTACCGATTTTTTTTATAGTATACCGATAATTTTTATCATAATTACTTATTATTTGTCTAATAAAATATCACACAAAGTGCATGTTAATAAGTTACATTTTTGATTTGTTATAGACTTATAACAGTATAAACTTTAAAATCTTTCTCCTGTAAAATTACGAAAACAACACATACATCTATGCGGTATGCCATCAAATTATGTTATTATATTTTGCATCATTCCAATGTTTACAACAACAAAAACTGAGCGATTATTGTCAACTGGACAACTTGAAAATAATAAAGTCATACATGAGGAATATTATGAAAGAAGTAAATTTGTTATAAGTTATAACTATCGACTTAAACTTTTAACTTTTTAAAAAATTGTGTATTTCGTGATTATAGATTATAATACACAGAGACTGGCTTTGCTGTCTTGTCCAGAAAAGTCGAGAAAACAATAGATGAGGTTATCAATAAATATTGATTAAAATAAAAAAAATAAAGAAAAAAAAAATACAAAACAAAATTATAATTTTAATTAAAATTTAAAAATTTAAAATTGTAGTTATAAAATAGTCAACTAGTCAAATAATCGTCCACAATAATTATTGGGGCATACAAGTCACTTTCTAAAATATACGAATTGCCTCCCTATCCTCATGGTAAATAAAACGATTTTTAAATAAACTTCTTTGTTTTGATATCATTGATGTTTTTTTGTAAAATATTGTTTTCGCATTTGATGATTTTGTAATAAATCCAAAAGAAGAGCTTAACAGAAGGTTGGTAGAGGACTGCAACATTTAACATGTCTTATACCAACGAATTGCAACAGAAGAATTGCAGATGTGCCGAGTGAAAGTTTTTCTTGAAAATATGGAGGAAATTTCGAATATCGAAAACAAATCCTAGTTCCGGTTTATCGGAAACTTTTCGGTGTGGTAAATAATATTAAAAACTTTTTGATGACATCTATCATAGTTATAATCATTACCTGTATCATAATATATTCAAAATGGAAGGAAAATCTTAACCAATTAAATCTCCACCACCCCTCCCAAAAAAAAAAAAAAAAAAAAACTCTTTTTTCGATTTATTACAAAATCGTATATCAAAGCTTCTATTATGGTTATTTTCTAAAGCATGTTAAGTGAAATTTGATTTAGGGGCAGTCGTTTTCAATTTTATTTTAAAAATATGTTCTTTGTATTTTATCTTAAAATTTCCATTTGTCTTACTGACATAAAATTGTATACAATTACATTTAAGTTTATATATACCAGCATTTTCAAAGAGAGATTTTTTTTGAAGTTTTTAGTTCTATTATAAATATGATGAACTAAATTATTATTAGTCTTAAAACATATTTATATTTAATAATTTATAGTTGGTTGAATACTTCACTTGAAAATTTTATTTCGATACTTGGAAACTCGAATAGGTTCTAGACTTTTGAACTCAACTCGACTTGACTCGATTTCGAAACATCGAATTTCGCCGAACTATATTATTTATATTGAACATGAATAATACGGTTCTATACAACATGCCAGTAACGGCTGAAAGGCGATAATACCTAAAGCACACATGTGACATGTTTGTTACTGTTTGATTAATATACTGCGTATACAAATCGTATTAACAATCAAATCAATGGGATTATCTATTAATTGAATTTAAATATTTTTTTGTTTATTTTAACGGGACGTTGGGAAAATGTACTTCTTATATTATATTATTAAATAATTAGTCAAAATTATATAATAATATTCACGATTGAATTGAATGTTTTAGGGTTGTTGTGATAATATATCGATGTAGTAAGTTTTACGAAAGTAGCACAACCAATTGCCAAATTGTAAAACGTAACGTTTAAGAATAATATTGTTCAATTAACCGTCGGAAATAACGCAATGGTTTTCGGTAGTTTTTCCAAAGTTTTTGTTTATATAGGCACCTAGGTATATACACGTTTAAATTGCTCCAGAGTTTGCGATAATCGACGTGTTTAAAGTATTATGGCAATCCAATTTCCTATATACTTACTATTACTTTCCATCTCTATACTTCAAACTTTTGGATTACTTTTTTGTACGGGTGAAAAGAAAAGCCTCATAAAAAAAAAAACACAATCTATGTAGGTAATTGCTACACTATATTATATTATTTCCCATCACTAAGAGTCAAAAGAAACTTTGAAGCTTTAAGTGAAACCTTATGATAAATAGGGTGATCGAAAGTATAAAAATTGTTTTATTTTTGTTTTTCTACTAAGGTTTTATACATATCGTGCATAGAGACGTAAATATACGGTGAAATGTTTGATTTCACAATTTCATAGGTTAATCGACAATTAAATAATTACATTGATAATTAATTAACGTATTACATCCTAAAGTAGTTTTATTTTTAGTTATTTATTTCAAAAATTAACATGCGTAATCACTTTTATACAGGATTGCATGAGAACATTTCTAATATGCATTATAATATGTAATATATTTTTTATAATATATATATATATATACATTTAATGCATATATAAATGCATTCATTTGCATTAATGCATTTATAAGTATTTTACTGTAATATGGCATATATATATATATATATATATTGTTGACAAAGCATCACTATCAACCGAAATCCGCTCAGAAATTTTTTTCATAAGCTACAATGGTTTATCGTTGCTTCCGGATACAAATTAATGTCTTTTCTATATCCTACCTTACCAACTTCTCATCAACAACATTGGCTGCACTCATCGTGTGAAGTATGTCCGTCTTTTTCACTTGTGTTATTTTAGCACTGAAAATTCTGTTTATTTTTTTTTTTAAAACTTAAGAATTCCGTCTGACTGAAAAATTACAATAAAATATGTATATAGCGCGAAAGGCACATTAAGTAAATGAGAAGTTTTAAAACTATTAATATATGTGCGCAAAGAACATTTAATTCAATTATAACTACAACCAATTTCATCTAGAAGTATATACCAAGTTATAACCAGGGTCTGGGATTTTATATGCAAACGCTAATTTGTTTGAAAAGTTAAAAAATAAAGTGGAAAAACCTATTCGAATTTGACAAAAATTTGTATCGTAGCACCTACAAAATTCTAAAACTGAAATGCTTTAGCCCATATAATAATGGGCTATTATTGCATAATTTTTGTACTTTTTTTCTGTGAATGCGAGCATATTTTAATGATTTATTTTTTTATTTTTACAAACTTTGAATATTTCAAGTAGAAAACTTATTTAAATATAAAAAATTAAATAGATATATAGAAGAAGCACGCATAACTCCAAAGTACCGTAGCTTAAAATGTATAAGGTTTTGCCAAGATATGTACTTTTTTTTTTCTATTTGTGAGCGACTTTTCTACCAGAAATGCTGTAGAATTTATAAAATGACAAGAAATTTTGTACAGTGTTGGATTTAGATAGTATAATATTTGATTTTTCAAGTAGTTTTCTTAGTATCTATTGGGAAAAATTGGAATAAAAAGGTAAATGAAACAGTATAGATATATGGCTGCAATAAAACAGTATTAAGTATACAATACAAAGAAGCGCGCAATTTTGACGGATTATTAATTTTCTGCGGTTTAAAATGTATGTTTATTCATTATAGTTTATACTCAACTTAATGTTTACTCGATTCATCATTCAAAAACCGCAGTACGACATTCGTATTTATTATTTATTATGCGATACATAAAATGTTTTGGACGGGTTTTGATATTATTATAACACTCGATCAGGTCGGATCGGAATAGACTTCTGCAGACGTTTAAATGTTAATTTTATTTTGTTTTAAAAAAATATATCGGATATAATTTTTCTTCTTCCTTAGATTAACGGTCCTTTTAGGAGCTGAGTTACCATAAACCGTTAAAATGCCATTCCTTATACAGCAACTGTCCATCATGGTTTCTTAACTTCATTTATGATGTAGGGTTAGCCCTACGATCAACTTTCTTACTAGGGAGGAAAGAAGTTCGTGGCTATACCCGTAATACTTAGTGTAATAGTTCTCACTAGGATTTTGGAAAGGTTTAATTATCGTTAAAAATGACTTGCAGAATATTTGCATTAATAAATTTGATATTGCAAAATATTGACCTAAAAAGAGTCTTTATTAGGCATCGTTTTTTTAATAAAATGACTCATACTCGTACCTACTTATTTATTCAGGGTAATTCAATAAAATTTAAAAGTAAACAGATAAAATAAATAAATATTGTAATATAAGATAATTAAAAGATACTGCAGTAGGAGCCGAAGCGTTATTTATAACGTAATAACATAATAAAATTGACGAGATCAGTAACCGTAAAATAAAGAAAGAACGGAAAAATCGAATACTATTGAACATAATACCATGTACCTTTAAGTATACCATAAGGTTTATAAGGTGTATTTTTATTTAGGTAGGTGTATGTTATTAAATGTATCTTATTTCAGAAAAATGCTTGAAAATTTAACAGAAGTTATATTATTAGTAGAATTTAGTAGTCTAAAAACAAATTTGAGTTTAATTCATTATATTATTATTTTTTTACAAGAATTTTAAGAAAATGGTAAAAATGTCGGCATTTTAAAATATGTCTTATCAAACATCTCTTTGAATCGTTATTCGCTAGCAAAGATTAATTGTTGAGTACAGATATAATTAAATTGCCATAAATATCCTAACTTCCCAACTTCTCACCTACAATAACGGCCCACTCATCATGCGAAATATGTCCGTTTATTTTATTTTTTATTTTCCCTGTATACTAAATAAACGAACACAACTTCATCGGGTATTATTATTATTCTAAAGACTCATTATAGTTCGTAGTCATATACTACATAGGTATTATAATGGTAATACGAACTTTGTAACACGTAATAATTTCTTAGAAATTATTTTATCATCCGAGAAATTCCGTCTGTGACGTTGGGCAGGCGTAGGGTATACTCTTTGTCCAATTATCCCTCTCATAAGTTTTAAAACTTGTTACTTGGAAAATTAATTTTATTCGACCAATTCCTAAGTCTTCTTTCAATTCATCCAATATTGCAAATTACTGACCTATATCCTTGCCTTCTCTTATAGTTAAAATGTTTGAGTTGATAATTGCAAATAAAGTTTATCTGATTTGAATAATGTAATCGTGGATGATTAGCATAGTTTTCGACAAAATAAAAGTACGATTACTAATTTAATTAACTTTCATAAATTTGTATCAGTCGCCCTTTCTCACGAATCAAATTTTGATATCATTTATACCGATTTAGCTAATGTTTTCGATAAAATAAATTATCAAATTGTATTTACTTAATTGAATCAGATTGGTATTCGTAGCTCTTTCTTATTTTGGATAATCTTTTTTATTGAATAACGCCGGAAAATCGTGGCTTACAGAGATCATTGGTCTATTCCAAGGTTTTATCAAAAGGCGGCACTCGGATCACATGTGGCCCACGGACGAATTTTATACGGTCCGCAGACAAGTAGGAAAAAAAGTGTAATGCAATATTTTAGAATCGTAATTTCTTATTTTTCAGCAAGATTTGTTATTTATCCCAATTAGACTATTTTCTATTTTTATTACATTCAGATATAATTAAATTTTTCAAATATTGGTCAATGTTAAATATAATACGTCTTTATATATATATATATATATATATGTGTGTCGCGACGATAACCGTATAATAAATACACACACACACACACACACACACACACACACACACACACACGCACACATACTTACGCACACATATTCATCGACGGAAAAACAGCCGTGCATCCGTATTATACATACTGCGCAGTAACTATATCATTTCACACCATACACCATATACCTTGTAACGTCCCAAAACGACCATTTTCCGTTATCAAAGGACAAGCATACCTACAGTCGATAAATCGATTTAGTCGACCGGTTAATAGATTACGCCCGCGTCGACGGATATGTTAATATGTTATGTCATCATGAACAATAATTCCCCCCTTCCGCGCGAAGGTTTATGCGATCGCAATCTTTCGCAATTTACAATAATAATATATTCCTGACTACGGGTTAACGGCCAATCAGATCACGTTTCCCCTTATCGCTAAAACGTCGGCCCGCGGCGACGCGTGTCACGAACGTCTCCGCGCTCCGCTACCTAGTCTTCTTTTTTGTTCGTTCTTTTCCTTCTCGTCTACTAGACGTCACCTCGAGACTTTGTCACCAGGTGGTGTTTCGAATAATAATGGACGATTTTTAAAAGTGAATCGATTCGAATCGAAATAAAAAATAGGCAAAAATGAAACGATTTGTCAATGTTTTGCCGGTTCATTTAAAAGTAACAATAAATAAAAATGCAAAAAATGGATAAATCGATACATATGTCTACATTGTAGATATGAATCGAGTTTTGTCAATTTTTTAGAGAAATAAATGAAAGTTTCGATACAGTTCTTTTACTAAAACACTCCCGTATTGCACGGATTCACATATTTTGCCATTAAGAAAAGATCGTGTACCTTGGCACGTTTTCTGATGGTGCCTCAAACGAATCGATGAAGTGAGTCCCGATCTGGTCCTCTGGGCGGACATCTTCGGGCGAGATGAATGGTGATATACATGTAATTTAATAATTGGCCGATACCCCGTTGGTTAGTTAGTTTTTAATGTAGTTGAGTTAAGGTCCCCCGTATAAATATTTTGTCTAAAATGTTTTTTTTTTCTTTCTCTCGTATATTAAATTCGTGTACGATATAATATGTTAAATTCTTCCGATATGCTTACGGGGATCAACCAGCGTCTATTAGGTTTGTGCGTTCGTCTCATTGTAATAATCCCCGCGTTCCACATCCTATGCGCGATAGGCCAACCCCCCCCCCCCTCGCATTTTATTTCTTATTTTTATTTTTATTCCCTTTAAGCACTAAGCTTCGCAACCACGTGTGTGTGCGTATCTAAAAAAGAATATATATATATATAATATCGATCGATCTTCCCCACCGCGCGATCCGTATTCGGACGTACCCCGCAAGTTAACCCGTAAGGGTACCACAACCACGGACCAAACAACTTGGAATAAGAACGTTCAGCTACCGTTCCCGGTTATAATATGTTCATCTGGCAACCTCACATTACTGCTGCGTTTTCCAAAATATATACTGTACGAAAATTCCACGCGGATATCCGTCTCAATATATACACATATCGATCTGCACACGCGTGAATGTGAATTCGTCATTATTAACAAATAATAATTAATCCCGGCCTGCACGTTCCCATTGCATTAATATTCGGTCCGGGCGACAAGTTTTGGGACTGGTTGATGTCCCGGTCACTATATATATATATATATATACACACCTATTTAAAATTGAACCTATTATTCACCTTCTCTTAGTTGACAGTTCTCATGCCCGTGGGTTTTTCTGTCACATCAACGTAACTTTACTTTTATTCGATGATAAATGATTCAATAAAATAATTCTTTATTCTCCTCATAAAAATATGTGTTTATTTATTTAGATGAATGTCATTTTCCCCTTTTTCCCTAACAAAAATCCTAGGACTCCGGTCTTCGGACCTCGGTTCTAGGTTGGCGACCTTGCTCCTAGGTGGGGCTGGGGCTGGGGACGGTTCTTCAAACAAGGCCGACCGAACCGGGACATCTCAACCTATATATATAGGTAACGTATGTAGATATATATAGGTATATCCCCCCTTATTTTATTTTTTTACTTTATTTTTATTCTACTTCGACAGATTTCATAACAAATGGGAAAAACTAGGCGAACAAATGTATCAGAAAACAAAATGTTCAAAACACGTATCACCGAACGTCTCTCAGTATCTTTTTTCATTATAATAGCAATGGTTTATCGTTGTTTACAAATTATACTAAATAATTCTATGAATCCTACCTTCTCAGCTTCCCATCAATAGCGGTGACTCATCCATTCCCGATATCATCTATTTTCTTTTTCGGGAGGGAGGGGTGGGTTCTTTCATAAATCTGTTCATCTTCGACAGCAATCAAGTCAATATTGTTTTTAATGCGGTTATATTATTTGTGCACGATATAATATATTTTGTCGTTTTTGTTCACGTTTCACTGACCGATCTGTCTATTGGGAAATCATTGAAAAACGCTCGTATAATAATAATTGTATACTTTAGCAGAAAATTCCGTAAAGGTTACCTACGTGACCGGTGATATGAGAAGAGAATAATTCACGAATAACCTAATCCGAACAATTTTAGATTCTGCGTAGGGCAAAGAAGTTATGATTTTACAAATATGTTTATTTTTTTAAATTTTTAGTGCGCAATTTTTCTACCAAATTTTTCAATTTTCTTAAGAATTTCTCCATCAAATGCGAAAAACCAAAAAAAAAAAAAAAAAAAACGGGAAAATATAAGAAATGTAGGTATTAGTTAAAATAAATTACGGCCTTCTTTTTTTCTTTGTACAACTTTTAAACCTTCTTAGAGTACCTTCCTAGTTATTTTTCCTTTCAAAAAAAAAGTTCTATCATTATAAATCGGAGCGAAATTGCTGATAGAAAAGTTGTCCACAGAAAAAAAATCATAATATTTTACTAATACATTTCGTAAATTTATTTCCCCGTTTTTTTCTGTGTTTTTTTATTCAGTTTTTCACATTTGTTGAGAAAACTCTTGAGTAAATCAAAAAATTGCCTGTTAAAGTACCCCCCTCAGAAAAAGGTCTACGTCGAAGACATCGGAATAATATTACAGGTAGAATTTGTGTACAAAGTATAAAAAAATAAACATCTTTATAAAGGCAATAAATTCTTCGATACACTCAGAATCTAAAAATTAAAAAGTAATTTTGTGCCATTTATTTTAATTTTGGCCCAAGTTGGTGCAGGTTTGCTGCACACCTGAAAGTCGGTTTAGGCCTTTCATAATGACATCAATGTCATTATGACCTTGTGTGAACAAGGTCCTTTAAATGCCAATTCTGTCATAGACGTGACTTTATGGGAGAATGAATAGTTCCCGACGGACTAGATTTCACCAGCGACCACACTCTGACAAAAGTGAGACAGGAGTACTTCGAAGTACTTCCCATGAATCCCGAACTAAAATTCACTGTAAGGTTTACGAGTATATTTCTAAAAATAAAGAGCTTATATTTTGGTCATTCAGGTCAAGAGCTGGGCTGGGCTTTGTCTTCAACGCTTTCAAATCTGTAGGTGTGAAATTCGTGAATTTCTACCCAGTGAACGAAGTGAACCGGAAGATAGATGATAAACTAGTTCCCTTCCACTTCAAATAATAAAAGCTTTGTTTACGCCTACCTAATGATTGTATATTACAAAAAGTGGAGAGCAAATAAAAACTCACTCGTAGCTGTATACACCGGCAGAAATGTAAATAAGAAAAAGGTAAGAGAAAAGGATTTTCTGGTGTGTTTTTGCCGAAAAGTCAAACAATATTATTATGATGTTCTACGAAAACCATAAGTTTCCATTAGTACGACGTTTTTAAGTTCATTAAAACGTCGAATTTTAATACATATATATATACTAGCTGTATCGGTCACGCGTTGGTGCGGCTCTGATTTTTATAAATAAAGATACCTATGAAAATATTGTATTTTAGGTACCTACCTAAATATAATGAAACGGCGTTTTCTATTGTACTTTTTATTTTTACCCATGCCAATTTTTATTGTTTTTTTTTTTTTTTACGCATATTCATTTTTGGCTTTGACCTTGTGAGAATTGAATGAAAATAAATAGGAGGAAAGTGGTTAGACCACCTTCGGCGGACTAAAAGTGTTTTATTGTGAAATTTTTTTATGGTTTTCATTTCAAAAATATCTAAACACCGATTTTTTTTTTACTGGGGAGGGGTGGTATGACTTCAAAGGGATGTAAGTCTAACCTAACCTATTAGAAATTGGGGAATTTTGACAATGGGAAAGCGCGTGTACCGCATTGTAGTTGTCACTCGCAGGCGACACGGCGCGGCGTTCCTTTAATACCTTATATGTGTATTTGCGGACAATGTATATTAATATAAAATTAATAACTTGATTATTAATCTATATGAACAAAAAGACGGACATATCTCGCACGATGGGTGGGACAATGTTGTAGGTGTGAAGTTGGGAAGGTAGAATATAGTTGGGAATTTAAAGTATATCTGTACAAAACGATTAATCTTTGTTAAAGAAAAACGATTATGAGCGGAATTCAGTTATACATGTTTTAAAAGGTCGTAATATTAACAATTTGAAAATAATACATTTTCTCGTTTTTCCTACGATTTTTCCTGGTCTTACTCATTTATTGAAAAGTTGTCTACAGAAAAAAAAATAAACATTATTATAGATTTTCAAAAAGTTTTCTGCGGATAACTTTTTTACCAGCAATTTTTCTCCGATTTGCAATGATTGGAATTTTTCTGAAATAAAATCTGACTAGAGTGATAATTGAATACATTTGGGTACTATTTGAGTATACTTTAGCAATGGTCAATGGTTTAATAGTGGCCCGCCGACGTGCGAAGGATGTCCGTATTTTTATACATTATAACAGTTTATTTTGTTTATCTTTGTTACCAGCGTATCATATATCAACAAAAATAATTCGAGTTTTGTACGAAAAATACCTTAAGGTTTTACTGAAAGGGTTGCTTAATCTTGAAAACTATCCTATAATTTAAGTTGGACCAAATCACGATAATCATGAGCATAATCTTATCAAAATCGGTTGTGCAGTTTTAGAGAGTATTGCACGCAAACCCGTTGTACGCTTAATTTTCATATATATAAGAAAGATATAAAAAGATATTTGGAAACACAAAAATCGATTATTATACTCACCAACTAGATTAAAAGTGCAATCAAAAAGGTCACTTGGCATATTTTGATTAAAGCAATATTTCTGGTAGAAAACATAGTTCGTAAAAATTATAATTGATAGAAATGGTAACGGTGCAACGTGCCATAAATAGTTGCTATTTTTCCGGTTTTTCCCAGTTAATATAAAAATCTCTTTGAAATTCAATGACCTTCTCAATACACTAACTATATACAATTTCCTTTCAGAAATGCTGCTACACGTGATATATCGAAATAAGAATTTCGGTAGAAGAGTTGTTCTCAGACACACAAAATAATTTTAAAATAAAAAACTCATAGCATAGTAAAACTAATAAATCCCTCACTACGCTCCAAATCTAAAACTCACATCGTAGTTAAACCAATAAGGGACTTAATAAGCACTAAATCTAAAACTTTTTTTTTTTTTTTTTATGAAATTTAGATTTTTTTGAATTTGATTAGATTAATATTTAATAAAATATCAAATATAAATATACATACACTTCTATCGGCATAACAAATAAATAAATATGTTATAATATTATAGAAAAAGAACAAAACAAAGTCCGGATTGTTATAAATATCGTACCATGTTAATACGATCGGATCGTTTTGGATTTAAAAAATCAAAACCAAGTTATAGAACAGCAAAGGTTTAACAGTGAATCAAAATGAGGTGTATACAGAAAAAATGAATATTTTATTACATACAAGGAGAAAAATAATTCGATTTAAAGAGATTGTAAAATGCGGCGAGATGAAAAAGATTTAAGAAGTTTTATTTATCATCCAAAAACTATTGGTGTAGAAATTATACAGAATATTGTTTTTAAAATCTATCTACATATTAAAGATATTTTTAGACATATTTCCCTTAATTTCATCGTAAATAATATGTAATTTGGCCCCGGAAACAATTTTGTGCCACCCGTAGTAAAACTAAATTGGCATTCTAAAATCCAACATTCTAGGCTTTTAAAGAATATAATAGATAAAATAAAACACATGCAATACCAGGGCTTAAATTTATTAAAAAAAAAATGTGTCGTTTTTATGTTGTCGAGTATTTAAACGTTATACAAATGTAATGTTTAACGTTATTGTATGTTCAAACGTAATTTAAATTTTTTTCCGTTTAACGTGATTGTGTTTTTATATGTTATTTTAATTTTTCGTTTCCTGTTAAAACTTTATTCAACGTTATAAATACATTTAAAATTGTGCAATTTTTTTTTTAATAAATTCTATATTTATTTTACATATAACTCACACCGATGTGAAAAAAAACTTACGTTTCTTAAAAACATCGAAAAATAATAAATTAATGACTTATATACTAATTAGTGTTGTAATTTGTCTTATTTAGCTTTAAATTTTAGGTAATAAGTAATAACTTACACACTTATAAAAAATATTTTTGTCAAAACATCGTAATTGTAATCACAAGTAATATTTTATAAATTATATTATTTTAAATTGAAATTATTTTTTAACAAGAAGCTATGATAATTTTATTGTAAATATAATGAAAAATTAAATTAAATAATTATAACGAATAAATAATAATTATACTAATAATAACAGTGAATCGGTATTATGAAATTAAGATAAATTACTGGTTAGTACCTAGATAAAAATAATATTGTTAAAAAAAAGACGATTGAATAGGTAAATGACGAAATATTCAAATATCTATAACTGTCAACTAAGTATAATATAGGTATAATTTGCAATAGCATGTATTTATTATTTATATCGAACCACACCAATTAAATTGAACATAAACAAGATAACTTAGTTATCAAAAAACGTTATTTGCAATTATTTTTCACGTTTACAGTTACGTTTATTGTTTAATGTTAATCGTTAATTATGATTAATTATATAACATTTTGTTTAATAGTATTCTATTTTACCATTTTTCGTTTATATTTCACTTATTGGTTTCGTCAAGTTTATTTCGTTATATAAATAACGTTAGAACTGTTTTTCTAGAATGTTTTCGAAATTTGAATCGCGTTTATAATAGGCCAATATAAGTATTTGTGAGTATAAAAGGTCTATACAATAACTTTTAACCGAAAAACAACAAAACACCCAAATGCCGTTACGCTTTGCCGTATTTACTACGTTTTTTTTTTCGTTTTTTTTTTTCATAGTTAATGGCAAAACTACACGGACAATCAAACGCTGACTTTCTTACCCATAAACAATTTGAGCAAGTTTTCTGATAGAAAACATCGTTTAAAAAACTTTAAATAATTAAACGCTACGTTTCCGTAATTACTTACTAATCAATTTTAATTTTTTGATTTTTCCTTATTATTATGAAATCTACTTATATATTCACTAAGCGTGCTCACCCCATTTTTTTGGTTAAATTTTGTATATATTCAAATTTTGATTTTTGGAAATTTTAAGTGTAGTTAAAGCTGGTATTTTTGAATACTTAGATTTTTTACAATATTTAAGGAGTATCCTGTAGCGATGACAATTTCGGTTTTTCAAATGTGAACCTATATTAAAAAGCTGTCCTAGAATATTGAAGACGGGTGCAGCCACTGTTTTAAATGAAAATTTGGGAAGGTAGGATACAGAAGGAAATATAATGTATATCTACAAGCGAAGATAAAACATTGCTAACGAAAAAACGATCCTGAGCGAAGTTCGTTTATACACGTTTTAAAAGACCGTGCTATCTACGATGTATTATGGTAAAATAATTTAATGGGTATTTTGTGTATTTTGTGTACTTTTGGCCTAAGCCAATCTTACCAAGTCCTAATTCAGGCGAAAGTTTTGTTTATTTGCGTGCACACAATCATTCATAATTAGCTCTCGTTTTTAGTTAACTAAAATTACATTAAAACACGATTATTTATGTAAAGATAAAATCATTTATAAAAATTAACACTTTTTCTTTTCAGAGCAGTTAATTTTATTATGTAAACCTCTTGTAGACTTTTTAGAAACTAACATTAATAATATGGGGTTTTTTCAACGACTACACAATTATTAAAATATCGAGTTACCGTTGGTTATTTTAAGGTTCAATATCCATGTTCTCGATTTCTTGAACTCTATCATAAAATATCAAATATTGATTTAATCGTCTAAAGCTCTATATAGGTTTAAAATATTATAATATATAATGATCGATGCGGCTTTTGTTTATTGCAAAAAACCTTTTACTACGTTTAATACGTTCCGAAATTCGGTCGTATTATATAGATTATGGTAATTAATAATTCTAAAACCCCGATCATTGATCAAGTTGTAATCTAGTGATGAACTACCGAAAAATTATACGAAATACTTTGTTATCTTGAATTGTTCACATACATTCACAATTCATTTTGTTAATTATGAAAATGAATCCTAATTTTTGTTAGCCTTTTATAAATATTTCGTTTTTATACTTAACCGCTTGTATTAAAATATTGTCTAAAATTAAAGAGATCCTTTTAAATTCGAAGCATAGCGAGGGTTCTATTGATTTTACCCTGATGTGTATTTTTTATTTATTTATTTTTTTTGTACCTGTAATTAACTTTCCCACCAGAAATATTCCTTCAGTCGAAATATGACAAGATTTTTTGAAATATGACAAGATCGATTTTGTTCTTTTCAATATGCGGGGTGTCCTACGATGTTATCCGTTGGCTAATAACTCTGCCTATATCAATTTTTTTTTCATATTTTTTTTCAATCGATCGATTTTGTTCCCTTCAACACATAGAAACTGTCCTGACTGAGAAAACCATTATTTGATATCTAAAGTATTTTTTATTTTTTTTTTAATAATAATTGGAAAAACCCAAAAAAGACACGAAATATATAAGATTTGTTTTCAAATTATGGCACAACGATTTTCTTAATTTAAATTTGTTCTGCTTATAATTTCTACTATAAATATTTTACCATAAATATTGCTCCAATAGAAAAACGACAAGATACCTTTTTGTTTTATTTTAATCTTGTTGATAACCAATAAAGTCGGTTTCAGATATTCTTTGTAATTTTTTTAACAATTAAGTAAAACCGAAAAAAAAAACGTAGAAATAAAGGGAAATTGTACGAAAGTAATGGTTTTTTATTTTTAAATTTTGTTATTTTAATATAATTTAGTTTAAAATATTCGTAGAAACTTAAAATATTAACAGAAAACTTATATTTACTTTTTCTATATGTGGTAAAACTTTGAAAACATTAGAGCAATTTTTGAGTTATTTATAGACATATTCATTTTGTGAGTTTTTCACGTAGTTTTTATTTGATAGGTACTGTATAAATAAATTGTTAGACTTAACAGAAATACTTGAAAATTTTTATAGAAAGTTCATTACGAATAAGTTGTACCTAACGATAAAAAAAAATTGTTTTACACTTCTAACGCATTTGAATAATAGTTTTCAAAATGTATTCCTATTTTGTGAAATTCGAAAAATGCGTGTTTTAATTTTTTTGATCGCTCTAATAATAAGAATTGTCCACTTATCCACATCTACTGCCTGATACTCATGAGAAGGAGGAGTACGGTTGTTTTTACAGATAAATATGACATTTTAGATCAAAAATTCATACAAAACTGTAAGAATTTTTACTGACGTATTTCAATTTTAAAAATGTGCAATGATGCCTTAGATTCGTTAATAGTGGAGGTTTAAATTAGTTTACGATTTCTAGTAAATTAATGAAATTATCATCTTATTGGAATCACTATACTATATTAAAAGATAAAAGCAATACCATAATATGCTTTTAGAACTGAAATCCATCAAACACAATTTCTACAGTTTTTTCTGGCTTTTAAGTCTAAATTGACTAAAATATACACAGTCACAAATTATATATTATACGAGTATAATATATAAATAATAAAACAAGCTTTATAGCTTGGGTACATTGCGGATGTAGTGGGAAATATGCCGAACACCGTAATGGTAATAGTAATTCACGTTATGAGCTGTAGATATTATTACGAAAATGACAAGTAAATGTGCCGTTCCCTTTCACATTCTCAATCGGCAAACCAAATTTTCTGGGAAATTGCGAGTATATTTTGTTAGTATATTATATCTATATTACTCATTGCTCTGGAAAGTGATCCACTTGCTTTATTCGATTTAAGTCTAAAATTAAAGTATCAAGAGCTTCGTGTTAATTCGGTAAGGAATTAATAATTGTATTTACTAATTTCCCGAATTTACTTAAATGCAATTACTGCTGAAGTGTGATAAACAAACCACTCTGTATAAATTCACCTAAACCGACCCAACGCGATTTTAAGCACATCAGCCCTGGATGTGCCAATTTACATAAATCACATTCGCTTGTCCTTATTCGTGATACACACTAGGGTTTGCTCGTTTGTCTTGAGGTATCCCTTCCCCTCCAAAGCTGTTGGTGATCGCCCTCGTGAATTCTCTGCGGTTACATACGAGACTCAGAAAATGATAAACGACAAAATATACCTATATACATACATATATATATATATATATATTATAAATTATATTATATTAATATCTCTCGAGGATTTCACGAAATTTAATCGTTTTTTAGGAAGACCCTCGAAATCGGCAAATACCCTACTGAGAAGACAGCGCAACCGGCGACCGCACCCTGTATCATATCACATCTCAAATCAGTGATGGGAGTTAATTAGTTACTAAATATTTAAAATATTAGAATTTTGAAAACATACTTTATTAAATACATGATATAATTTTAAATTCTAAGTGGAGCGAAAAAGCTTATGGTTTTACAAAGATGTTTATTTATTTATTTAATTTTTTTTATTTTGAATCTGTGTCCAACTTTTTTATCAGAAGATTTAATTGGATTTCTACGTGTAGCACATTTTCTGAAAGGAAATCAGCGTGGAGAGATACTTTAAACAGATCATTTTTGATTTTCTTAAGAGTTTTTCCATCAAATGTAAAAACCAAAATAAAACGGGAAAATATACAAAATATATTTGTATAATATAACGAAGTTTCTTTTTTGTGGACAACTCTTTTACCAACAATTTTTTTGAAATTTTAATGATAACAATGTTCCTAAAAATAAATTTCACTAGGTACTTTAGAAAGGTCATTTATTGATTTTCCCAAGAGTTTTCCAGCAAATGTGAAAAACTGGTATAAAACACGAGAAAACCGAGAAAAACGTTGGAAAACTAGGAAAATCGGTATATCATTAAACGAATATTATTAAAGAAAATATATATAGCCTATTTAATTGTTTCACTATAAATTGACTTATATATTGTTGACAAAGCATCACTATCAACCGAACTCCGCTCAGAATCGTTTTTTTCGTAAGAAATGGTTTATTGTTGCTTATAGGTATACATTAAATTATCTATAACTGTAGCTGCATCCGTCCTCATTATCCTAGGACTTCTTTTTATGGATAATATTCGATTTTTAAGGTGTCGGTCAAATTATAATATCCTCATTGTATGGACCAGCTGCATAAAATTATTACTACTTGCACACCGGATGCCTGCAACTACTCCACGTGAATCACTTCATGCTATACGGGCCTGGCCCGCCAAAATGTTACCTATGTAAATTGGTGTGTTTCCTAGGTAGTTTGGAATGCCACGCAAATTCTGACGAGCTACATAATGATGATAATATGTGGATGTGTACATGTGTGTTTTAGACTCATCTATAATAGCAGTTTATCATTAGGACCGGTTGACCTAATAATATGGTCGCTTGCGCACTTACTTGGTGTACTGACTCATACACTGATGGTTTTAAAACCATTCGAACTTAAATAGAGTTTACACAATGTCAACTCAATGCAATAATTTGAGAAATCAATACTTTAATGTATACATGTATACTATATTATTGTATTGTTGTTTAAGTTATAGTCACATTTTTCTCATTCAATATAATCAACTCAAATTTATATTTTTTAAGAACCTTGGTTTACTACGTTACAATGATATACAATTTTGTGAAACTATGTATGTATACCTATGTATACATAATTATTAATTCAGAGCAGATTTTATTGTAAAATCAGATGATGCACTCAAAAGTAAATGGACCTAATCGATTTCAGATAAAAGTAACCACTTTAATGAAAAAATATTATTTCTCTCTTCAATAATCTGAGTACTTATCGATTTGATAGTCAAAGCAAATACTATAAAAGTACATATGAATCATTTATAATATTTGATCAAATCATAGATATGATATTAAATTGTATAAGTTTTAGTAATAATGTCTTTTCGTTATATTCTATACACTAACGGATTAAATCAAAACTGTCTTGGAAATTTGTTTTGTACGTTTCGAACACAACTCGGTAATAATTTTAATCCCACTACAGTCTTATTTTATTATACTTTAAAAAATAAATGTTGTGTTATTTATATATATTTCGCTAAATTTCAAGAAAATGTAGACCAACCATTTTTAATTAAATTTTTTAAATCATATTCTACTAAAAAAAAAAAATAAATAATTCCCTTGGTAATTTCTACTGGAGTCACATATACTTATAATAATAGTGATTTTTCCAACTAAATTCAAAAATTGTAATTGGTTTTTATTAACCGTTTTCCAATAATTACTGAAAAAAAATGTGGCAAAAATTAAAGTTAAACATGTTTAGCGTAGTTTATAATCACCTGTGTGGTAGTTTTAACAAAGATAATTTATATAATTCAATGAATCTTATATATATATATATATATATATATAAATTATTTATATTTCTGCGTTAAATATTTTGTTTTATATTTATTTCACATTTACCCTAAATTGGAAATAACTATAATATTCAATAGCACCGATAGAATCAAATCATATTTGGGAGGTCTTACAAAAAAAATTGATTGATCATTGAACTTTAAAATTAGATTTAAGTAGTAAGTACTCTAATTAATTAGAGTACTAAAAATACTATAATAATTAATTCTGAACGCTGATAAATAAATACTTTGTAAATTTTACTGCTGATAAAACAACACTAGCTAAAGAAAATTATAGATTTAAGTACAATCTTATTGTAAACAGTTCAATAATTTTTTTTTTTTTTTTCAGGCGTTCACACTGATCTGAGGTAGATTCAGTTTGTTTCAATTTTAGAGCTATTTTTCGTTTTACCCTGAAGTACATCATCTGATTTTATATAATCAATGTTTTAAGTTTACAGTAAATGTCAGTTCAAAACGGTTTAAACATTATAGCATTAAAATATATTACACGTAATTACTAGTGCATCTGCACACACAAAATTGCGTGCATTCCACCTTTAATTTTAAGCGCTAGTGACATGGTGTATACTGTATTATATATAATATACGTCTTGTATTCAAATTATTGATAACAAAATTAATATACGAACAAATGTATAAATTACAAAATCAATTCACTGTATCCTGCAATATTTCGTGTGAAAACGCGTTCGTCATCTATTAGCATAATTTCTTACATTGCGACCGGTCGACGTACGTCGTTCTCTATGTGACATGCGTCAGAAACAGCTATGGTGGTATTCAAAATGCACAGGTTATAAAATGCCGTGAAAACTAAAATTTAATCGTGAAATTTGCATTCGGTCCATATATAAGATGAATGAGATGCTCCAATATGCGTAGTTAATATGTTGCGGTTACTTAAAATGACTTAGGTTATATCTAGTTATCGAGAGAGTACATTCTATCAACCAAATCCAACCAAAATCAACCAAATTTTGCAATTACTTCGCCATATGATAACTATGACACTGCCTGGTAGATCATCGTAACCGGTCAAGTCGTCAATATAGTACTACAAAGTTTATACTTGAAGATTAAATATTGTATAGAATATGTCTTTGTCAACGATCTGTGAATCAGGCATTTAATACGTGAATACGTCATAAACCGCCTCGACATATAGGCAACATCACGTACACCACTGCATCTGTCTGGTAAATGTGTATCAATCGATAAACAAGTAATACAATCCGGCCATTTATAATTTAAAAATTATATTACTGTTTATAATCCAACAGACGTATCTGCTTTACTGTATAAAATGTCTATATGTATAGATGTAAAATACTTATAAGTATCTAAAAGTAGTACTAGATATGTATACGAATTCCTTACCACGTGACGAGTTATTCAATTGAAAACTGATGTCACGCCAATTTTCAAGAAATAATACCGACTTTTACTTAGAAACTATTGACCGGACATGAAGGTATAGTACAATCAAATTTTAGATTCTGAGTGAAGCAAAGACGCGTATGGTTTATCTGTTCGCAACTTTTTTATCAGAAGACTTGATCGGATATCTAAGTGAAGTTATTTTCTGAAAGGAAATCGATGAGAGGAAGTACTTTATGGAGGTCATTTTTAGATTTTTCTCTTGGGTTTTCTCATCAAATATTAAAACCCGTTAAAAAAACTGGAAAATATAAGAAATGTATAGGTATAAGTAAAAAAAAATTACGGCCTTCTTTATTTCTGTGCACAACTTATCTATCAGCGATTTTGCTCCAAATTTACTGACAGCAATTTTTCTTAAAGACATTTCCCTAAGTACTTTAGAAAGGTCATTTTTCGTTTTTCCCCAAACAATGGTTTATCGTTGCTTACAAGTGTACATTAAATTATCAATACAAATAGCTGCATTCGTCCCCATTATGCTAGGACGTCTTTTCTAAAATAATAAGTTAACAATACGGCTATTTTGACAATTTTTAAAAGTAAAAAAAAAAAAATTAATTTTTTCAGTGATTAAGGAATGAAAAAACAAATTTTCTCTACATATGTTTCCCACTGATTCAAAAGCCGATTGAAAAAAAAAATAAAAAAATGAACTGATACTGGGGATGATAGAGACCACTTTTGTAGGTGAGAAGTTGGGAAGGTAGATTACATAAGGTTATTTCATTTATATTTGTAAGCAATGAAAAACCATTGCTTGACAAAAGACGATTCCGAGAGCGATTCGGTAATACATAATTTGAAGTGACGTAATTTTTTTTGTGATTTTCGTTTAAATTTGATTGCAAAACGATTATTAAAAAAAGAAAAAAAAGTCGTCCGATGATTTTGGAAATTTTACCACGTCTAGGAAATTTCAATATAACTAAGTTTTAAGTTTTTACGTGCATTTATAACCGAATTATAGCAAAAAAATCTCAAAAATTAAAATTCCTCAAAAACTCAAAAGTGGCTCAACATTTTTAACGATAATACCGAAAAAAGTTAAATAAAAAAGGTATCTTATGATTTTTCGGTTAAATCATTCTTTCTGGTAGAAAACGTCGTCCGTGTTCTTATAAAATAACGAAATCGTGAAATTGAACGTTTCCTCAATTTTTTTCCCAAACTATGTGCTTTTATTTAAAAAGTGGCGTCGAAAATTAAAAAAAAAAACTTGTTTAAAGTACAATCTGGTCAACTTTAACTTGTATAAAAGTTGCTACATGGAAAAATCGGAACAAGTTTACTAGGAAAAAACGTGTGGACAGCCTAGAACAATGAAAGAAAAAAAAAGAAGAAGAAATAAACGGCATTGTAAATCCAATAGCTCCCGCGCTACGCTCGGAATCTAAAAATAAACAGTAATAGAGTTATATGACGTTCATAAAACACTGTTGGGACACGTTGCAGTATAGTACCTCTCATTTAATATTATATTGACGGCCATTAGTTAACACATTGATGTCCGCCGTAGCGATCGCCATCAACACAACAACAATTTATCTAAATCAACAGCGATGAATTTCGCAATACGATTTTGGATCTGAACAATGTACGTTCCGATCAGCTGATCCAAAAACACTATCCTAGGTGTAATTATAGTCGGAACTCACCGGAGTTCTCATGATGTGGCCGGACGAAAACTGATATGGAGTACATTTAATGAAAAAAAAAAGTTGTTACATAATATTTCGATAACGGTTCCTAATATCCACAAATGAAAAATGCATAGAAAAGTTTTAAAAAATTGATTATATTTTTCCAAAGTTTGTTTTTGTATTTTTTTTTTTTTTTTTGCAACATTAAACACAGCAATCAAATTGTGGGACACTTATCATTTTTATATAAGTTACCACATTTTGTTGAACGATAAAATACACCGAAATAACCAATAAAAAAAAGGGTGCACGCCCTTCACTGCCTCTTCCACTTTTCCACTGGCACTGGTGTGTACTAATCATCAGACGAGGTTGTAGTTCTTGTTCCCAAATGTCAATATATTATAATATTTTGAAATTCACTTTATAACTTCATAAAATCGACTTTTTAACAATTAGGTAGGTAGTCTTGTGGTTAGTGCGTTTGGTTAGATTTGGTTAGATGGTGCAGAATCCGTTTTTTTTATAAAAAAAAAAATAATGTTTTCGAACTACCATTTTTGAAGCATTTTATAAATGAAAATCCCATGGTCATCCGTTATTTTATAAATATTATTTAAATGAAAAATATGGAAAATAAAACATTTTATAAATCATTTTTTTATAAAAAAAATATTTTATAAATCTTAAACAAATATATTTTTGTTATCTGAGATGCAACTATATCATTGGTTTTGCGGTATTGTGTATTTAAGAAGTACCTTATGGCGAATATTCAGCGAATACACGGGTGTTCAGAATGTTTATTTTACGGTTTCGGTAGCCGGTTTAAAGGTCCATTTTAAATGGGAGCCAATTCAAGGGAACTTTCAAATTTAAAATTTAAAATAAACATTTTAAATAAGAAGAACATTTCTATTTATTGATTGATCGTTTTAAAAAAGAGCTGATATTGGGAACGAGTGTGGCCACCGTTGTAGGTAAATTGTTAGGAAGATAGAATGCACAAAGTTATTTATTTTATACCTGTATAATAACTGTACACCGATAAACCATTGCTAACAAAAAAACGATCCGAAGCGAAGATCAGTTATACATGTTTTAAAAGACGATTATATTTATATTTACGATTTTCGTCAACATTTGTTTTTTAAAACTCTTATATATAAATAATAAATAAATACTACATTAAACTAATACTACTAATACTACTAAAAAATAAACAATATTAAAAGGAATATTATCTATTTCTTATAATTTTTCGATTATGAAACAATAATTCTGGTAAAAAAATAAGTTTTAACAATTAAAAATAATGAAAACGGCAACGCCACTACGTGCCGTAAATATTTGCTGTTTTTCCTTTAATTTTCTTTTGAGTTTTTCTGATTATTTTAAAAACACATTGGAAAATCAAAAAAAGACCTTTTTACTAGTCAACATTTCTTTTCAAAAAAGGACAAAAGGAACTATATTCTATATATCGGAGCAAGATTTCTTTTCAAAAAGTTGTTTATAGACAACAAAAAAAAAAAAAAAAAAAAACGAACAAAAAACATTGTAAAACCAATATGTTCCATGCAACGGTCCGAATCTAAAATGTATTTATAAAAAGAATAATAATTGTATACCACATTCTTCGACGTATATCACTCCAGCACCAGCCATTTAGAAGTTTGAAAAATATCTGTACAGGTATATTATTATAAAATATCATTTATACATGTACTTTCTCCGTTCCACAGCGGCTTATTGAATGTACAATGGAGTAATACATCGGGGATTTAAAAATTTATCTTCCAATTTATTTTCCTATTCTATTCGGTACCAATTCGATATGAGAGTTTTCGTTTTTATCATTTATACGTGGGATTCTGATTGTTTATTGTTTGTTAGATAACTGACGTTAAATAAAAATAACGGCATTCAGTGCGGTTGCAATACGTTTGTAAAATTATTAAGTCTACAAGAAATATTTCAAAAATAATTTTCGCTATATCCAGCTATCTGCAGGTGTCGAGAAATACTGCTCTGCTTATTAATGTATTAAGAAATGAGGTGAGGGAAATCATATTTTACCGTATTGTGTAATTCTTGTAGTGTCGTTACGATGATACAATTATATTAGTAGAACCGTACCCGCAACTGAAATAATATTTTCCAATTTATTTTATTACCACTGTGCAAAATGATTTATCCGTACTTGTACACAACAATAGCGTCATTTTTTTTTTTATCCACGCAAAGCAGTGGGAAACATTTCGGATTTATTTAAAATAATATTATGAATATTTAATAACGCGGCCGTTATTACGTTATAACCGGATGTAATATCGTCGGAATATTTGTTTAGAATCCGAGCGTAGCGAGAGAACTATTGGTTTTACGATGCTGTTTTTTTATTTTTTCATTGTTCTAGATTGTCCACACGTTTTTTCCTAGTAAACTTGTTCCGATTTTTACGTGTGGCAACTTTTATACAAGTTAAAAATGGCCAGATTGTACTCTGAACAAGTCGTTTTTTAATTTTCGACGCCATTTTTTAAATAAAAGCACATAGTTGGGGAAAAACATAAGAAAACGTACAATTTCACGATTTCGTTATTTTATAAGAACACGGACGGCATTTTCTACCAGAAAGAATGATTTAACCGAAAAATCGCGAGATACCTTTTTTATTGCCTTTTTGATTTAATTTCTCTCGGTATTATCGTTAAAACTTTAGAGCCACTTTTGAGTCTTTATGGAATTTTAATTTTTGAGAGTTTTTTGCTATAATTCGGTTATAAATACACGTAAAAACTTGAAACTTCTGTTATATTGAAATTTCCTAGCCGTGGTAAAATTTCAAAAATCATCGGACGACTTTTTTTTCCTTTTTTAATAATAGTTTTGCAATCACATTTAAACGAAAATCACAAAAAAAATTACGTCACTTCAAATTATGTATTACCGAACTGCTCTCGGAATCGTCTTTCGTCAAGCAATGGTTTATCGTTGCAAGTTTTTCTTTTTGTTTTGTTTTGTTTTGATTGAGTTAAAAATATTTTGTAGAGAATTTACGTTTCGACAGAAAACTTATATTTAATTTTTCTGGACATGGTAAAATTTTCAAATCTTTGCTACCATGTTTGAGCTATTTATAGACATTTTAATTAAACGGGGTTTTTTACGCAAATTTTTTTAAGTAGATACCCTGTGGATAAAATTGTTCGATGAAAAAGAAATACTAGAAGATTAAATAGAAAGTTCGTTATAAGTCGTACTTTGTGGTCAAACAAAAAATGAGTTTGTAGTATGTAGTATTTTTTTTTATACGAATTTCTATACCAAATTTTGATGAAATTCATAAATATTGCGGCCAATTTTGTAATTATTACAAAGCGATAATATTAACCGAACTTCACTCAAAATCGTTTTTCGTTAGAAATAGTTAATCGTTGCTTATAAATATAAATTAAATTTCTCCTCTATCTATATATATCTGTATCTTTTTAGACTTTGGTGTGGAATGGAATAACGTTCGATTTCTTATGTGAAACTATTTTTTGTTTTTAATGAAATTCTCCCATAGACTTAAACTTAACCTGAGGGAAAGTTTACCTTTAATATCATGAGTTTCGAATAGCATTTCGAAAATTGGGTTTTGTCACGACACCCGGTCTTTTTTAATATAGTTGAGTGCGAAATTTTTAATCAATTATCGCCAAAACTTCAAAAATAACAGTCTGTCATGATCGCTTTTGACAATTTAAATGGATATCTAGCTATAAAGAAGCTGCGTTCGGGTTTTTTAGGTTTACTTTGTGTCTCTATTTTAATATAATCTATATATATGTTACTATGTTACTATGTTCTATTTGTAAACATTCACTAGTGAATATCGACATTTATGTAATTATTTTAATTAATGTTGGTAATGCCGATATTGGTTTGCGGATAAGCCACAATAATAATACAGTTATTATCAATTTAGACATACTACTTATTACCTATATACAATAGTGTAGGTAATCTATAACTTGTTAATGATTGTATAAATGTTTTATTTAAAACAAAAGTTTCTTTTAGCTAAAGTTGGATGAACTATCTTTATTCGAGTTTTAGATGCTGATCGTAGTAAAATAGATTTTCAAAATATTTTAGCCGGACTATTAGATATGGTAGATACTGATTTGTATAAATTAGCTACCAAAAATGGTCTTGTAAATCAATTATACAATAGAAATCAATTTTCGGTACTCGTGTAAAAAATTTTTAGTATAAATCGCTGATATACTAAAGGATCAAAATATTTCCTTAAGGCAAGTTTCTGCGTCAAATTCGTCAATTGGTAGGCAAGGATACACGATGTAATTGTAAAACTAAGTGCACCATAAATAAATGTGGTTATAAAGATATTGGAATTTAATTTAACACAAAATACCATGATGATTTTCACGTCACTGTAAATAATAATACAAATATATAAATCGTTAAATAATAATAATAATTTGTTGATTAAATTAAACACGTATCTATTTGATGGTATATGTTGTATAACAATTTTATAGTCCATAATCTATACTTTAAGTGCAGATACGTATGACAACATTAACCAAAAACTTGATGTGAATGTGTACATTCACTAGTATATGTCTAAATATTTTATTATTTTTCAACATTCACCAATTTAAAAGGTTTATGTCGACATTAACCCATCAACATCATGTATCTTTCTTTCTCTTTTTTTTATTAATTCAAAATCACGATTTTTTATTTATTTTTATTTTTGGTATAAGAGGAAAAACACAACCACCATGTTATCTACCAATTCCAGTTAGCCGATACCTGCTCAGAATCGTTATTTTCAGTTTATCTATTAAATTTCGACATACCATATGACCTACTATGGTATGAATTTTATTGGTTTTGTTTTTTTATTATAATATACAGTATGTCTCAACAACTTTGTAAAATCACGGTTTTATTGAAATTTGTCTACTTAATGTCTACAAAAAATTAACTCACCAGACTAATTTGCCGTCATAACCGCTCCGGTTGAGAATCACAACAAAATTGTTGGTAGGAAAGTTTGCTCATAGGCAAAACAAAGTATATATCATTGTAAAAATATCAACGCATTCCTCTCTAATAATAATGTTTATTATTATCTTTAATAAAAATAAACTTAAAATCGAATTGCATATAAATATTAAATGTATTCGAATTTTTTAAATGCTTGTAATAAATCAGTGTTTGTTTGTTTTAGCTGCATACTGATATTATCAAAATTCAGATTCTCGTGCAATTGTAATTTTTTAATGCTTTTTATAAAAAAATTTTTAAAAAAAAATGTGAGGAATAAAAATCAAGAAATTATCTACACAATGCACCAAATAAATCAAAAATGCCATGAAAAAGCTCTTTTGTCGTTTTTTGATTGAAACATCTTTGTAGAAAAATTATGCGGAGGCAAAACAAAAATATTAAAATTAAAAAGCATACACTATAGTAGAACCCACGTATTCTTCATCGCTATATTCAGTATATAAAATTTAGTTTGATAAAATAAAAAGTAGCCACCTTTTTATAAATCGATTTAATCGAAGCTTAATTTTGCACATCATGGTCACACATTTTACGGTTATTACTGCACTTTTTATTAAAATGTTCACCGTTTGATTACACAAGGATAGTATGATTACATATAATCCAGATTACTGAATTTTGTATTGCGCATTTTTTTACTTTTCATACCTTATATATGAATATGCTAATAATTGTATACTCCGTTGTTCCTTAAAACAATACGGAATTCACGAAAATCAAAATTGAAATTTTGATTTCCGGGGGAATTGGTGAATCAAATTTTTTCTATACTATTACTTAACACTTTCAAGATAAACTGTTATTTAATTTAACCTTCCCCTATTCTCAAAATTTTGATTCAGTCACCGGCCTTGGGCACAGATAGGATATGAATGAACAATTATTTAAATCATTTTTAAATCGTTTACACAAATTTGATGAGCAACTTCATTTATATAACTAATATAATATATATAACTGCAATAATTAATATAGCTATGCTTAATTTATTATAAATTTAATATTTCTAAATATTAAAATTAATTTCGTTCAAAGTATCTATAGTGATCGGTTACTGAAAAAATATGTATATGATAAATATTTTTAAGATTTTGAAACAATTGATAACTAATGTCTAATAAATGATAACAGCGTCTCGTTTTGTATTTCTGATAATTATCTTGGCTCGTATATTGGCCATTTTTTCAAAATATTCGTCTCAATACGTACTAGATACAGACGCTGCCACTCAGATATTATCTAGGGCCCATATCGTACAGGGTTCATCATTAAAATTATACCTGCGCAATAAAATATTATCATGTTTCTCATATTGAATCCTTCTCTTTTTAGATTCTGAGTGGAGCGAGAAATGCATTGGTTTTACAATGATGTTTTTAATTTAATTATTATTTTTTTTAATCTGTAAACAACTTTTCTACCAGAAATTATACTCTGATTTTTAATTGTAGTACTTTTCCTGAAAGGAAATCTAATTACTTTTTTTTTTATTCCCCCACAGGTTTTCATAATAAATGAAAAAAACCGGAAAAATGAACGATTTGTATTATTTTAAAATCGTAAATATTACGACCTTTAAAACATCTATAACCGAATTCCGCTCGTTTTTCGTTAGCAAAGATTAATCGTTGCATACAGATATACATTAAATTTCCCCTCTAACTTCCCAAATCCTCACTTACGATAGTGGCGCACATATCGTGCGAAGTATGTCAGTTTGTTTTTTGTTTTTTTTTTTTTTGTCGAACACAGATTTTTGTGTTGCGTCTGTCAATCAACCGTAGTTAAATAAAATAAAAAACACAATATAAATGTTGTAGCTTTGTTTATTTTTCGAAATTACATTCAGTCGAAGTATTCGTTAATTTGTTTTTTTTTTTTTTTTTAGATGTGCGCTGGAAATGTTGCCGTTATAAATAAATAACATGACGTTTTCGTCCTACGGCTCACAGTCGATGTTTTACATACGTCTTGCTGCACACCTTATGACTTCTGAATTGTGACGCGTTCAGTAAAATGGAAATGCCTACGAACCCAGTATTCTCCGGTGAAATCTCACCAGTAGACGATAAAACCACGAAAAAAAAAAGATATTGCGGAAAGGGAGGAGTTCAAATCCTAGATTATGTTTTGCTGTTTGTATGTGAATATATATAACTTGGGGATATCGTATAGGATTAGCTTGTGTTTTTTTTTTTATCTTCTACCGGTTATATTACTACGGAAATAATTTTTTTCCCTATAGTAACCATAGTGTCGGCCTCTAGAGATTACGCTTTGTGAAAACGACGGTTTAGCGGCAGACGCATAATATCAAAAACACTAAGTATGAACTGAAACGTAAAAATTTAAATAAGTACACGCAGACAAAAACAAATTTAAAAAAAAACCTTCTCTCTCTATTTTTCTTATACTAGGTATAGTACATAGTATTTATAAGATACACATAACCTCCAACTAGTGTGATGAATTTAATTTTTCAACGTACTGTATAGAGTCGATTACAAATCAAACTTCACACATATTTACTTTTTGAGCAAAGCACATACATATATTACAGCTTTTCAAAACATATATAACCGAACTCCACTCAGAATCGTTTTTTGTTAGCAAAGATTAAACGTTGCGTATAAATATACATACAATTCCTCTCTATAACTTCCCAATTTATCAAGTACAACAGTGGCCCACTTATCATGTGAAATAAGTCCGTGTCATTTGTTTTTTCGTTGTCGTTTGGAATGATTTTACGAACAGGGTATATTAAACTAGCAGGATTTTTGTAAGATATAAGTCGACTATAGTATTAGAAAAACGGATTAAACATATTTTAAGTTTGGCGTATATAAAACAAAGGCGATTTAAATTACACCTAATACAATGTACAATATATCTGATTTTTTTTTTTTTAAAAAAAAAATCAAAAAACTGTTTTTGTTTTAAACCATGTTTTTAATCGTAAACAAATGGTATATTTTAAACATTATTTTTTGTAAATATCATAATATTTTAATAGTTAATTACAAATAAATTTATATTATTATTAATAATTATTTAGAAATAGAATAAAAATCATAGAAATGTTACTATTTTATCTATAATAGTAACAGGAACTTTATAAATATCTTCACTCTTCAGAACATATTAATTTTATTAGTTTTACTTTCATGTGTGTTTTGGTAATTTTTTTTTTTTGTTTCTATTAACAACTTTTCTACCAGAAAACTTACTCCAAAGTATAAACTATAGCACTTTTTCTGAAAGGAAATTTTCTACCGTTGTTGCATTTAAGAAGTCATTTTTCGATGTTCCAATGGGCTATCGAAATAATTGGGAAAAACCCAAAAGAAAATTGTAGATAAAACGGCAAATATTTAAGGCTCGCCGCGGCGCATGTCGAGGCTTATGTCAAAAATGAAACGAGATATTTTTTGTTCAATTTGTAATCTATTTGGTGGTCAAGAAAGTCCTTTTTTGATTTTCTTTGCATTTTTTTTAATAATTGAGCGCAACCGAAAAATCAATAGTTTATCGATGGTTACAGGTATAATTTAAATAACTTAATGTATTCTACCTTCTCCACTACCAACCTATAATAGTGGTCACACCCATCCCCAGTATCAGCTTTTTTTTTAAATTTAATTTTTAAACGTTTTACACATTTATGTATAAAACGTTTCAAACATGGGGACTTGTCAAAACGTTTTAAGTGGTTTAAGAGTATCTAAAACACTTTGAATCCTTGAATAAATTCTATTAACTGCTCGTCAAAAGACAACTATTTGCCTTATTAAATAATATTAAAATCTCAACGCAAATACATAATATATAGGTGTCACGATAAATAACCACGAAATTGTTGATGTTGGACTAACGAATATATTATAAACGGTTGAGCTTCATTACACACTTAAATAATCACGTGCTTAAGGGTGTTTGGCGTTGTGTACACTAACATCCCTCTTGAATATAGCGATTATTTATTTACCTAGATATAAATAAATAATTCAAAATTTTCGAGCATCGAAATTATTATCATAACTAGTTGTATACCCGTTATATCACGTGTTTTAGTGGTCAATGAAATATTTAAAATGTGCTTAATCTAAATGCTGCAAATCTGTATGGTGAAAACATTTTTTTACGTACAAATTTCAAAGAAACCAAACGTTTACATCTAAGTTTTAATTCGTTTTCATATTTACACAATCATATTGATAATTAATGACATGTTTTATAATAAATATGGATAGGACTTAAGAAATATAGCTGGTAAGATATAAACGTTAAAGGATAAGTATAAATATGGATAATAGATAATTAATAATAAACGTTATTCTGTAGCTTAACAAAACTGAGTTTAGTTATAAAATAATCTTAAACTCGGTTTTATTGTTTTAATAAAAATCGTTGTAAAAAATTTTTATCTTATACAATATACCTATACATCATACTATCACGGTATAAAAGTTTCAAGGGATTTTCACTAACCGAAAAAACTCGTAACAAACGTAAAAGAAAAATGCACGCAGATTTATAAAAACCAATACATTTCTTTATCGCTGCCCCCGGAATCTAAAATCCCACAGCAAACAGCCTGCCTGTGGTCGGATCACGTTGGCAGCCAGCTTCGAGAGATTTTGCCGTGTACTGCAAAACAAATTACTCGGGTCACTTCTCAAATCCGGTCGACGCGCGAATTGCGATCGCAGAGTATCCGCGTTTCGGTCGTGCAAATACATTATATATTACTATTACTACGTATACAGGGTGTTCCACGATGATCTGAGACTTGGAGCAATTCAATATTTCCAATATAAATTTATACATATTTTCTTTAAATAATTAGTATGTTTTTAGGCTACATTTGATGTGATACTTTTTTTTTTTTTACATGGGAAACTTAAAATAAAACATTTTGAACGTTATTATAATTCAATATAAAAAAAATCAAATAGCCATTTTGTAAAATAGATTTTTAAAGCATTTATGGTTGAAACTTTTGTTAAGGTATGGTTTATTTTTTACTTTTTATTTAAGTTTTCCTATTTAATGAATATTATTGTGGTTCATAATATATTATAATAATTAATCAGTAGTCAAAGAACAACAAATTTCATACATTTTTTTTTTTTGTACTGAGTTAATATCATACAGTAACAGCTCTAACTATTAATTCAAATATATTGTAATAAATTATAAACTACAATAGTATTCATATTTGGAAAACCTTAAAGAAATTGTAGTAAAATTGTAAAAATCCATTTTTTCCCAATTTTCGAGAAAAATCCTGAAAAGCTGAAAAATTACCTCTTAAAGTACCTCCACAGTCAGATTTCCTTTTAGAAAAATTGATATCATCGTAAATTGGAAGAAAATTGCTGGTAGAAAGTGTTCATATACATGTATAAAAATAAACATCTTTGTAAAATCAATAGGTATACATATAGGAATATATACATTCTTTGCTTCACTCAGAATCTAAAATTAAAATTTATCACATGTGGTGCAGAGGCATATTAATTATTTAAAAAATATTTATAATGATAATATTGAATAGAATATAAAAGTTATTTCAAGTGACACTCTGTATATATATCAAAATATTTATATACAGGGTAATTCATTTTTTTCATGGTTTTTTTTTTATCGAAGAAATGTTGATAAATTCGAGGATTTTTTTGTCATTATATAATTTTTCAAAATATTTGAACACTACCTCAGAACTTACAATGTTTTATGAGCATTTTTAAATCATGATATTTCAGACACTCATAACTTGCTCAACAATTAAAATTACGTAATATTTCTTAAATGTTAAACAATGAACATAAATTTAAGACTTAAAAAGCAGAAAGTTACCTACTATAAAAAATTATAATTATTACAGTATTATTAGTGATAAAAGTAAGATATATTTTCATGAAAAAATTATTTTTCATGTTTGTTTTAATTTACAATAATTTTGTATTAATAAAATGCCAACGCTTCATTATACTGTTATCTACACTTTTTTTTTTTTATGAACTATGGTGTTATTGTTTTGAAAATAATATATTGTAAAATATCCGATTTATAAACACGATAACATAAATATAAAGACTGGAAAAAAAAAATTGATATTTTACTCGAAATCTACGTAGATGGTCCTCAGATCGTGATAAAAAAAAATCACGCTGTATGACGGCTAAAAGAAGTGTTCACGGGAGGACGGGAGGCCCCTACATTAAATCGTCAATCGACTTTTCCGGACCGGCGGCTGTTTAAATCGGCTCCACTGCAATAGCGAACGTAATATCCGTAAGGCATCGTCTGCGGCTTATAGCGGTCTCTTGAACTCGGCCGTTTTTATATACAGATTGCCGATCCGATCATACTATTATCTCTTTTGTATAAAACGTGAATAATCAGAAAGAAATAACATTATTGTTCTTGACGGCGGCGTCCAGGAAGAAAAAAAACAAGGTCCGTCCGAAACGTATGAATTGAAAAAAATTATATTATTATTAAATTGGTGTTCATCAGTGGGAAATAATTTGATAAAAATATTGTATTTTGTTCATCGAAAAATATACATACAGGGTGATCCATTTTACTCAAATCATTGAATTTCTCAAAGGATTTAAGTAAATTTTATTTCTGCTTTTTGTTTCAATCGTTACAATTATTATGAAAGCGATTTATTTTGTTGTGTGTTTTATAGGTAAACAGATTAAAAGTGCGTAATCATAAAAACGATAACAACGATTACCAATTCTTACATTGATAGCACTTTTACTAAATGGAAATTTGACTAAATAAATTCCCTTCTATATCCTATGCCTTTCTATAACTTCTCATCTACAACAGTGGTCCACCCATCGTACGAAATATGTCCGTTTTTTTATTTATATTTCATATGTATTAAAAAATACTACAAATTATTACATTTATTCATTTATAAAAACATAATATGTATTTTCATTATGTTAGTTTTATTTTGTATGAATAAAACTTGAACGGCCTTTTAATATTTTTGACTACAACTTTCGGTTCATTTTGAATCGTATCGGCAACATGATTATGATCGGAAGGGCCTTTAATAATTTCGTCATATTTTATACTTAAATGTTCATTACATAGTTTATCAATACACCGTCAATATTCAACATCTTATGTATTTTTTCTTTGCCATACGGGAATGTTCAGTAAAAATAGTATAAAAACGTTTAAGCGTTAAATTTATACGTAATATTAGAAGACCTTCGAACGACAATATTCAAATCGTAATCGTGAACTTATGAAATCCTAAAAATACATTGCACTGTATAGTTTCACATAGTATATATATATATAATACGTATATATTGTATTATACTGCCTGTAATCCCGTTCGTAATCTCGAATTCATCGGATCCTAAAATATTTCACTGCAGTTTCCCATAGTACCTATATAATATACATTGTTCCTCCGGCCCGTTGAAAATATTTAGAAGACGAAAATTGAGAAATAATTCATAAGAAGTTTGTACCAAATTCAAAACGATGGACTTTTCGCTCTGTATGTATTTCGATCATATTTGTATTCACTCATTGTATTTTCGCTCTTTTGTTTTCGCGCATTTGCGTTCGCTCTTTCGCTTTCGCCCTATTGTCGAAATATCATATATTCATATCGCTTCGCTCACAAAAAATGTCATTTATTCTGGGAGGAATCATCATAAGCGTGTGAATTTACACTAGCTATTCTGAAAATGTAAAAGTGGATTTGTAAACTTAATCGTCTTAAGATTTCTTAATATTATTATATATTGAAGACTGGTTTCACCACGAGATTTCACTCAGATCGTTTCCAGCTCAGAGTACTTGGGATTTGTGTTTTGTGAGAATTTGTTCATGCATTAGCGTGTAATGTTGTTCAACTTTTATTTATAAAAGCTCTGTCTACCCACGTTTCGCGATTGTAAATGTTTGGAAAGTCGGAGAGATTGTATTGGTGTGATTCGTAAAGCTGCAACTTTGGCTGAATATAGGCAGCCGCTCGAAAACAGTTAAATATAGTACGAGTAAGTACGTTTAATATTACTATGATTAAAAGTGTGCTTTCGTTAATTACATTAATATTTTTGTTGTTGTTGTTGTTTTTTTTTTTTTATCAAGTTTGTATAATTTTTATAAATTTATGTACAGAGAGAATTAAGCCAGTTATTATTATTCTGGAATTGTATAATATTATATATTCGGGAACGATACTTAAACAAATATGTAATATAAAATTGAATTCGAATTGATATTTCGCGATATAACGTATTTAGGTATTTGTTTTTTATTTCACCTAACCCGTATTTCTTTGGTCCCCGAGAAAAAGGGCTCGGTAAGTTGATTTAGTACAATTTTAAATATAAGGATATTAAACTTTAAAATTCTCTAAATGAAACAATGGCATAGCATTGCTAAGTCACATAATCTATATAATGACTAAAATCGTGCGATTGTAATGATGTATGCCTTTTGGCTAAATATAAGTACATCGTATAGTGTGTCTTAAGATATTATTTCAATTTTCAGTATAACATGTGTTGGAATACGCATACATCGCACACTACTTTTCTAGGATCAAATATGTAACCTTTTCAAGAAAAATTAATGGAATATTAGAGTCCTTAGATACTCTTTCGCTTAAATTAAACTCGAATTGGGTCCGCGTTTATAATGTTAACAATAAAAATAATATTTAATATTAAACAAGAAATTAAATTTTTGGTATATTTTCTAATCCGCATGGTGTCTCTTGAGTAATTATTTCAATATAAATAACGATGAAAACAAATGTATATGTTTAAATAAATATTACGTCGGAACCCATATTATGCATACGCTAAAAATGCTGGGACCCAATTCATGCCGTCGGGACCCCGTTTGAGGTCAGCTTAAAAGTAGATCAATTTGGTTTCGTTAAATTGTAGGCTCCATAACCAAAACGACCGGAAGCCCTATTTCTCTCCCCCCTTTGTTAAACATTGTGTACGTTAAAAAAAGGAACGCCGAACGTATTACGAGCGTTCATATTCAGATTTAAATAATAATTAAAGCAAATGGCATTTTTTTTTTCTACGTTTTATTTCATTGAAGATACAAATATAACAGACGATCAGGTATTTTGTACGTCTGGTATCTACTCAACATTTATCTTGAATTAAGACAGAAAAATAACAACCAAGCAACGAGTATAAATTCAAGTAAATAATTTTCAACTGAACTGTAGTATACGAGTAGCATAAAAAATTTACATAAAATATCCGTAAACATTCTGCGACGGGAGACGTTTTTTTTTCTTTTTACATACATTTTTTTGGTGGTTTAAAGATGTAAACGTCTTGACGGGTAAATGGAATGTTTTTATTTGAACTTTTGGTAAAAGTTAAAATCGTATCATTTATTTAGAAACCGTATCACCGTGAAATATTTGGAACTAGCTATCCGAAGTTCGCAAAAATGTTTCAATTCATTCTGAATGTACAGTATATTATTAATGACATAGACCAATATGGGATCAATATATACAAATCGACATTACCTACAGTTTATGAATAATCGTTTGGTACTGGCATTTAAAAATGCATAAAATCTCGTGTCGGGTTATATGATAATATTATAATAATGTCGTTTTTATCCCGATTACAATATATTTTATATTCATAAGCAATTAAAAAAAAAAAAACACGAGCAGCAGAGCTTCATCACTAGAGTTAAATTTTCCTCCAGCTGACTTGTCTCCGTAACATATATATATATTTTTTTAATTACTATTTTATGTTGTTTTGTTTTTATTATTATTTTTTTTTTATTTATCATGATAAGGAATCTAACAAAAAAGTTTTATAAACTAGGTAAAGTAGTTCTCCGAATTTTTTCCAACATACAAATAGACGAAGGATTCGGGAGTTTAAAGTTATATATAAGAGGAAAACATACAATTTAAACAAGTACGACCTCGATAACAATTATATTTACACACATACATTTTAACCAAGTAACATACTCATACTTTTATGAGTCTGTAAAGGTATTTAAAACTCGCTTTTTTCTGTGAAATCTGAGCATTAATATAGTTGGAGAGAAGTTGAAACCACCGAAAGGCAGATTCTTGGTATACTGAATTTGTAAAATGTCATCCTCCTGGCTTCATTTAGAGGGTCTATAGAGGTGTACAAAGAACACCATTTTTTTACAACAACATATGAATTTTAAATTTAAATTCAACAAAAATAGCATCACTTTAATTCACCTATAAAATAATCCCTATACCCAACCCTTTTGAAGTTGGTAATGCAAAATTAACAGACATTGATCCAATCAATCCAACATATTTGTTGGTGAATTATTTGATATTGTAGGACAACTTTCAGAATTTGAGGAACGTTATTTTAATCGGAGCCATTTTCCAATTTTTCGCTCCCAAATTCACGCCAGTGCCAGCGCAATTGTTTATTGAGACATGTTTTTTGTGATAAACATGTTCATCTCGATTTGTTGGACATTGTTGGACAACTTTTAGAATTTGTTGGACATTAATTTCACGAGGATGAGAATTTGAACTTTTGTGTATCCAATAAGTTCAGGTTATCAATACATTTATGTGTTTTTATTTTTTACCTCGTAGTAATTATAGTAATTGTTCTACGATTTTTCAGGTTTTGGATGGGCGTCGGGCGTATATGTAATATCAAAAATAATCATAATAAATTGTAGCATTTGATTTAAAAGATAAATTACGATTTAATATGTTACACTATTAATGCATCGAAGTAAAAAAAAAAAGGCACCAGTATGAAAAAATACGCAGCAACATATAAAAGGATAAAAACAAAATAACAACACAACATGCATTGATAACTTGAACTTATCAGATACACGGAAGTTCAAATTTTCACCCTCGTAAAATGAATGCCCAACAAATTCTGAAAGTTGCCCAACAATTCACCAACAAATTTGTTAGATTGATTGGATCAATGTCCGTCAATGTTGCACTGCCAAGTTCACATGAACAAGGTTCCTGGAGGAGCCGCTAAAAGTATCTAAATGTCCGATAAAAAATATATATACTTAAATATAATATACAACAGATACAAACACAGTAAAATTGTCTCTATTTTCGTGGGAATTCGATAAAATGAAAAAAAAAATTATTTGGAATAAAAATGATATAATGATTTGATACGGATGTTATGTCTCAAGGGTGTGAACATAACATTTCTAGAGATAAGTAAAATAATTATAGTTTGAAGGTTTTTTCATTTTTTTTTAAACTTAACTTCAAACTCGGATTATTTTTGTCCATGTCTATATTAGTTTATAAATTACCGACCCGATAAAAATGTATGCATACATATTATATTTAAATATTCAAAATTGAATTAATTTTGTTTTTTTTGTTTTTACCATTATTTAGCGTATAACAGAGATTGTTTACCCAAACTAACAGTGCCTAATACTTTCGTAAATTTTACTGAATTTTGTTTAAATTAAATCAGTTAAAATCTATAATATTATGCCGTCAAATTTTTTATTTTTATATAATTTAATTCTCAAGTAAACATAAATCATAAATGATAAATCAAACTCGGTCGGTTCAGGTTTTTTTTTACATAATTTAAATTCGTACAGAACAAATCGAATTAAAATTAACGTAACACACATTGCAAATAAAACAATACGTTTGTGGATACAAAATTAATTAATGCAATAAATTATCATTTATTATAGAGGGTGTTCTACAAAAATATACCCTTGTTATATACAGTAAAGTTTATAAAATTCCACCTATATAGATAAAGAATTTGAGATTGGATCATTTTCTCGACACAATATTAACCAATTACAGTTCAATATTATTATAATATTAAGCAGTTTTTGATAGTTTTGGATATTTCTCTAAGAAGGCAGTTTTATTTTTACGTGCTCGAACATAATGATAATTTACAATGTTTTACATAAAGAACACCCTTCGTAAATTTGTTTTTTAAACAAATGATATTTTTCTTCATAATACTTAATAATATAAAGACAAGGGCAACGCGTGCTAGGTTATAGTAGACATTTTCGAGCTTAAGTATAAAATTCTGAAAAATAGAAACGGTACATAGAGGTCCTTGACAAGATAAATCGTTTTTCATTAAACGAGCGCACATCATTAAAGCGATGAGTTTCATAGACGTTCTGCTTTCGTTTATTGTTTTTTTTTCTACATTACGTCAAAATGGTTTATAAATGTTGTAAATAATAATTAATACTCATACAAGAAAATCGACCAGTAGATCAAATATGGAAAAACGTATGAACAACTAGTACATTAGGTTTAGATCAATTTAATACAAATACACTACCAGTAAAGAGCGAAGCCCACTATATAGAATGATTCAATAAACGTGCCCGCCCCACTTTCTGGTTAAATATTGCATATTATATTCAAATGTTGGTCTTTGAAATTTGTATGTATTGTTAAAATTAATATTTTCGAAAATTGTCCACAACATTTAAGGAGTATCCTGTGGCGACACCAACCAACATTAGTTTTTCCAATGGTAACATACATACGTAAATGCAACTTATAAAGCAGATGAATTTTCTGAAAATTTGAACGTATTGCAATTGAAATTCAAACGAATAAATACACGTTAAGACTTGAAACTTGGTTATAATACGTATATTGGACTTACCTAGCCGTGGTAAAATTTTCAAAATAATCGGACGATTTCTTTTCTTTTTTTTTAATTTTTTTACAATGGTACAATGGTACATTTTTGTTTTTTTTTTATACTATAAAAAACTTGATTCTTAGAAAACTTGCTCTGATATATAAGTTTAGCACGTTTTATGAAAAAAAAATTTATCTTCTTGGTAAATACATATGTCATTTTTTAATTTTCAAAACGGTATTTAAAATAAAAATGATTAACCAGGAAAAAATTACGATTTTTCACGATTTCGTTATTTTAAATAAGTAGCTACCACGTTTTTTAGCACAAATATTTAGTTTAATCGATTATCTACGTAAAACAATGTCTGAGCAATTAATTCGGAAACCTCGTAGGAAATCCAGGTGGTTATTTATTTGTTTTTTTTTTTTTTTTTTGAAATGTGTTTAATCACCATTCGTAAGGATACTACTAAATCGACGTACTTAATTGATGTTATGTTATACGCACATCGCATCTCAGTTCATGATGTGTACATAATAATATTACGGATAACACGCGAAATCCCTCGGGGACGATAAATTCGTTTATACCACACCAGCACGCATCGCGTTAACCGTATTCGTCTCGGCTTGAGTCTTGTATCGATTACGAACAACGATGCGTGTTGCGATCTAGTACGATAAATTAACACTCGTTAAGGCCACAGTGGTTTATTATTTGGGTGAGTATTTGAAGAATAGTTAAAATATTATTTATAACATAATATTAAAAAATATTAAAATAAATATATATATATATATATGTATATAATTAAAATATTAAAAAAATGAAAAGTCGTAAAGTGAAAATAACGATCCATATTTTGAAATACAGTGTAATATGTGAATCGTTGCATGCAAAAATATGGGCTTTAGTCAACATTTTGTCGAAGATGTTATAACAGTTTCTACTTCACTACACTTAAACGCATCGATTCATGTTAAAACGGCTTTTGTCACCCATATATAACCATATGTATAGAACTTGCAGACAATTTGTCAGAGTCATGTAAAAAGGACTTTAGTCACGGGCTTAAATCATTTTAGCGCAAAACCCTTATTATTATTAATGCGACTTTCAGCTGTTATTGTTTGTAGCATATCAAGTCACCAATAATAATAATATAATATTATAATATTGTTTTAGACGATCGTCACCGTCGCCGGCATTATTATTGTTATATTAAAATATTATAATATTATAGGTACTCAGCAAAATATGTTACGCGGTCGCCGGCCATTACAGAGGCTGGGCGCTACTGCCGCGAGCTGATGCGTTTATTTGACAAAAATACAGTTAATACGATTATTAAAATATTATTGTGAACATCATTCTTCTCCGGGACTTCGAGTGAAAGGCCCATAGAACGAGCCCGACTGTTCAATTATTTGTTAAAATTTGAGTTAATACATTTAAAATTGTTTTTGCGCCTATTTTTCTATGTTCATTTCTTGTTTATTTTACTTTAAAAATAAATAATAAGATAATAGTTATAAGTAGTTGGACAGTGTTGTTATTATTATCTCATTTAGTAGTGTTTCGAGTGTAAAGCGGCTTTAGAGTTATATTTTACAAATCCTGACGGTTTCATAGTCAACCATTCTTTTGTGCAGTACTTGTTATCGTGGTCACCGAAATAGTGGATTATTTTAGTTTCCTTATAACATGTGTCGGTATCTACTTGTTTGACGGTCTGAGGAATTCGCAAACCGAAAATATCTGTTGCATGCGTCAAGCCTTGCGTGGCGTATACAGCAAAGTAGCACGGGCCACCCTAAACAGCTTATTCGTTATCGTAGTCATTTAGTTAAGAGTATTAAAATTATGAGTAGGTAATCTGTGTTAGACCGTCGCAGCGCTCAAGGAGTAACATACCCTTTGGCCGTCCGGTTAGTAAAACAGATTACCGAAGGTTTCGGGGTTCGTTCAAATACTTACTGCAGTATACATTCAAGATAAAACCTTGCGTATACAGCATGTTAACATATTTATTTCACTTGTATTGTGAGATTATTTTATTTATTTTTAATATTTTGATAATAATTTTTTAATTTATTTATTTCGATAATAGAAAATGTAAGTAAATTATGCCGATTATTACATTAAAAATAACGTATCAGATTCTGTTGATGAACTTCATATGTATTCCAATAATTGTGGCGGTCAGAACAAAAGTCACGTAATATCTAAAATGTCCAATAAAATTATATATATTTCAGTCAAATAACAATACAGTTGTATCGCAGGGTTCTTGACAAAATGTTTGTTCAAAAACCAAAACAAAAATTTTAGGTTATAATAGAATATGTCGTCTTAAAGAAACGATAATAATCAAAATCAAGTTAAACTGAACATTTTTTTTTTGTATTTTTCCTGAAAATATCTAAAAAATTAAGCTATTTAGTTATTGAAAAAAGCACTACGAATTTTTTTTTTTTCATGTACGGTTAATAAAGCATATTATTATATTATATTTTAAAATAATTCAACCTCCACATTTAAGTGCACTATATTCTAATTAATAGAAGATACATTATACATACAGATAGTAATTTCGGTACAAACTTCAAACATTATTTTCAAATCTAAATTATCATAGCTTTATTTTAGAGCTAATTACCAATTCCTAGACAACAACACATCATACATTTATTATAGAGGTAAAGGCTTAATTCTCTTGTGAAACACCATAATATTAGTTCGGTGTATAGTTCGAATGTCGTTTTAATAATACGACGCGATCGGAAAAAAAACCCAGCCGTTGGTAGTGAAACGGAGGAGTTGCTAGTATAAAAAGAAGAACCCCGACGGCAATTTGTGAAAACTTACGTACATAAATAAGCTAAAAAAAAAAACAATGTACTAAAATACATCAAAAGTTGTAGAGTACTACTAGAACTTCTATATAAGTTTTCTTAATATTGTATATCATAATGAAATGCATTTTTCCCCCTTACAGACCATTGTGTAATCTTCATACCTGTTCATATAATGAAATATTATAGTTTTATTTTTATAAAATAACAAAAAAAAAAAATAAATAAATAAATAAATTCTCACTGAGATAGTTAGTAATTTGGAAACATAGATTGCCTTTTGAATAGCTGATATTTTACCCTTCCGCAGTACGAAAAATGTATATGAACAAAAATACAACAACCGCATAATTCTGCAATCTACGTCCGTCTTCATAATAAATCGTATACATTTTAATATTTTAAAAGTGTAATAACTTAAAAAAAAAAAAAAATTAGTTAATGACCATTCTCTGCGAATTAGCGCAGTCACGCAGTCAACGCAGTAAATATTATTATTATATTATTTGTACGGAATTATAAATAAGTTACATAAGTAATATAAATATTTATCTTGTAACTATTTTATTATCTAAATGTATTATATTTCTATGCTTATAAGCCATTTGGCGTTAATTTATAATAAATAAATAAATAAGTACCTACTGCAGCTTAAGACTGTTTAATTTATTTTAATATACTTGCTTATTTTAATGCATTTTGTATTCGTGAATAAGTAATTGTAACTATATTTGTTTCTTATACGACGGGATCTCTTAAATTACCTAGCTATTATTAAAAAATGTGTAATTCGCTTTTCTTGTTTTCTTTTTTTTTTTTTTTGAATGCTTAAATATATTTAATAACGTAAATAAAAATTTTAAATTATTAGAATGTATCTCTATTACCATGTTAATGTTTAATTCAATTTAGTTTTTTTTGGGCTATGTCAAGTTAAAAACCATAATTTCGCAAAAAAATGGCATTGCAAAAATGTGATGTGATGTGCATGAAAAATATGTATACAAATTTCGGAATTGGTCATAAAAATATATATTAATTACATTAATATTTAATATTGGAATGAAAAGAAAAATGACGATTTTCAAATAGAAGGTGAATCTAGTGAGATTATATTAGTGATGACCGACCTTTTTTCTTCAGCGGGTCACTTTGGTGGTTCAATTATCTTCCAACGGTTCGTCAAATATAAAAGTACGAATGATCTAATTTAGGTTTAACGTCTTAATTTCCTTTATTATAAAAATATAACAAAATTTACCATATGGTTTTACAGAGATGTTTTTTTTATTTTCTATAGACAACTTTTCTACTAGGTGATTTGCTCCGATTTTTACATGTAGCGCCTTTTCTAAAAAGAAATCAGTGTGGGGATGTACCTAAAAGAAGTCGTTTTTTGATTTTCTCAAGTTTTCTCAAAAATGTGAAAAACTGAGAAAAAACATGGAAAAACCAGAAAAAACGTAAGAAAACCGGGGAAATCGGTACAACATTAAACAAATATTATTAAAGGAAATATATAGAGCCCGTTTAATTATTTTACTATAATATGGCATGTATATTGTTGACAAAGCATCACTATCAACTGAACTCCGCTAAGAATCGTTTTTTGGTAAGCAATAGTTTATCGTTGCTTACAGGTATACATTAAATTACCTAAAACAGTGGCTGCACCCGTCCTCATTAGCCTAGGACGTCTTTTTTTATATTTAATTTTTTATGACTGTAAACAACTTTTTTTACTAGAAAACTTGATCCAAATTAAAGACTATATCACATCTATTCTAAAAGGTAATTTATTCTAGTTGATACACTGGAGAGGTTATTATTTGATTTTTCTATGAATTTTTAAAATAAATGGCAAAGACTTATGGGTCCAGTATGGCTCTGGAGTAGTGCGAAAAAATTGAACGTATAAAAAATTCAAACTTTTCAAAATATTTTTCTAAGAAATAGAACTAACGTCCTTCCCTGTTTCAACTACTTCAATCGAAAAATGGCAAAAGATCGATTATATTTGTTTTAACATATACAGCTACTGACAAAGAAATTCATTTTTCGATATTTACGGCATTTTATTTTTCATAATAATTCGGAGAAACCAAGAAAGACGAAATAAAAGATTTTTTCAAATTGCGACACAATGATTTCTTTAATTTAAATTTGTATAGGTTATGATTTCTACCATACATGTGGCTCCAATAGATAAACGGCAAGAAACCTCATTGTTTCATTTTTAATCTAGTTATTTACCAAGAAAATCGTTTATTGATTTTCTTTGTAGTTTTTTTTTAATAATTCAGCAAAACCGAAAAGTACGTAGAAATGACGGCAAAATTTACGAGAATTTGTCTTTTATTTTTTTAAATTTTGTTTTTTTTTTCAATTTAATTCAGTTTAAAATATTTGTAAAAACTTAAAATATTGAAAGAAACCTTATATTTATTTTATATAGGTGCGGTATAACCTTTAGAAATTTAATGTTTATGCTTTTCCTCCATAAGACCATTATAAAAAAAAAAAAAAAAAACAAATACGTGAGCTGATAGATGATACGTCGTTACTCATTTTAAGTGAAAATAAAGAAGATTGCAAAATATCTGGTGTAGAATAATCGTAAAGTGACAGATCCAGTGATACTGATGAATAAATAAACAATAACATTTCAGTTGTATTATGATACGTTCATATTGAAATAAATAAACTTCAATTATTATTATTATTATTTTTTTTTTTTTATGGAATTTTTTTTAAATATCATCGTGGAATTCAATTATCGATTCGCGAAGCGCAACATAAAACCAGCGTTTAACAACTAAACTGAGCGCCCGAACACCAAAAGAATTTAATGAGTACGTAATTTCGCCATGCTAAAAACCATCGATCACGGTGGAACGCCGCGGAACGGTTCGGTTCGTATTTCTCAGTTGAGCACATGCGTACGAATTGTAATGCTCTCGCGATCACCGGGTCGATAGGGGGGGGGGTTCCGGCGGAAAAGCCGTGGGCGAAACGTCCGGACGACGTTCCGAGAACGCTTATTATAATCCGAAAATAATTCCATAATATCACCACAAAATTCCAGCGTTATTGAACCGATATAATCGCGACGTAATTGAACGTATTGTATCTAAAGTCCTTCGAATCGTCACGGTCCACGATAACCGTGGTGCAACCTCTTTAGCGCGCATAATTACTTATTCGTATACTGTACGGCGCATTTTCGGTCGGTATTATTATTACGTATTATTAATAACCCGTGTACGCGTGCGAGAATTCGTGTTTCGTTTCTACGACGAAATACATTTCAAATACACGTTACGTAAATGTTTCCGAAACCCCCCCCCCCGCGAATTATTTTCATAAAGTTATGGCCGTGTCTAGATGGTGATTGCCGCCATAATTTTTCGGCGAAAGTTTCGCGTTGTTTTATTGAACTACAACAAAATTAAAATTGGAATCAACAGAAATCGCTATTGCAGTTTTCAACTTTTTGCTCCCGGTTTCCCGACATTATTATTAGAATAAAATTAAGCGCGAGAATAATGAAAAAAAAAATTACTTCCCCTAATTTAATCGTTTCGGGAGAGATTTTATCAGATACCGCCTCCGAATATGATGGATTGGAGCACAATTTACCAGTCGAAATGCAGAAAGAAAAAATAGATAATACCTACAGAACTTTATAATGGATTAATTCATGCTACAATTTTTCCGTTTCTGTCCGTTGATAATATCCAATAACTATTTTATTAATGTTTGTATTAAGTTTATTGTACACACAATTTATTTTGGTCAATCTACGGTTTGATTACAGAGTATATATGTAGGTACCTATTTTAAAATAAACTGGTATTGTAACACAATATTTAATTTCAATATTTTTGTTTTTAACTTGATAAAAATATGTCTAGGCAGTGGAGGTTTTAGGGATATTTTTCGGGGGGGAGGGTCCATTGATATTACCTATACATTGAACATAAACAAATATTTTCCCATTGAACATGCATTAATTTAATTTAAATTTCCACACTTTCACTGTCAGAAAATATAATTTTTTTTTTACTCACATAATCTAATCTAACTTATGTTTACAAAATTCAAAAGCTGTCCTAGGATAATGAGGACGGGTGCAGTCACCGCTATAAGTAATTTAATGTATATCCGTGAGCAACAGTTAACCATTGCTAACGAAAAAACGATTCTGAACGGAATTCAGTTATAAGTGATGCTTTCTCAACAATATATATGCCATAATGTGGCAAAATAGTTAAATATGCATTATATAGTTTCTTTTATATTATTTGTTTAATATTGTACCTATTTTATCGTATTTCCCATTTATCAGGAAAACTCCTGGGAAAATCAAAAAATGACTTCATTAAAGTGCCTTCCTAGTCAAATTTACTTTCAAAAATAGTGCTATCATTCAATCATTATATATCGGAGCGAAACTGCTAGTAGAAAAGTTAAATAAGACAGAAAAATAATACCGTAATATTTTACTAATATACTACTAAAATTTCCCCGTTTCTTTTTCCAGTTTTGCCTATGTGATAAATATGTTATATGATATATCTTGCATATTATAATATTTTTCATGTCATGTATATCTGACGCGTATAAAAAAAAAGGATTATAACTCATATCATTTGCCAATTATTTTCGTTTTTTTTTTATCTGAAATTTTCAATGACAAACTAATTCAAATTCTAAAATCGGATTTTGGAGGGAGGTCCAAACCCCCTGAACCCCCATCCCCACTGTACCTAGATACTCATTGACTGTCGATTCGGTCTCTTAATTATTTAAAACGATTACCGTGGTTATCTGTTAACGTGAGTTTTGTGAACAAGATAATATAATATAATATTAGTATTATTTTTACAAAAGGATTTTGCCGACAAAGACGTAAAGTAAGTAATTCAAAGTTGTTAAAAAAAAAAAAAAAAAAGTAAGGTTTTATTATTTATTTTGATCTAGATATTATATGATAATGACAATTCAGAATTCTAATTACCAGATCGAAGAGCATAGAATTGATCCCAAACAATATAAATATATCAATATAGTATCTGGAAATAACCGTCAACGAGAACCGACAAGGATTAACTAGAATGTCGTACCACGGAACCGATTTATAGGCTGGACTAACTATTCGGTATTGAAAAAAGGAAATCGGAAGTCGATCACCGGGCCAATCGAAAAGCGCAAAGACGCGACTACATCGAGAACGAAATCCAATTACTATACCTACAGTAGCGTGTTGAAAACGTTATTATAAAAGTTTTAACGGCGATGCGCTCAGCACTATAGCGGATCGTATCTTGGAATAAGTTGGGGGATAAGGTGCGCGGTTGTATGCTGCACTCGTATTTCGCACGTTCCTGCCTACGCCAGTAAATTAAACAAAAATATTGGTGATTAATCAATTTAAATTGGTAAAAATACTGTGTATACACTATACTATATACACGTTTTCGTATATTAATTTTCTACATTCTGCCCGTCAATGTGTTCTTAGTTTTGGAAATTGTTTGCTCTAATGCACATAATATACAGCCCACCATCACATATTATCGATGTTCATTTCAGTTTGCTTGAGTGAAAACACTAACATTAAGCCAGCAACCGCCGGTGTACGATTGCGCGCGTTTCACACTTTCGGGTATTTAACTGCGCGCGGTGCCGGGACAACAGAGAATATGATTTTGACCCTTCAAAAGCACACGATTGAGCGCGATATTTAAAGCGACGTTGTCAAATGTCATAATCGTTTTGTAATATATTATAAACTCAGTCTACGACATAAAATACAATAATTAAAAAATATTTATTTTGTAACTCCTTTAGTTGCGTACGGCATCTTCTACAGATACAGGGTAGAGATGGAAGTTTTTCTTCGTTCAATATAAATAGCCTTTCTAACTGATTGTGTATCTTTATACTCTAATGCGGTGCTTACGCTATTCATAAGTTCAGTTCGGATTAATTTTATTGACGGGATGGATATGGAACTTATTGCTTTTCTTTAGCGATTTTCACGTAAAACTTGCCTATAGATTTTTTAAATTGAATTTACACTAGTATTTTCTAAAATGGAATTATCAGTTGTCGGCGATATTGTAGACGTACAATGTTTTTTACAGCACTTCCATCTGACATAGGTATCCATCAGCCCGCTGTCTAATGTATCGAAATTTGTGCCCATTCACTACTAACAAATATAAAGGAAGCCTTATAGAAGAGGTGTACATTATATTATAGTATATTCGTACCTATTTGGGAATTTACAATAAAAATAATAATTCCAGACAAGTGATGGAAATTTTGTGCTTTTTTCTGATATCGGAAATAACGAGACCGATAAATAAAATCCGATTTACCATACATACCTATATATTTGGCAACGTTGCATAAAAGTAAAAATATTATAGCGCGCGCAGTCGTACGCCTAAAAAGGTACCACCGATAAGGACTGCACGCAATCGTATCGTAGCTCCAGAAACAATACCTTTACGATAAATACATATTGTACCTGTCATTTACAAAATATATGGTTGTGCTGATTCGCGCTAATAGAAATTGATTGAAAATTTGCAAACACCAAATACTCAATTTTCAGACTTTAGAAATATTTTTACTCATTTGGCGTTAATAGTATAACTGTATTTACGTAATAAAATAGAACAAAAAAAAAAAAAATAAGAAATTATTAGTTTTGTCGACTTTAAAATTAAATAATTGAATCGAAAGACCCCCCCATCGATAGCCTTGAATGATAATGGTAACCAACAATGGACTATCGGCAACGTAAATTTTGTAAATTTTCCTGTTTTCTTTCGTTTTTTTCCGATTTTCCCAATTTATTATGAAAACTTCAGAAAAATCGAAAAAATATTTTTTTTAAAGAAAAACCAAAATAAAATTTCTTTTCAGAAAAGGTTCTACAGCTGAAGATAGGAGCAAGATTTCTGGTATAAAAGTTGTTTAAAAAATAAAAAAAATAATGAAATAAACTTCATTGTAAAACAAATACATTGCTCAAAATTGAAAAGTACCTAATACTCTTCAATACGTATAACGTGAAAAATTGTTTGTTTTATCCCTTCTTATCAGTGACGTGACTGGTTAGCGATACACCAATATTGGAATATAAATAATTCGAAACCCATCTGCACATTTTCAAAATTATACCATTTTCCATAAACTATGTAAAACGTTAATATAAGTAATCATTTCAGAACTTCACAATAATGTTTCATTAAACTAAAACCAAAAATAAAAAATAAAAATTATCAACTAAAAAAATACCGTGGTTTTTTTTCATAAAGGATTTAAACATGACAGGCTTGTAAAAATTACGACACTACGCTCGAGTTTTATTCACTACTCAGTACAACTTAAAACTCATCGCGATGAACCTGTCTCAAATTGTTTTACACTTTTACTAAACGTTAATACGATTTTATACAATTAAACCAAATAAAAGTCAAAAATTGCAAATATAGCCGCTATAAGAATAAAGAAACAATTTTGTTAAAATAGATAAAGTTTTTCGAACAATTGGGAGTGCTTCTTAAAGCACTTCCTTATTAATAATTCTATTTTTTTATACAAATGTTAACACAGTAACTTATTTGTATGAATCTGCAGGGGGTATTTCAAACTCAATATATCCATTGAATACATGTAATTTAAATATAAAAAAGACGTCCTAGGATAATTTAATGTATATCTGCAAGCAACGATAAAACATTGCTAACGGAAAAAACGATTCTGAGCGCAGTTCAGTTATAAGTGATGCTTTGTCAACAATATATATATGTCATATAATGGTAAAATAATTAAATAGGCATTATATATTTTCTTTAATAATATTTTTTTAATATTGTACCGATTTTCCTATGTTTTTTTTCGATATTTCCCATTTATTGGGAAAACTCCTGGAAAAATCGAAAAATTACCTCCCTAAAGTACTTGCGCAGTTAGATTTTCGTTCAGAAAAAGTGTTGTCATTTTAAATCGGAGCGAATTTGCTGATAGAAAAGTTGTACATAGGAAAAAAAGGCCATAATATTTTTTTACTAATAACTGTATTTCGTACGTTTTCCATTTTTCCGAAATTTTATCCCGGGTTTTCCACGATGATATGAAAACCGCTTTAAAAATCAAAAGACGACTTCTCTAAATTACCATGGAGGTAAAATTTCCTTTCAGAAAATAAGCTACACTTGATACATCGGAGCAAGATTTCTGAAATTTTAGGGTTCAGCCACTGTTATAGGTAATTTAATTTATATCTGTAAGCAACGATAAACGGTAAACGGTTTACGAAAAAAAAATTCTGAGCGGAGTTCAGTCGATATTCCTGTTTAGAACTCGTAGTATTGTCTAACAGAATTTTACATCAGTTGTCGGCCTTGCGTTAACTCATTTATCGTCTCATACAACTATAAGTACCATTAGAGTATTCTGATCCTCTCACACAGGGAGAATGGCATTGTTATATATTATAAGGTGAATTCCTCCACTCAACAAGAACAATACCATATACCTATATATATATATATATATAGTATATTATGTATTTGTACGTATGTATTTGTGTACGTATGTTTAATGTTTATTTATGTGTATGTGTATAATACGCACGGCATTGCAGAACAATAGTTCTCTATTTTCGGGGAGAAATTAACAAAAAAAAAAAAAACTGATGCTGCAGTGTTTGTGCAAAAGCGTTTTGGACGATGACTGATAAAACGGCGTAAAGGTTTGGTGTTTCAAGTGACTCCGGTTCGCGGGAAAACGAACGTCGGTATAATTTCCTGACGTCCTCGTTGCGGTCAGACCACAAACAAAATACCTACACTCGCGAAAACTTTACTATACCTATAACAAACAGTACCCATTTCACACTAACTATATACATACAACACCCGCTAACTCCGTTTCGGTTATACGCTGTCAAAGTTCATTTCGAAACTATGTTTCTTTCGTTTTCGTCCGTGCATTATTCAAACGGAATAACTCGATTTATCACACCTATACCCGTTATACGAGAATGGTTGACGTGGTCCGCTAACTGTAATATTGTTTCGACATATTCAATATTATACACCTACCTGCTGTGTCGAACAGTGACGCACCAAGCATTTTTGTACGGGGAGGGGGGAGGAACTAAATTTGACCAGTTATACATGTGATATAGTTGTATCATATTGTATAACGTATACTCAAGGTAAACAAAACAAAATAATACATTTGAAATAATTAATTTTTTATGTAAGTAATTTACAATTCAATCTGCCCTAAAATTTTGTTCAGAAATAGGTTTCGTTTTAAACGAAAAATTGCATACATCATACAGAAGTACGTTTGGGTTGTATTGATATAATTAACTATAAGTGCCAACAGATTAAATTGTTGATATTTCTCGCCAAAAAAATAAAGAAATTAGAAAATAAGTAGCCATACTCGTAAGGTACCAAAAAAAGGTCAAGATGTAAGATATATCTATTTAATTTCCTCCCATTGCTTCAAACAATACATTTGTAATTACAATGAGTACGGTGGTTTTGTATTTAATATTGACAAAAAAATACAATAATTATAGGAAGTTCATGAGTTATGAATGAACAAAAAAAAAAAAACCAATACATTTTTTGCTTCAATAAATGTGCTACTGTTTTTACTGTTTTAGGTGAAAATTTGGAATGGAAGGATACGTAATGTTATTTAATTTATATTTTTAAGCAATGATAAACCGTTATTAACACAAAACGATTCTGAGCAAAGTTCGTTTACACGTGATTTGAAAGTGCGTAATATTTACGATTTTCATCAAAATTTGATCTTAATTTTACCAATATTAAGATTATAAAAACAAACGTATTTAATTTCACTCCACGTGTTTTCTTTATCACTAAGTACTACGAATAATGAGCATCCTGATAAATTTTAAGAGAAGTTATGTTAGGTCAAACAATTTTATTCACACGTACGTGCTAATGAAAAACTATATAAAAAAAATACTAGAAAATCAAAAATGTCTATATACATATATTCGTAAAATATATATATATATATATTGTTTTATTATTATTTTAAATAATTTAAAACTAATATAGACATCATCACTGAGCGTGCTCTTTTTCCACGAAAATGTATCTTAAATTATTTCTTATAGTTACGTATTTACAAGATATTTTTTCCAGATTTTAATCGGTACCTACTAAAGAATACTAATAATACTAAGGACACAAAAAATATTAAACAACAATTATAATAATATATTTACAAGTTAATATTTTGATACATCATGGGAATATTTTCGTTAGGTATACAGTTTGTTGCGTTACCCATTTTTGTAATTTTAAAAATATTGACTTTTTCATTACGTAACATCAGATGAAGTTCATTGTAAAGGTGGTAATCAATACCACGGAAGACACACATTGTCTCGGAAAGTATCAGTGTTATTCGTAATTTGTTTTTTAGATTCTAAGTGGAACGAAGAAGCTTATGGTTTTATAAAGATGTTTATTTTTAATTTTAAACGAGTAATTTTTCGATTTTCTCAAGAGTTTTCTCATCAATATCGAAAAACCGAAGATAACGGGAAAATGTACGAAATATATTATTAAAATATTACGACTTTTTTTTTCTACGAATAACGTTTCAACCAGCAATTTTGCTCCGGAATCTTAATGATTTTAATGTTTCTAAAAGGAAATTTCACTAGGAGGTATTTTAGGGAGGTCATTTTTTGATTTTCTCAGGAGTTTTCTTAGCAAAAAAAAAACTGGAAAAAACATGGGAAAACCGGGAAAAACGTAGGAAAATCGGGGAAATCGGTACAACATTAAACAAATACTGTTAAAGAAAATATATAGAGCCTATTTAATTATTTTACTATAACATGGCATATATATTGTTAACAAAGCATCACTATCTTCTGAAATCCACTCCGAACTGTTTTTTCGTAAGCAATGGTTTATCATTGCTTAAAGATATGCATTAAATTTTCATCAATATCCTACCTCCCCCTCCTATTATGAGAAATAACTTTTACAATATGATTTTTATGAGAAATAATTTTTTAAGACGTGACTTTTATGAGACTTAAATTTATGGTATCCAACTTTATGACACATGACTTTCTAACACTTGATATATTACCCTTTTTAGTTATGACTAAGAGAGAGTATTGTGGAACATCATTTATGTGGCAGCTTACACTTGGCGTTCAAATAGTGTTCTATTACTTTCCCAATACTCAAGCTTCAAAGCGGAATATCTCGTCAACTAGTTGAAGGAGATAAATAAAACACTACAATGTATTCAAACTAATATTTTATCTATTGGATTTTTTGGATAAGTTAATATTTGAAAATCAAAAGTAGTTTGTGGTTTTACCCACAAAAATAAGAATGACAATAAATAATCCAAGTATACAATTTTAGAGAAGCATTTTTCTTACAATTTCAAAAAAAAAAACTCCGAAAAAATAATACATTTTAAAATAATTAGTGTTTTATGTTATGTTGCTCATTTCGTGATCAAAAATTATTTTTTATATATAAGATCTTACTACAAACGTGTGTGACGAGATTTAATGATAGTTTTACAAGTTCTATACTTATCTATAGGGATGTTAGTATTATTAATTGTGTATCTCTTATTAAACATGTAAAAAATATGACTTTTTGCTTTTATTAAATGATTTTTAACTATATGAACGACATATATTTTATAGAAAAAAGATTTTATTGTTAAATTATTTAATTCGTAAAATAAATTACCATCACATATCGAAACCGGTCGTAGTACACTTATCATAATAATCCAGGCGATGCATTCATTAATTAATTAATTTTTTATTTCTATACACAAATTTCGTATTTATGTATTTATTTACGAAAATTAACCATTTTAATAATTTTGTTTTATTAAGAAATATATTAGTAAAATATTACGACTTTATTTTTCTGTAGACAACTTTTTTACCAGCAATTAATAATGATAAATCAGATATTCAGCAACTTGTGATAGCGATGGCTTAAAATTGCATTATTTGTTACTAAAACTTGCATTTTACATCAACTTATGATGTTTCGTCATAACGAGAAAAGTTCAATTTGATGAACTGGGAACTTAGGACTTGGTTAGTTATAGTTGACTCGCTGAGTCAAGTAAACCGATTCATGTCATTAATCCTTAAATAACTAATAATACTCGTATGTAAACATATTTATAAATTATCGGATATCGAGAATTGTGGCTGCAAGACGACTATAGTGATGAGGGGAATAGAAAATTATTTACCGATGACCTTCTCGGAATTATCTTCTGAGTCTACCGTAATGTTGATAAGTATATCAAAACAATTAATAAATACTCGGTATTTCATGCTATTATTTCTACGTTAATGTTTGAACATTAAAATTAATCAATCCTATTTAAAATCAAATAAAACTTATATGAAATATCATCGTCATCTCACAGTGATGTAAATTTAAAATTTTATATCGTTATTTGATGATGACGAGGATAATGAAAAATTGGCAAAGATATTATTTTCGTGCTAAATGCAGCCAATCAATTGCTGGATTATTTTTTTTCTGGGATCGAAATTAATGTGAGTCATACCTTAAATATAGACTATAGGCGTGTAAACTGATATGTGAAATATTTCGTCAAATGTCAAAATGAAAAAAAAAAACATCATCAATAAAATGCAAAATAGTTACATGATTTAATAATTCTACGTGTAGGTATGTGAATCTCATTTTGTGTCTGTGAAGGAAACCATTGTTTTGGAAGAAAAAAAATGCAATTTACATTTAAATCCACGTCCTATTCTACATAATATTAATAATAAATTACAATTTATATTCGACTAGCTTTTGGACGCCACCGAGCCGTGTTCGCACAACGCACCGAATTAAAAATTAAAGAAGATAAATCGTTTTTTTTTTTTTTAAAAAAATCCGTTTAAAATGTTTTCATACGGAATTCACATACATTTATAAAATTATAATAAAATCCTATCAAAATCACAATATTATGTTATATTTCTTGTTTTGAACGTATATAATATTATTTTTAGTTGTATATACAATATTATTATGATACACATATTATTGTACTTGTTTTTTAAAATAATATTATAACAAATAGTGTTTATGAAAATATGTATGCATTTTAAAATAATTGTATTAAAAACAAAAGTAAGAGATTGAATAGTTATCTAAATAAATAATACAAAAAAATAAAAATTTAGTTCATTATCTACAACGAAACTAATTCTTCAAAATAAATGTTTACCATGTTAAATGTTTATATAAGTGTTATTATAAACTTAATAACTATAGACCGTGCAGAAGAAGAGAAAACATAATTCAATATTGAATAAAAGATAGAAACTAGATAGAACTAGTTGATGAACTAATCGTGAAAAAAATAACAAAGAACATTTTTATAATCCACGATAAGTAAAATTTAATTGAAGTATGAAATTATTGTTGTTATGAATTATACATCAATTAATAAATTAATAAATACCTATGGAATAAAGTAATAATAGTATATCCTCTTCCATGATTTTCATATGGTCCATCTGATGTATCTAATTCTCTCACTCAATATTATCTAGGTGTCGTGTAACATACGAGGGTGGTTTAAATTCGCGGTATATATAGCTAGTTGATGGATCAATGGATGTAACTATAAATATGTAAAATCACGGATGTACACAATAAACTAGATTACTAACTAGTGATAATAAGTAAAATTTCTTTCCGCTAGATTCATGAGTTAAGTTCTAGATTCGTTGGCTTTATCATCAACTTTTAAATTATTGTGATAACTATTATATCTATATAATAGTGTAACAATCAAGATTCTGTGGTTAGGTGTACGTGGATCGGTTTAACCAAAACCACCAACTAATTTAATAACAGAGGGTCCGGCGTCGTCGTTACTCATACGTCGTCGTCGCCACAGCAACGAGAATAGATATTCTATGATATTTTCGTTGAATGCGAAAAATCAGTCTTGAAAGTATTTGAACATTTATGGTTGTAACTTTTAATCTATCTAACCAATCTGCTTGCAAGTTTTCTTGTTTCCATCTGCACAATATTTTTGATCGATTGATACCTTATATGATCTTATATGTTCAGCCGTTTGGTCTATAGAAGTGGCCGATGGATTAACACAAATTAGCATGGTTTTCCAATGGTACAACTCGGTTTCCTGTCACTATATGTTAATGCTTGCTACGTTAGTTTTTTTTTTTTACTTAGTTTCACATTACTACCGTCGCGCTGGATATATAAATGGATGTAACTAAATAATTAATTGATAAACCATTTTAAGTAATACAAACCAAATGTTATTTGTTTAAATATTATTATTTCTAATAAATGTATTAGGTGCAGCCAAAATTAATTTGATCCATTTCTCATAAAAACAGTTTACTTGTTTCTAATTTATCCGGATAAGATATACTATAATAAACGATTGTAGGTTAAAATGTCTAAAGAAAAAATGATAAAACATTTACATCCAGTAAATTTAGACATGATAGTTCTAGTAAAATGTTTGGTAGAAATGTAGGTATAATAATTATATTTTTATTACATATTATTACAAGTATCTATATACTAAATATTTAAACTAAGATAGGATAGAAACTAGGATAAAAAATAAAACCATTACCTCAGATAAAAATCCATAGGCAATTTTCGCCGAGAGTATAATTACTATAAACGAAGAGCAGATGTTGAAAATACCGAATGAGGAATTGGTAAAGAAAGCGTTAAGAAACAAAAGAAAAATGGATCATCCTACAGTTCCAATTAATTTTAGCAAATTAATTATAACAGCTATAATCTATATGAGGTAGTTATTTAATTTTAATTTTTAGTGTGAGAGTATTAGTATGCAATTAATTTTATAATGTTCAGATGAATGGAGCTCAATACTAAAATAGGCCACCCAGAAAACCAACCGTTCCTTCTACAACATTAATAACGATACGAAAGAACGCGTTTTGATTTTCGTAACGGACTAGTGTGTTCGTTATCTTGCGGAAGCAACCGACTGGTATATGGAAGGAAATTTCACTTTGACGCCAACACTATTTCAACAACTATACTTCATTCGAATAGAAGTAATGCAAGTGTATAATATAACGACGGTCTTTTGTTTATTACACAACAATACTTAGATCATATATGAAAATGTATTTACAATGCTGTCAGATAAATTAGAAGATATGCATTTAAATATAAATTTGACAGTTTTACAAATCGATTTTCAAAAATGTAATTAATACGGCAAAAAATGTATTAGGAGAAAACATAACAATACAATGATGTTTTTATCACTGTTGTCAATCGATCCATAGGAAAATACAGTCACTAGGTTTAGAAAAAGAATATAAGTAAACCATATAAATGAACCATTTTCGAAATTTTGTAGGGTGTTAGATTCACTGACCTTTTTTTACCGATCGATGACTTACTAAGTGCATTGGACTTTTTAAAAACAATTATGCCCGAAAAAGCGTACGAGTTGGTCGACTTCTTCGATTTAATGAATATTGGGAGAAAAACAATGAATAGAAACAACAATCGACGTGGATTAGGAGAATTCCCCCCTTGTTTCCTTTTTAAATTTGGAATGTACATGAGATAACATTTAATAATGGACAAAAAACTGACAACCAAACTGTGAAAGATGGAATCTTAGGTTTTCTAAATTATTTTCACATTCCCACCCAAATATATGGCTAGTTATTAATAAAAAATGTAGTTAGAATGGGGGGGTTGACCAGTGCAAAATAGGTCAAAGAGAAAAAGGCGAACCACTAAAAAAAAAATGTATGTCGATATAAAAAAAACTTCACTTGTTATGCGTTGAGTACAACAACAAAGAAAATATTCGGAATGCATATCCTTAAATTTAATTAATATTTTATAGTAGAGTAAAATAATATATTTGTTTTTTTATTATAATTTAATTTGTTTTATGTTTATTTCAATTACTGTACAATGTTTAAAATGATTTTTGGTCAATTTTATCATTGTGATTTTTATTGCTTTTAAAACCAAAATTAATACGATTATTATACCTATTTATATTATTATTATCGCGTATTAAAATTATATTTAATTTATTATTTAAATCTATACCATTACCTATCCAGATCAGAGTTAGAGATCAAGGACAAGATAATGGGGGCAGAGAGGGGACTATATTAAAATTATCGATTAGAAATCGTAAAAAGTTAACTTTTTACTGTACGGCAGAGTGACCTTTACAAATGTCATTTTACGAATACGAGTGTGTGTGTGTGTGTGTGTATGATAATAATATTACACAATTGAAAATAACAAAAGTATAAGTAATAATATTATTATTGTTATTACGATGTAGACTTATGAAATAAGTATATTGTTGGAGCTTTATTAGGTATTCGAAAAAATATATAAATATTTATAATATTTGCAACTGCGTAATATAAACTCAACTCTGTGCAGTTATGGTGCCCATTATAATACATTAAACTATTAGACTCTGTATACAGCTAAAATATAACAATACAATACGTTATTGAATTTCAGGTATCGATTTCAACAATATACCAGGTAAATCATTTAAGTGAGTAAATTCATTATCTCGAAAAGTATTTAATTTTTTTGGCTTAAGTATCGCAGGATACGGTACATATAGTGGATACAATTTCAAAAATATCTACGGATGAGTGGCGTCATCATTTCATATCGTATGTCTGGTCAATAACGATGTGCAGTGCTTGTCTTTAGTACTTGTAACTCACATTGGTAGGTACTTATCTACTGGAACCATGGTAAATGGACAATCTGAGATTAAGTTCTTGGTTTGTCTATGTGGTTTCCTAAAGAGTTCGGGGAACTGCTTTACCCCGGTCTTCTTAGATGGCACAGGCCCTTTCGTGGCGGTGGATATTAGTAACACCGTGGATTCATTCAGGTAAGAAGCTAACATCTGCAAATTTTCATTGGGCAAACGAGCGACGGTACTTCCCCACCGAGGTTGTATTCGGCGAGAGATCGAGACTACGGGCTCGCCTCTTCGCGTGATCATTCGGGGGTCTTCTCGCGTTTCGATCGTTGGGTCGCAGCATGGGATGTTCTCGGGCGATCCACTTATCACCGGCAACGGTGATTGTGTTATTAGACGCGTATCGGAAGACTCCTGACTGCCTCCGGTACGGATTGATCATCTGCTTCGTCGGTGGTTGGGTGTCGAGATATGTCCAACTTTTGACATTTATGAAAAGTAGTCCGGGTGGTCTCCGGAACCCCGGCGTCGACCTATTCTCGGCACTGAAAGGAGACCCAGTCGGCCGCGGTTTCGTGCCGTGGTCGGTGACCTGTCTGTCATACCGGTAATAGATAGTAACAAGGTATAGTTATGATAACATGTGTATTATAAGTTTATAACTACCTTGGATAGTGTTAATAAATGATAATTTGATTGATAATAAGTTAATACATAGAAGTTGTGACGACTTATTAGCACCGCCTGACGAACCCACGTTGTGAATATGGCTATGAGAAGCGTATAATCGTGGAGGGGTAGCAACTTGTAGTTAGTAAATAGAATCAGTTCTATTCAATCGCCCTTCCACTTCCACTCACACTCACGTTATTTAATTATGGTATAATGGTATAAGTGTGAGCGACAAGTACTACGCATCGTGTAAACCAGGCATAATATTTCGAAGAGCACACGAAAAATATTCGTTGGGGCAGTTGAATATGATTTATTTTTTCATACAATGAGACTAATTAGCCATTAATACAATTAGCCAAAGTAAAATATACATACTTCCAGTAGTCAAATTTTTGTGTTGAAAAATGATATGTATTTGTATACCTTATTCTTTTTTATATTTTGTGAAAGGAAGATCTTTTAATTGTTTGTTTTTTTATGATAATTTTAAGCACCTCTAAAAAGAAGTTAAACCCATCAAGTACAATTAATAACTACATTTTACAAACCTTTTTTAGACAAAAATCAAAGATTTCAAAATATATATTTAAAATTAGATAAATGTAGGTAGTGGGTAAATTTTGTTCCAGCTTGCTAGTCTAAAACGTCTTATTTAATCATAAAAACTGTTGTATTGCTTCTATCGAAACTATATCGATTTACGATAAACAAAAACATCACTCTCTATGGTATAAGTAGAAAATTGATCGGCAGGGGCAAACCACAAAGAAAATAATTTTGAGGGGGAGTTTCGCAAAATATATCTATCATATTTAACGTCTGTATTGTAGTTAAACAATTGATTATTTAAAATTTGAATACAAACTAAAGGGTAATTTATATTTCAGGATGATTTGATCCGCCAAACCAGCCACCTCACTTCTGCTTTCGCCAGTGCTGATAAATTATTTTAACACCGCCAACTAATCTAAACATTGCGTTACTTTCATAATTTTGAACTCTTAAAATTGTAATATTTAACTATATATAATAATAAAGCTAAATATCCAGAATACTCAAACTTTATCGTAGGTGATTTAGTAACGTATTTATAGGGGTTTATATGGGTAATATATCACACTCCAGAGTCTCTGTTTTAGGTTTCATCTTTTTCTTTATACACGGGTTTTTAAAAGTGTTTGTAGTCTTTGGCATCCCCTAAAAGTTATTTATTACCATTATTAGATAAAACTAAATCGAGAGGATTAATGATTGACAAATAGTAAAAACCCCTTAAAAAATGTCTACCAAAGTTCAAAATACCTTAATATGTTATTAAAGAGTGTATCTACTGCTGTAAGAAATGGCTTGGTAACAATAATATTGAGCCATATAAATCTATAAGACAATTTTATTGTTACCGTACTATATATCACAGCATTAGAAGATAAAAGGAAAAGTAAAAAATATTTGGAGGACTAAAAGTAAATGTAAAAAACGAATAAGGTGAAACAGATCGCCATGATGTCACGTTTTTAATACGTGGCCATCACCTTCTAGAAGAAAATCGTAAATACGCCATTGCAGGGATAATAATATTATACAGCTTCAGTTTTCCGTGTAAATAGTTATTTTTATTTTGTGTACATTATATCATATAATTATAATGACTGTAATAACGAAATCGTTGTTTTTTCTATTAATAATATTCGTATTAACGAACGTTGGTTGGCGATAAAATAAAATAAAAGCCCCGTTTCCCGTTTTATAGTAATATATGGCAAATGCAAATCACGCTGTATACTCAGAGAATTATAAAGGCGAGCAAATATTTATTTAACGATATAATTTAACATAATATTTCGTGGAAATATTTACACTGCGTTTAAGAGTTAGCTTAGATTAATCGGTAGTTATATTATAAATTTTAATATTATATAGAGACGCAAAAGGTAGTGTTGGTAAGACTAGATGTAATTACACGAGTACAACAAATATAATAAATGGTTTTGGTTGGTAATTTTGTAGTTTTGTTTTAATTACGCGAACGTTATAAAATGAATAATAATATTTATACAGAAAACAGGTATTTTGTGATAATTTACAAGACGCTGGTTTTTAATTTTGAAATTTTTATTTGTATGTTTATCAAAAATAAAATAACAGGTCGCGGACTAATTCAATTACTTCTTAAAATTTCGTGAAGGTCCACTTATTCTTGCGGTATACTAACTGATATCTAGTAAAACCTCGCCTAACGAACACGGACACCTCCTAATAGTGGACGTTTTCACTATTTTTCTATAGGGAGACCTTTAAATAGTAAACACCTATATAGTGTATTATAATCTTAGCTTGTAAATATTGACAAACCAATTACAGCAAAATGCTAGATATATAAATCAACGAACTCGTTATCGAAAGATAAGAATGATATAATGATAAGATAAAATTAGGACGATTATTACGGAAATATAAATTTCTTGATTTATTACCAATGCTTAGTTTTTTTTGTCGGGCTATGATTAGTTTTCAATGATATAAGTGTGTTAAAACGAAAAAATTTAAATTTTCGACAAAACAACGTAGCTTCTCGTATAGGTACTCTCAGCAAAGTTTCGAGCAGAGGCACAATTAGCTCATAAACCTTGAAGCCCCACTATAATACTAAATAAATACAGTGGTGCAACCAAAAGGATGTTTCAAAAAAAAAAATTGAGAGGTTTAAGACGATTCGGGAGGTTAAGCTCCCTTGCTGCCCTTAATTTCATCATTGGTGTTGAGCTGAAAAAACTCTAATCTGAATATTGTGTCAAATAAAAATGGAATGTACAAAGTGGATCATAATATATTATAATACACAGTTCCTGGGCAATTAAACTATTAAGAACAACAAAAACGTTTAGTATTAGCTTAAGAGTAAGTTACAAGTAAAGGTTAATTAGCAACCATGGCAATCCCAAAAAATAATGATAAGGTAGGGTAAATCCAAAATGTATTAACAAAATTAACAAATTAACCTAAAAGGAGGAATGACGGATACATATTGGCTACACGCAACAACCTGGTGAAAGGCTCGTTTCTTAAATAGTTGGTAGAGTAACGTGGAGTAATATAAAATGTATAATTCCGGGTTGTACGAGTTGGTACCTTATAGTTTAAAAGAACAAGGAGAGAAGGAGAATCAATTGAACCAGAAAGAAGGTTTTGGAGAAAAAATGTATTTAGATGGTAACAACAATGGACTAAAATAGTGAGCTTTAGAAAACGGTGGACGGGGGTGTATTCGTGAAGCACATAATTGATAAAAGTATATTAAAAGTATACTTTACGAAAATAACAAATCTTCGCTGGACATGCTCGAGTTGTTTGCAAGAATCCACAGTCTGAGGATCCTAAACAACTGAACCATATTCATCAATAGATCTAACAAGCGAACAGAAAAATGATTTAAGAGAATGGGAAAGTTTGAACTAACTTGCTATTATTTTAATAAAATCTAAAACCTTTAACGCCTTGCAGGTGTTACTGTCAATTTGTCCCCTTAGGACAAAGAAATGGAGAAAAAAAAAGGCCAAGATTGCGTACATTAAATTCGAGAGGAAGCAAGTTGAGACCATTAATGGAGTAAGCGAAAGATATAAGTGAGTGGCCATGGGAGAATAACATAGATTTGCATTTTCGTCAAATTGTCAATTTTTAGATTAACACAATCGGCAATAGAGTTAACCTTAAGAACTAATTTCATGTCATCCGCAAAACATAACAACTGACAATATTTTGGAGATGAATAAACACTAATAACAAACAACAAAAAAAGTTAAGGGGACAGATGGCTATCTTGAGGGATGGAAAGAGAAATACTTCAGACTTGATGTTGAATAAATTTACCTATTGTGAGCTAAAATTAATTGAACAAGGTAAGAAGAGGGTCACCAAAACCTGACACTTTTAAATTAAAAACTAGAACCTCATGGTTATTTATTATTATATTTCTATTATAAAATATTACAGCTGTTTTTAAAATAAACAATAATATAACATCTATGCAACATGTTTAATATGACATAAGTTTGTTCTAATAAAACAGACCGAATCCATTGTATGTATATTACATTGTAATGCAATCATATAATACAATAAATATGTTTCAGGGATGTTGACAACATCAAATATTCAAAGTTAACAATCTTATATCGACAGTTTGGAAATTTGTATTTTTCCTCAAGGTTTCGGAATATTGTCGGATTATAAATTATAATATACACGCTAGTAGTATTATTACTGTGGAAACTTTAACTTATAATACACTACATAAATGCCCCGAGAATCTTTTTCCATGCGTTTATATAAACAAATCCTAACTAAACGGTATGTTTAGCTAAACAAATACCGGTGTTTAATATACAAGTAACGTTTCGCAACACTACCGTTAACAATAAAAAACACAATTACCTTCGCTGAAACGATACCAAATTCAATTTGTTGAGAACGAAACGTACTCTAGAACTATTTGACCGTATTTTATAATCTCTATAATGTCTTAGAGGACGGAGGAGACGGCACACACGCAAATACATAATCATAAATTAAACAATTCCATTTGCCGGATAGACTAATACAACTAATCAAGATAAGTATCTTAGAAACTTTATCAAAGTAAGAGTAGGAAATATAACAATGGATCCAATAATAGTTAAATCACTAAGACAAGGAGACGCTATACCACCGATATTGACATTATTATAGTACTAAAGAAATCATTGAAAAATCACAGACGGGTTAAAATCATTGCTACATCGACTAGAAAATGCAGCTTTGAAAATTGGACTTTATATAAATGAGGAATAAAATGGTATACATGGTCGTAGGAAAACGAAACACCACGAGAAAATACTCAACTTAAAAAGTTGATAGCCGAAATTTCAAAAGAGCGAAACATTTCAAATATTTAGGCTCAATATTGTTAGAGAAGAATGAGACAGAAATAAAATAATGGCGAGATTTCAGTCTGGAAATAAATGTTTCTATGAGCTTGTTAAATTACTAGGTTCACGGTCACTGTCAATTGACTTGGTAACACAATAATTATATATTTCTCTGATACGACCGTTAATTACGTACGGACTTTAGACTTGGCCTTTAAGGAAAATATTACAAAAAATGTTTGGACTAGTAAAAGATATCTCAAGTAAGGAGTGGAGAATAATGAAAAATGATTAATTGGAAACACCCTTAAAAAACCGAATACATATTATAGTGAAACCAATAAAGTACAATAGATAACAAAGGGCCGGGCATGCATGGCGGAGCCAAAATCCTCTTAAATTTACAGTTCTAGAAGATCCTACCGGGAAAATACGCTAGGAAGTTTGAGATGAATGGATTTCGTAAAGAAGGATGTGGAAGCGTTAGGAGAAGGTCTAAATTAAAAGATACAAGCATCAAATAGGCAAAACTGGAAGTAAGGTTGCATGTCGGAAAGGTCCTAAGGGCTGATTTACCTAAGAAGAAGATATTTAATCAACGATTAACCATTGTTAACGAAAAAACGATTCTTATTTGAATTCAGTTGATAGTGTTATTTTACGAATAATAAATATGTCATATTATGGTAAAATGATTATTTATGCATTAAACATTTTTTTTAATAATATTTGCTTAATATTGTACCTATTTTCCCGTTCTTCTGTTTTTTCCGGTTTTTCAAATATATTGAGAAAGGGCCTCAGAAAATCAAAAAAGGACGTTCCTTAAGTACCTCCTCAGTAAAATTTCCTTAAAAAAAAGTGTCATCATTGTAAATCTGAACGAAAATTGTTCACAAGGAAAAAAAAAGGGCTGTTATATTTGTTTCACTAATAATACGTGTTCTTTTTTATATTCAATTGCGTTTTACAATTTGACTGTGTTGTATCTTATGATAAATTTTAAATTCGAAATCAGTTGTATTATACATTTATCATAATACTCCACTCGACGTATTCATTCATTTATTTATTTTTTCATTTCTATATACATTTTTTTTTTTTTAAATATTTATTTACGAGTATTAACTATTTTAATAATTTTATTTTTACTTTATTATTTTATTATTTTTTTGAATTATACCTACCCGTATATACAACGATATTTTATTGTTGACGATATATGATTCTGTGCGAAGTTAAAAATACTACATTAAGCTCAACACTAAGTATAACTTAAAATGAACCTTGTTTTGAATTTGTATATATCTTTATCCGGCCAAGCAATTTCATTCATTTAAAATCAAACTAAAACTTGTTTTCAAACAAAAGTTTGAAAATGTTAAATTTCTATCAATCAACAGAATATTTAAAGTCTAGAAAAGCCTACAAAAATTGTTTTTTTTAAGCATTTAAAATTCAAATTTTGATCTAGAAAACTTGTTTCGATTATCAGGAGAAACCCAGGAATATTAATGCAAAATCATTTTTATTAATTTTTTTTTTTCAAATTAATAAGTTTATTATGGTTTACTTTTTATTCCAGTTCAATAACAAAGTTGAATTTCAATAAATAACAAGAATTAAAAAAAAAAAACAATACACACTATATCGACTTCGGACTTGTTAAAAATTAATTTATTCGATTACAATAGAATAAACATTTTTTTCTAAGCAATGATTAATCATTACACTTATTCCAAATACGATTCTACGTGGAGCTCAGAATATTAAAGTTGTGGCTCATTGATAATTTCTCTTCATCTTTTATGATACTAAAAAGGAACATTTAACTGAAAACGTCCACACACGATATTAAACGAAATAAACGCAAACATTTTCCAGAATGTGTACACTTTAATCATATAAAATATAGTTTAATATTTTGTTTCCGGGACAAAAAGCAAGTTAAATAGAATTCCTCGCTCTCTGCTCGGAATCTAAAATAGCTTGTAGGCATATGCCTTAGAAATATATAAACATTAAAAATATAAATAGAACGTGACTACTAAGTAATGTAAACTGGGATCATTATAGTTATCAAAATACCTGTTTAATATAATTAAGTAGCATATGGATTTAATTTCGTGTACTTTGACTAGAAATACAACAATTATTTATAAGTTCAAGAACGAAGTAACATTGGAAATGATTCATTGCGTAGTTATAAAAAAAGTAATTTTATGTACCTCTATGTAAGGTGATTTATATAACATATTTGTAAAATCAAACACTTGAGATGATTAGAGCTTAAATCCTAAGTTCGATAGGTCACGTACCAAGATCTAATAAGACCGAATAAAAATTCTTGAATTTGAAACCTAAAGGAAAATGGTTACTAGGCAGACCTAAACAACAACAGTATAATCAAGTTTCAAAGGATCTAATAACACTAGCAAAAGAAACATTTTAAGGAGGTACCATAGGTCTCCAGTACTCTAATATCAACACATTTTAAGTTCAAGTAAAATAATAAACTATTATATTTAGTAGAGCTCTGCATTGCCCGGTTCTTCAAGGCACAAACAGGATCAATGAAGTTAAATTAAGACCAGGACTGGATATGACCGAATCGGTTTTTTTTAAAACTAAAAAAGCTAATACCAGACTATTTTAAAACTCTCGTAATAAAGACCATACTAGAACAAATAAGAACTTATTTAATATTTATATATTTTAGATTCAAGACATAGTGAGAGATTTATGTTTCATTATGATGTGATTTTTTTTCTTTTTGTATCTGTGTGCAATTTTTCTATTAGAAATCGTGCTCTAATGTGCCCAGTGTAAAATGTTTTATGAAGAAAATTGTATACACTTAGTGCATTTGGGAAATAATTTTTAATTTTTCTAGGGGTTTTTATAATAATTAAGAAAAACTAGAAAAATAATTATCGAAAAATGGCAATTAATTACAGCACGTTACTCGTTACCGATTTCATTATTTTTAATTTTTGCAAACTATGTTTTCTACCAAAAATATTTCTACAATAAAAAACTGACAAGATATCTTTTTTAATGTATTTCTAATCTAGTTACTCACAAAAAAGATAATTTTTTTGATTTTCCAAGCAATTTTCATAATAATTGGGAAAAATTGTAAAAAAACGTAGGAAAAACGGAAAAATGTATGAAACGTATTATTTAAAATTTTTGTGTTTTGTTGTGATTCAGTTGAAAATATTTATAAAAAGTTAAAATTAAGACAAACAAATTATATTTGCCTTTTACAGACGTGTTGAAATTTTCAAAACCGTAATATGAGACTTATTACATGTCTCATAATTATAATTATGGTGGCTTAATACCGTTTTCGTGAACCGTATGTAAAATTTACGTTTGAACGGAAGTTAATCGTACGTAATTTGCACATAATGTATTTCTTTAAATTTTAACAGTTATATGTAGTTTTATGCAATATTAACCGATTCCATCTAAAGTGTTTTAATTTTATCTTAATAAATATTAAATTTGAAGTCTGTGTAATGGATGGGACATACAAACCAAAATCTGAGAAAGTCAAATAATTCTAAAAAAAAGAGATTGTTGTTAAAAAATTTAAGCATGTTCTGTTATTATTTTTATCTATTTAATATCAATGTTTATTAAAATGTTATATAAATGTTATATAAATGTTATATAAATTATTATTATTGTTATTATTTAATAAATAGTAGTAATTGTTCCTAAAATTAAAATTTCTTAAAATATTCAACATTTAATTTTTAGTTTACAACAATCTTGAATATTATACGATTATTCACATCACCCGATTCTTTGGTTCAAATCACCAACAACCATTTTCGGAGAGATTTGAACCACTTTCCAACCTTTAAATAAATCTATTAATCTAGAAATTGATGGAATTTGTATTATGTCAATATGTAGCTATGATTTCTTTAAATATCAATTCCATTTCTATATATTGATTGCCAAAAACTGTCTCGACTCTCCCTTTAATGTACTGTCACGCTCTAAACTTTGTTTGCCCACACGTGTCGTATAAAATACAGGAAAAGTTGTTCAGCGAATAAGTGTACAAAATCCTTTGTTACTCTTATAAAATATGTTTTGTACACGAGGACTTTTTAAACTCTTTTAAAAGTTTTTTTTTTCACGATCGCATGAAATAAGCATGTCAGAGATCAAATAAAAAACAAAAATAAAAAATTACGATTTCCGGTTAGTTCCGGTTAAGCACAGTTATGCACCGTTGTTCAGTATGAGTAATTAAGTTCATTGTTATACAATTTTTTTTAAAGAAAAAAATTAATTGATTATAAATTATAATTTTTGAAAAATATATCAAATTAATTTGAAAAAAAATTAATTTCTTATTTCCAATAAGAAAACCATACAAATTTCGAAATGAAAAATTAAACAAAATTTACTAAGTAGCATCACTTGTAAAGAAAAAAAAAACAGGTAATGTATTGAATTTCCATAAATCGATGTTATTCCTCGATATCATTCCTTTATAGTTATTCCTCGATATCTGTTATATCAAAAATTGTATAGCCGTTACAATATAATCAACACTTTAAACGGTGTCTATAGCATACTCAATAAGATCTGACCTTTAAAATTGAATGTAACACTTATTAAACTAATTTACTGTTAATAAATTCGATAAAAATTAATTTTACACACCTGTTGTTAAGCACTACAAACACTATAAGAAAAACAATTGGGCTTTTATTTATTAAACCTATAAATAGGCAGTTTTACTAATTACTGTAAAATCTTAAGTCACTCTTTCTGTCTGTCTGTGCGCTTAAACTTTCTAAACTACGAAAAAGGATTTTGATCCATCTATCGTTAACTTAGAGAATTTTTCTAGAAGATTTATTTATATAACACACGGGGAATCCTCTCTGAGAGGTGTTTCACATAAGGACAGGGTAATTGGTATTTTATGTACAAAAATCTAACTATTTTCGTAACAATTCGTAAATAACCGTACATGTGTTGTCGTGAGAGCAAAATCATGGTTTAATAACTCTGCGTGTGCGATATTCTCTGTTAAAAAAAATATGATAATATACCTAAAGATAGGCACATATTATTATCATAAAGGTAATTTATTTATTTATTGTTGTTTTAACACCCCAAAGAGGTAAATAGTACGGTACAAAGATAAGAACAAATGTATACAAAATAAAAAAGTTTGAAACTTTCCACAACAAACTTACATACAATTATTTATTATACATAGTTAATAATTAAAAGCTAATTTAAGTTTGGTTATTGCATACAATTTTTTTTTTTAAATTTAAATAATGAAAGAAAGAAAATAATGAAAATTTGGTACATTGTTACATAAATTTAAATAATAATAATAGTAATCATTTTTTACTATTGATTCTGAGCGGAATGAGGAATGAATTGGTTTAACAATGATGTATATTTTGTTCGTAGACTAGAAATTTGGACAGAAAACTTATACTTGACTTTTATAGCCGTGGTGAAATATTCAAAAAAAATTGACACCATTTTTTAGGTATTTATTATATGTTGTTAGACATTTTAATTTTGCAGGTTTTTACGTAATTTTTATTCGGTAGGTACTTTGTAAATAAAATCGTTAGACTACACAAAAATAATAAAATAATAAAGTAAAAACATAATAATTAAAATGTTTAATACTCGTAAATAAGTACATACATTTTGTATATATATATATATATATATATATTTACTATATTTAAAAAGAAAAGCTTGAAAATAAAACAGGCAGTTCATTTTAAGTTTTACTGAGTGATAAACAAGAAAAATGAAAGATTTTCTCGTTCTAATAGGAAATCTGCTTGGGTAGGTACTTTAAAGAGGTCGTTTCTCGATTTTCCCAAGAGCTTTCCCTGCAAATGTGTAAAACCGGGAAAAACATGGAAGAACCGTGAAAAACGGGAAAATACTAAACAAATATTATTATAGAAAATATACAATGCATATGTAATTATTTTACCACAATATGACATATACCTATAATATTAACAAAGCATCACTATCAACTGAACTCCGCTCAGAATCATTTTTTCGTAAGCAATGGTATATCGTCGCTCACAGATTTACACTGTCCGTGATAGCTGTAAGTCCAGTAAACGAGCACTATCGCGTTCCGCAGTCGGTTTTGCTCATCAGCCGTCAGGTCGGGCACCGCAGTGTCTAGGTTACGACCCCCTAAACTCACCCACCTACCCTTCATAGGAGAGGAGAACGGCGAAACAGTAACCGGTCGTCGGCAAGCAAAAGGCCGGCGGCCAGCTAGTGTGGGAACACCGTTTTCGCGGAGACATGGCAGCCGTGTACGCCGCGGACCCATTACAAAAAATAGAACATTAATTTGTCTACTCTTAGTCACTTAGTTCAATTATTTTTATTTTTATTTATTTTACACCAATAAACTACTCTTATCTTGTTGTGAAACCTGAAATTTGCGTTATTTGTCTACAACAATTTTGCCCGCATGCGTGTTAGTTTGCACCACCAGCTACAAAACCGGAACAAGGTGACACGAACGGATACCACTGCTGAGGACCAGTGTCGCACCGTGTCACTGATGTACATTAAATTCTCTTCTTTATCCTACCTTCCCAAATTCTCACTTACACCAGCAGCCTACCCATCGTGATAAACATGTCTTTTTTTTTTTTTTTTAATAAGGCTTTTGAATTTTTATTTTTAGTTTTCAAAATTGCAAATATATAAGTAATACACATTGATAAGCGAGAAGATTTAAGCTATACAGTTATTGTTTTTTTTAAGAGCATTTAGAAAAACGATAAATCATTAAATTCAATCGAAGGTTTTGAATAGAGCTGTAGGGAATTTAAACTTTGACATGTGCTTGATAATTTTTACGTGATTACTATTATTATTTTTTTTTTATCGAAGTCATTGAATTGAAGACATTTCGGATAATAGGGTTTTTGAGTATTTGCTGTATTCAATTATACCTGTCCAAAAATGATGATGGAAAGTATATAGAAGTTGTGGGGGTTTTAAACGCATTAACCAAAAATTATTTTTCTTGAATAACGCGGAGACTAAAAATGAATAAAAACTAATTAACTTCCTACACTTTTTAACGATATATTATGCACAAATTATTTTATTTATTAAAAACTATACTTGTATTTTAAGTAAATCTAAAAATTTAAGAGAATTTGTTTGCTTATGGATTTTTTTAAATTTGTTTTGTTTTTATTTTTTAATAAAATAGCTACGATTATATTAAATTAATACAGAAACATCAACTTTGCTCGTACATAATATTCAAAAATTTAGGTTTTTAAACAATTTTTTTAACTATCGATCCGGCGAAATTTTATATTAATCCGTAGTTGACAAACATTATGCATATATAGTAGTGTTGAAATTATTTAGATAAAATTATCTAAAAGATAATCTCTTCAGCAAGTAATTGGAGTCCGGAAGATTAAAATAATAAGCAAACGAGGTCCTGAGACAAAACAATTGTCACATAAAATAGTGTGTCTAAAACTGAATGTACAAACAAATTTACTATACTTATTAAGTACTAGCAATTAAATTAAAAAATTTAATTTAATATGAACAATTTTCTTTCATTGTTTTGTTTTTAGATTCTGGGTGGAGCGAGGAATGTATTAGTTTTACAGTGATGTTTATTTTTTGTTTTTGTTGACAACTTTTCTACTAGCAATTTGGTTCTGATTTTCAATGATGACACTTTTTCTGAAAGGAGATCTGCCTGAGGAGGTACTTTAAGGAGGTAATTTTTTTATTTTCTCAGGAGGAAGGAGTTTGTTTTGCACCATACTTCACTCACTGCTGCCATCGTTTATTTAATAACTTATGAATAACTTATACCGTATGCACAATTTCTGCCTTCTCCTTGAAAAAAAGTTTAATTTATTCCTAAGTTGAAATAAATACCTACCCGAAATATGCCTAGCCCGAAAATTTGTATTTAATGCATTTTTTTAAATGTTCAAGGAAACATTCACAGGTTGAAGCAGATTGCTTATTTCTATTAACATTATAAAGTAACAATATCTGATCTATAATAATTTATTGATTATGAATATTATATCACAGCCATCATCTGGGTTTAATTAATTGAATTAAATATATTTCTTTTTATTAAACAATTTAATTTTTCACACCCGAAAATAAAAAATAAAAATGTATTTTATAAGTGATACACACATTATAACCTAAAAATTATCTTTTATATCTAGTTTAGACAAATCTTTCGTCGTTATCTGTATATAAATACAAAACAATATGAGTTATTATTCCCGGCCCTGAGTTTCATTCATATAATATAGTTTTAGTACAATAGTACCTATACCTACTTTAACATTCCGAACTTAGAATCAATATTTCTACTTAGTCGCGGGGAAGTTACATTATGAAATAAGTTTTCATCCCAAAATGTAATCATTATAATTGAACTATTTATAATGGTATGAATATAGAATTTCCATTGTACAATTCAGCGCGTCACTGTATTTGTACAGGGTGCTTGCTTTATTACGACCAGCGATTTGCTGGTGTTTTACTTCAAGTGACAACCTATATTAAGAAGTCCATAAATAGGTTGCCACTTAAAAATTAAAAGTAGTTAGTTGCTTTATCCCCAAAAATAATGATGACAAAAAATATTACAAATATAAAACTGTGGAGCAGCTTGTTTCTTAATCCCTCTATGATGCGCTTCCCTTGTTCAATTAACTACGACCCTCTTATTTACACTATTTTTGATCATTGTTATTTTGTCTTTTACTGTGATTATGTAATATGTGTTTCAACAAACTCGTAATTGGCGTCCGTAATTTTGAAAAATAAATAAAATAAAACTTTAACGATTGCGCAATAATGATAAAAACGGAAATCGAATTCGCTTGAAATCCTTCAATAAAATAACTGGTTCAAATATAAATCACCCTGTATAGGTATAGATTACGTCTAAAATAACGTCACACAACGTAATATTGAATATTTCGCTATATTTTGGTGATTACTAAATAATATATAATTATTTATCCCGAATCGCACGCCACACACGCGCGTCTCATTACCTTTATTGCGTTATAATATATTCATTATAATGGTATCGAACTTTTGCTCAGACGTATAAAATATAATATATATCACAATCGTAATACAAATAAACGATGCATGAAATATACGTCTAAATTAAAAATATTATTATAAAGATTTAGGATAAACAGGAAACATCAAGTTTTTTTACGGTATTTTACAGTATGCAGTATATCAAGTGATTTCAGTAAACAATATTTTATTTCCTCAAACCGAATAAATAGTGTAGTGAGTAGCGTTTGATTTTCACGTAAATTTATCAATTTAGTATCCACCACGAAAAAAAAAAATTAGATCATTGATATGTGCGTATAGTTAACTCCCACATATATTCTATACTTCTATATTAATTTTGATAAACCCCAATCATTGTAATGTTATCGTATTATGTAAATGCACATTAACCTACGAAAGATGGGTTTTGAAGAAAAAATATCTAAGATATAATATTTGATAAAAGCCGCAACAGAGTAATGGCTAAAAGAAATTTGTGCCTATAGAAATGAAGTAAGTTGACATTAAAATTTTTGATCAACATTTTAAATTAACAAAACTAACAATTTTAAACGTTTTAAATATAGGTCATATAAATTAACTATGTCGGCCGTTCATGAGGACATTAAAATTAATTCTGAAGATATAATAGACGATGTTTTCAGAAGGGTAATTTATAATAAATTAAAAAAGAACATTATTTTGTATTTGATAATTTTTAATGCGATATTATTGATAGGCACACTTGCTGAATCGGTTTTGTGTTAATCTCTAAATGATGATTATAATAATTTTATGACAAAGCGTAGACATTTATTTTTCAAAAACATAAAAATACTGTGAAGTGGCATGTAACTTTATCTCTGATAATGCATTTCATGATTGCACTAAAGTAAAATATAGTTGTCATGGAAAATAAACGCGTAAATAATAAATTAAAATATAAAGAGGCAGAGCAAACAAAAATGTTTTTCAAGAAAAACGTAATCACCGATGTACTTTCTTCTGACACGGGCAGAATAACAATCCATCACGTTATATATAAAACAACACAGCGCTTCCTCTTAGAACCTTACACATTATATATTATGGTAGTTTAGAATAAAAAAAAAATAAATAAAAAGCGAAAATAAATTGAGGTGAAAAAAAGTTAACTACATTGATTACGCGAGATCTTCAAAAACGAATGCAAAATTGCAATAATTAAATTTCTCTTCAAATTATTAATGCCTATATACATTGAGACTTTTTAATAATAGGTAGGTTCTCGTTGATTATTCTCCGGTACAGAAATATTTTATGAACAGTGCCACCAGCTATTTAGTGAAGCATAATTAATAATTATCGGGTTGCTATAGATTAGTAATTCGAAAATATTCATTAATAAAAGTACAGTTAGTCATTTAAAAATTAAATTAATATTAATAATGCTCGTTTGCGTTTGTTTTTGTATTTCATTGATGTTTTATTTACTCGGACACGAAATATTAATTTTAATTAATTCTTTGAGTTTCCATTGAACGTTTTCCGACATTATTAAATTTACATTTTAATTTACACAAAACAAAACAAGACTACAAGTTACAAATACGCTCGTTTTAACGAATATTTTACATCAAATTTAATATACATTTGGATATATATAGTTTTAAACAGACTTTGAGTGATTTATTGTTCGGTTAACTATCATTGCATTGTTCGTGTTTTTGTCTTTAATATAATGTTCAACTCATAAAAACCGATGAATTATACTTAGGTTAGGTTATACTTATATTTATACGTCGTCGTCGGTTTTTTGATCTCTTAGTTTAATTGTTCGTCACGATCACTCAGTGCTAATATTATATAATATACGATCGCGAGACTGCAGAAACAACTTCAGTTTGAGAGTTTCATAAAATTCAAACTATGCGTTTTATTGCGCAACCCAATACACAGAATAATACAATAAGAACATGATGTTTTCCCGTCGTGATTAAGACGAAGAAAAAACTTGAATAAATGCGATTTCAATGACCGTTTCCGAATCCACCAGTATACATTATGTTAAATATTCGATAAATAATTACTATTTATTTTGTTTTCAAAGTTATTTCACAAACTTCGAGTAAAAACAAAATTCGCATATTTCTGACCTTATATAAGGTTATATAAAATATAATATAACATCATAGTGCTGTTTGAGAATTGATCGAGGCTTTGTTGAAAATTGTATATTACATCTTAACTCGGACTACGGACGTTTCGACCTGGACATTTCGGCGAGAAAAAAATGTTTAACTTTAACAACTTTTGAACGTACAATAACGATCATGACGAGTTCATTTAATTGGTGCTGGAAATAATAAACAAAATTGACCGGATACAGTAATTGTTATATAACAGGAAATCGTCGGCTTAATATACAAATGGCTGTTCGCCGTCCCCCCAAAATTGTATTTATAAACTAGTCAAAAGTGTTATAATTGGAGGGGTGAGATGTAGAGAGATTATTAACTTTGGTTTTTCACATTTAATGAGAAAACTCCTGGAAAAATCGACAAATTATCCCCTTAGAGGAACCTCCCGGGTCCGATTTATTTTCAGAAATAATGATAATAATGATACACTTAAAAATCGGAGCAAGATTTCTGGTAGAAAAGTTGCATACAGATATATAAAAAAATAAAATAAAAATCTTTGTAAAACTCCACTAAACTCCAAAAATGCATTACTCCACTCAGAATCGTTTTTCGTTTTCTATTATCTGCCATTGCGTGTTATAGATAAACTAAATTATCCTAGCTGTATAACCTATAACCATCACAACTGTTCAAATGTGACCAACCCGTAATTCAAAAAATGCCCAGTTTTTTTGGTTTTGGTATAACATGTTAAGGAAGTAGAAATTAACATATTACTATTTACTTTTAAAATATTATTTGAAATACTACAACAAAATAAATATATTTCGTACCTTAACAATCACTGATGTACGACAAAAAAAACGATATAATTTACCACGTTATAATATTTTTAATGAAAAATGTATAAATTAAAATATTCGCTCTACTTTCCTATATTAATAACAAAACTTTGAGAGGTTAAAAAGTTGCATCATTATAATTATACATACAACCATTCTTAAGTAACGTGGTTGAATTTATTCGGAAATAACGTCAGAGATTAGTTTCACATAATATATTATTATTTAGTAATATTATCCACCACAGAAGTAGATGGAAAGTTGAGAAGATAAGATATATACAATTATTTATTTCTGTACGCAAGGATAAACTATTGCCACCTACAAATGGTTCTGAGCGAAGTTTAATAATATATGTTTTCAAATGACATCAAAATTTGATTATAAAATGCATATAAAAAAACTTCTACATTACCCACAATTTTTTTTAACACTGTATACAACTTATAATTGACCTCGTGTTGAATTTGTATGTATTACTGTTAGGCCGAATAATTTTATCAATTTTAATAACCAAATAAAACTTTAAAACCTCGATAATTTCAAATGCCTATAGTACAAATAAAATAGTTATTAACAAATAACAAACATGCAGAATGTAATGGACATTTAAAAATTTTTTAATTGGAATAAGATCTAGAGGAAAAGTTTTTTACAGGCGGAAAAAATTAAAAATTAAAATATACACACATAATAATAAAACCGATTCAATCCTCGCTCAGAATCTAAAACATCGTGGCATTGTTGTAGGTATTCATAAATGTACAATTCGAATAAAAGCAACGTTTTATATAAAAAAGGAAGATCACCTTACTGTGTAAATTAGAAACAATAGGAGTATATTATATAATAGTTTAAAGGTACGCGTGTGCGTCCATTATATAAATTCATACCAAAAAAAAAAAAAAATATTTTAATTTAGACAAAAAAAAAATAATTTGTGAAAAAAAATAAAAACAATTATATTAACTTTCAATTGTTTGTCCTGCATCAAGCATTGTAAATGTACGTACTAAACTATCTTTTATGGAAAAGAGTCAGTTAATAATGGTAAACCTTTAAAAATGTTACGTTAGTGAAACCTAATATTTTATTTCTTTATCTGCAAAGACTGAAGAAGTTAGTGAATAATAATATTAACTCAGTTAAAAGTCAATTGAAACAAATTTAACTAGTAAAATACGTTACAAAAGTATATTTTTAATTTTTGTTTTGAAAGTTATTTTTTGTCAAATTAACTTATTATTGTGGTGTACCGTGTATGTACAGTTTAAAATTACTTTTATATACAACGAATGTAATTTTAAAAAATTAGGTTTGTTTAAATTTAAGTTAATTTAAAGGTATTAGTCAAAAGCTAAAATATAAAGTAAATGGACTTTTTTACTCGCAAATAATGATGAAAATAATAAAAAATCAATTATTTTCTTGGTTTATTTAAATAACTAATTTTCGAGTACCGAATAGAAAACAAAATCACGAAAACTAATAAAGTATATCTATATATATATCTATATAAAGTATATATAAGTATTAAAAAAAAAGTAGTCAAAAAAATGACGGGGTTTTAAACCTAATAATTTATGAGAACAGTAATGTATTTATTAATTAAATATCTTGGCACCACAAATTTTGTTTAGTTATAACTAATAAGTAATTAATAAATTGTATGAGTTGTTGCATTTCAAATCAATAATACGAACACATCGATGTACAGTAGTATAAGGGCAGTATATACATTTATAAATAGTTATAATATTAGACTATTCGTTAAATATTGACCGACGGACTAAATGACGTATTAAGACAAAACCCCGAGGTTCAGAACATTGAAATTCGGCAACGAGGGTTTATTACTATTACAAATTGTTACAATTATAATTATTTATAAGTGATAATGGTGCCGGAGTAACGTTACCCCGGCACCATTAGTAAAAAATCGATTTTCTAGAGTTGTAAGGCGCTTAAAAATAAAATTTATTTGCGGTTACAAAATTGTTACATAATTACATATCACATCATACCTGTCGGTTTTAAAGTCAAAATATTTATAAAGTGGTCCCAGGGAAAGGCATATTTTAAGTAACATATTTTTTAGTAACTACGATTTTTTTTGAATAAATTCCAAAAAAAAAAATTGAAAATAATGAAATTGTTTAATTATTAACGGAATGAGGAATGTATTCGTTTTACAATAATATTTATTTTTTTTTCTGCGGACAAATTTTCTACTAGTAGAAAAACTGAGAAAAAAACGTCGGAAAAACGAGAAAATCGGTACAGTATTAAACAAATATAATACTAAAGAAAAAAATATATAATGCATATTTAATTATTTTACCATAATATGACATATATATTGTTGACAAAGCAACACATTTAACTGAACTCCGCTCAGAATCGTTTTTCGTTAACAGTTTTTAATCGTTGCGTACCGATACCTACATAAACATTTTCCTCTACCTTCCTAATTTCTGACTTACAACAGTAGCCCAACTACGTGTGCAGTATGTTCAACTTTTTATATACATTTTCCCGGGTGTTTCTTATTACAATGAAAACTACTTGAAAGTAAAGTGACCTCATCAATACACCAACTAGATTCAAAATGCTACAAAAAAACTATCTTGTCACTTTATTATTAGAACTTGAGATTTCAAGTAGAAAAGTTTAAAAGTTTAAAAATTTGCGCACATCATAGTAGAACTGCACATTAGTAGACATTACTATATGTGACTAGTTAGGAATGGAGGGTATAATAGTTAATTTAGTGAATATATTGTAGGTACATGAAACGACTAACGATAGTGAAGGACGGAAAACGATTCTGAGTGCAGTAGTCGTGGCTTTTTCTTTATTGCCAACGTAATCCAAAAATAACGAAAAATGAAGAGTTAAGGAATTTGTATGGAATGAGCTACTGAACATTTTGATAAATTTTCCAAATAATCAGGCAGAAATTCTGTATCTTTTGAAATGTGGTATGGAAAAATCACGTTATGAATCATAAAACTTATCCCTAGAAAAAAAAAACATCTTTGGTAAACCAATACCTTCCTTATTATACTGAGAATTTAAAATAAATATGAATTGTTTCCTACCGAACAATAATAAGCTTCGGTAGAAACATTTAACAATCTAAACCAGTTTCACAAGAGAAATAAAATGAATCACCTTATCTAAATTTAAACACGAATTTTTTTTTTTTTTTTTGCTTAGAAGGAACAATAACGCGTTATGCAATTTTCTAAATTAATAAATAAAAAATATCAGATCCAATGCCGAATCTGTTACACAAAAAGATCTGAAAATATACGCACAAAAATGGATGATTGGGTTTCACTACGGTGTGTGCACCTCAAAGCCGGATTTCGAAAATTCACCCTCTATATATTCTAAAGGGTGGCTCGCATATGGTTTTCGGAACGAAAATCAAATAATTTTTATCGATTTATGGATCACCTTATTGGTGTCACGGATGAAAAAAACAGTAATACGGGAACAAAAGGGAAAACGGCGAGTTATGGGGCAAACACAGAGAGCCAAGTTTTTAATTTTTTTTTTTTTTCGTTCATAATGTGCACATGTAAATCCTTGTTGAACAACTATACATGTATATATATATATATATATATATATATATATCTGTATTAATGTGGATACCTTTTTCGGGTGTTTTTTTTGGGGGGGGGGGGGAAGGTTCGAGAAGGATCATGACGCTGCACATCGGGTCAGGGTCGAGAATTTCGCAAAGATCGGCAGGAAAGATAATACGATGGGTTTTCTCGGAGTTTTCAAAACTGCAGGTACTCGGTTACATAACCCATTCGGCATGCGCTTGAAACCGTTAAAAATATACCCCACGGAAATATAAAATAATATATGAGAATTCACCGCTTCCCACGACAAACTTGATATTATAATATGTTTTATAACACATACGTAAGTAAGTAAGTAAGTAAGTATAATAATTAAACGAGAGCTCATAAAGCCGAATTTGTTATATTGATTTGCATAAAATAATATGTCTGTAAATCGAAAACTGTGTTGTCGTGGGATTCAATTATATACGGATATAATATGTCAAGATTGCAGTATTTATTTAAATACTGGTGGATTTATCAAATAGATATTATACCCAGAATAATATTTTAATATTGCAAAAATGGAACTACGACCGGATGCACCTATTTAATGTATCACACCGAATTACATAATAATATGCAGGCTTAAGATAAAATTCAATATCTTTAAATGTTAACACAATATAAAATTAATGAATTCCCGATATAAACTATGAATTTTGTAAATTAACATTAATTGTCCTTATTTTTAAAAATATCACAGATTATTATTGGTTTAATAATTTCCATTTAAATTATATGGCAATAACCTATTTATAATAAAACAGATAATAATAAAAAAAATGTAAGTTTGTTATTTGGTTCAATTTTAAAATTAATATTTAATCGGACTTAGTTAATTAGTAAACTCGTTAACTTTTTTCCAATTAACTTAACCGAGTTAACAATATCCATAAATTTGCCTAGCCTACAGACTCCGAATATATAGTCTACTCAATGTGTTATTTTCAAATAAGGAATAGTATAATAGGAATAGTACCTGTATCAAAACTGAGAATAATATATTATAATTATAACTGCAGTAATATTTAGCCGACTCCCTAAGGTTTCCCAAGAGGATTATTATTGTGATAATAATTTATAAATTGAAAATCTACCGAGTTTCGTACAATCATACGAATTTATATATGGTAACAATATGACATATAATCTATATCGGAAATGCAGTTTTAATTAAAATTAATATAGGTACCTATGAATACGGATATACGCCGTATTATTATACTAATCGGAACAAAATAAGCACTCAGACTGCTAATTATCGCCGGCGTATATATATATATATTTTTTTTAAATCAGTTTGAAAGGCTTTTTATTTCGTATGTTTTTGTAGTTTTAAAGATTCCTTGAGTTGAACAAGCAGTAAAGGCTATAAGTTGCTATGTTTTTTTTTTCTTTTCTACTAAGATGACGTGTTATTTTTTCTCAGGAAACGTTTTTTCCGTGGTTATTATTAACCTTCCAAATGTTTCATACGGCTGTATGAGTACCTTAAAAGTTGGCAATTTTCCCTCCCGGCTTTAGGTATATACTCGTACTTTTATCGAACTATTTGTCAATAGAGTCCAAATATGTCATAACGTTCATACTTTAAATTATTTTGGACTCATAAACATTCCATTTTCCACCTTTCGTTTTTTGGTTCTCATGGTCGTACAACACGTACAAATAAATAAAATAAATTTAAATGGTTTTCATGGGCCAAAAATAACTAACAGTAATTTAAACCTTCTTATTGGTGGCGTAAATGCTTCCTAACATTTTTTTGTCTACATACTAGACGTTGTTACCCATCTAGCAAAAACAATATTGATAGAGATAATAGTGGCGTGTTTAAGGAGTAGAACAAAAGGACAAATTTCCACGGGCAGAAAATCTCAATGTTAACAATAATTAATAAGGAGCGTTTCAGCAATAGCATACGTTAATAATAATAACAATAATAATAATAGTACACATTTTACCACACATCGTATATTTTTTTTTTCGAGAATAGAAATATATCAAAATTGTATAAAATAATCAATTCGAGATATAATATACTGATCCATTATCCTTATACAATTTGTAATATCATGTTAATGAATTTGCGATGGTATCTCACGAGTGTTTATTAATTGCGAGGATCAAGGGAAAATTTTTCAAATCGTAACAACCGTTCTTCTTTACATCATTCGGGTGCTTTTTATTACATCAAATTGTTCAAAGTTGTAAACTGCTGAACACATTTCTTTTCCCACGTCAAGTTTTGACCAAAATTTGGTTATTGCTAAAGATTCTGGTTCACACAAATACGAAGTCGTGAATGGTATTAATATATATGCGAACCTTTATGGTTATTTCGGGTTAATAATTTATCTTTTATGTAGTTTGAAAGTTCCAGTATCCTAAAAGTCTAACAGTCTAAAAACAAAACAAAATTAAATGTCCGTCAAGTTGGTGTCGGCACATTATGCTAGGACTCTACAATTAGTATCAATATTTTGCTAGAAATTGAATTTATAAGAATTGATCTTTTCTTCATGCCTTCGTTGTTTGGGAATCGCTACCTCATTCTAAAATTCTAAACATGTTTAGTCGTATTTACACGGTAATATTAATTATCGTAACAGTTGATTTTGATACCGATATCGCAAAAACACCATAACTATTACGATGATATAATATAGTAGAGTGAATTTCAATAAAAACGTCTGTGAAAGTGCGACCCAAATAGAACGATACAGTATAACGTGTTTCTTTAGTAATATAGTTATTATCACTCTCACAGTCTCACGATAGTAAATTATCGTATATTAGATAATGTTAGTTGCTTTCACGATAATGTGATAGTTTACCTGTCCACACATCGACAGATATATAATATAACTATCACGGTAGCCTTTTTTCAACTATTACGATAGTAATAATAAATTACCCTAGAATTTGATGCGGACAAGGTATTATTTTATTTCGTACTGAGTATTGTGTTTGAAAATAATTAAATCAATTAAACTATATTATATTTCATTTGTCTTATGAATAAAGAAGAAAAACAGACGATAATAAATTCCGTTTCATCAAAGTTTAAGGGTACCTCACAAGTCGGAGTACATTAAAGGAGATCAAATATTCTTTGATAATTTTATGCACGTTATTATAAAACATATTTTACGTTGACCGTATTTTTTTCTTTCGTATTGTTTTTTTTTTCTTTTGCGACAACTGTCTTACTATAATATCTACTATATGGTTGACATCGCGATAACACTTAAGTAGGTATACCAACTTTGAAAGTCCGCACCGGATAAAGCCGAACGCATTAGGAGAAAGCCACAAGTCTGTTTTTCTTACAGTATATTGCGATTCGTTTGTCATCCCTGGCAATTCTCTGCAGATGAAGAAGTTGCGTGGAAAACATCGCCGTAAGTCAAAGTAGGTACTTAGTGGAAAGAAAAAACAAGCGGACGTCTTGATGGTTGCGTTCAAAAATTATTATCAACCTTTCTGTGCTCTCAGCATTATATTAGAAATCATTTTTTCTATTTAAATAATATTAAGTATAAGATACTTGAATTTACGGTTTCGCTCATTTACTAATTAAAACTATTAAGTATATCTGAATACCGTTTTATTTAGAAATGGCATATTTTTATTTATTTTTTTTTTTTTTTGAACGGTATAATATCTTCCTGCTTTTGTGGAATTGTTTTACACAGGGAAAAATAGGTCAATCGAAGAATTTTTTTTTTTTATTATTATTATAGTAGTTGCACGAGTTGCAGAGGTCACGTCGATACATCTCGGAGAAAATCAGCAACAACTTTCAGTAGACTTGAATCAACTACGCATACGACATGAATACAATATTACACCTATGTTGAACAATTATTATAATTTAAAATAAAAAAGAATAAGTTTCTATACGAGGCGTGGATAGATGTAAAAATATTAACGAATAAACGAACGACTGCATAATGATGAAAACAGTATTAAGTAATTCATTTTGCTAACCACATTAAGTACGTCATGCTGGTTTCCTTTGATTTGTGAATGAACTCGAGGGAAAGCCCGTATGTGGTATCTTGTACACGTTTATAATTAAAAAATACATACCTGTTTCCACATAGAATCTAAAAGACCGTAACATAACACGAGGAAACAAACGTTTTAGGGGATTGCTTTAGAATGATAAATGCATTGGGGGTCGTAAATAATCTAAAAAAGAGTGTATGCAACTTAAAAGGTGTTGGCTGTAAAGAAATAATTGGACAGTAATTAAAATTTTAGAAATATTAGAATAGTACAGAGAATATATTTATTTGCGTATTACGTACTATTTGTTTTTTTTTTCGAGCATTTTTATTGATTCAAAACGATTTTTTCCGCATAAAACTAAATAAAACCTTGAAAAAACTCGATAATTTTAAGCTATTACATGGCAGGCATAACAAAATCGTTTTAAAACCAATACATTCCTACATTTTTTGCGGTATCTAAACTGAAATGCACCAGCGGCGTATTAAAATAACGAGAAACCCGCCGGAGTTTATAAATATTTTATAAAATGCATTCGCGGCGGAACAGCGACTGCACTTTTTTAAACACTTGTACGAAAATATATATCACAATTCGACTGTATATATTATACAGTATAATGGTATATAGTGTTAAGTTATCTTTTTATTTTTACTCCACTACTCGTGGGTGGTAGAAGATAATATAATACAGCCTCGAGGAAATATAAGTTTTCCGCGTACTATCCCATCTCACCGTGTGAAAAAAAAAAGAAATAAAAATCATGGCACAGTCACACAATCGTGCGTGGTACCGTCTCCATGTACCCCACATCCGAGTGTATATAGCTCAAGTCTCACGCCCCGAGGCCTCGTAAATAATGATACTGAAGTCCTTTTACAATACTCTATACAGTATAGTGTATATTATTATATTATACAGTAAAACGAAACATTACACTATGCAGTGTATACAGTAGCGGATTTTTAACATTTTTCTGGGAGGGGCCCTAAAAAATCATACATATTTAAAAGATATCTCTATTAATAGACGCCTTTTTTTTGGACGATATTTTATTGAAATTATATCGTTATCTGAGTCAATCTGGTAAATCTGCCACTGAGTGTATACACGTATTAACGAATAGTTTTTACCGCTATGAACATTTCACGCAAAAATTGTGTGTTATTGAGAACTTAAAATAATCTATTATTCTTACAAAAATAGCCATTAGCTCCGGCACTGGAGAGTGATAAATTCTTGACAAGATAAGTCATTCATCGTCTCTGATAGTATTGGGTTTTTTTTTTGTGGATGGTAACAAAGTTGTGGGACATGATTATTGTGGTGGCTCTTGAGTAGTGTCTCCACTATTATCTTCACTATTACTCTCCACTATTATCCCTTAATCCACAAAATGGCAAACTTAAAAGTGAAATATCTTTCGTCAAAGGGTTGAAGGAAATTAAATATGTCAATACTTCTATAACAATATAAAGTTTAGACCGAAGGAGTAGAAAAGGGTCATAGATAGGCATGTTATTACTCTTCCCTACTCCTCTGGTCTAAACTTTAAACTGTTATAACTCATAAACGGTAAATCTGATAATACAATGTGATACATATCAAAATTTCTAGAAAAATATCCTCTATTCAAATGTGTATACGAAAGGGAGATTTCCTATTTTAAAATCAAATGTTTGAACTTATTTAAGGTACATGGAGTAGGGGTAAACAATTAAAAATGGTTTTAAAATAAAGCTTAAACGATTCCATAATGATTAGAAAAAAAAAACATGAATTAAATTTGCTTAAAATCCTCAGAGATCATTGCTGGTTCATGATAAAAACATCACCCTTTATATTATAACGACAAGACTTAATTCCGAAATATTGAAGAAACTTGAGTACACAAATAGAGATGGCGTGGTTTAAAGTTAAAACTCCCAAAATGCACATTTTTCACACTGACACTTACAAACTTTTGTCCCCATAGCTTCATTTGAGAGCGTTTATAGGCGTGTTCAATGCTAAAAAATTACATCTTTTCGAAAGTTCACCGTTAAATTTATATTGGTATCTAACCCGAATTTTACCACTTCAATCCACACTAAAAAAAAAAAAAACTATGTTCCTTGAATTTGAGCTCATTTGGTCACTAGAATTTCATCAAGAAGTAGCGAATATATATTATATGATGAACACCGGGACTATTTTTAAATGTATATGAAAATATGATTGATAAAGTATTTTTGAATCGATAATTTGTTCTTTAATTTCGTTAAAATGCGACATGCACGTATCTAATCCCTTCAATATTCTGAAAAAACGAAAGGAATAAAATTAATAAATATTAAAAGATTTATACATTTAAACGATACTTCCCGGTGTACTGCGATTACTCATTTTAATTTGGTCGAACACGAATTATTACACCAAATTGCAGAACCACTTTCAAAGCGAAACTTTGTATAAAGTTCAAATATAAGTTTTTTTTTTAAATACACAAACTATTGATATTTTTCCTTAGTTTGTTTTCGGAGAATTTAACACCGGGAAAACTCCACTTTCTAATATCGTTTTGTGTAGGTGTGTACTTTAATGTTATACTTGCCTTTATACTTATATCTCACTACTCAATACTATTATTAAATTGATCTCCTCGTTGGAACTCGTTTAATATGTTGATCCCAAAAATATGATATTACGTTCCGAGAAATGGAAGTTGATTTTAAAACTAATATCTGTCATCACTATTAGCCCGGTCAGAAATCTAATAATAATAATGTCATCACCTTGTTTTATTGAATATCATATTTTGTTACTTAGATGTATATTTAAATCTCCGTTTATTGCATATATATACATTGATTAAAAAAATCAACTATATTTTTTTTCGGAAAGCACTTTTATAGTCAGTAAAAACGCATCACTAAAAAAAAGATAAAAAAAAAAAAAACTATTTTGAGTAATGTATAATTCGGCCTGCCTAGAGTTATTATTGAAATCAATAAACTAGATATAATTACTATTAGTTATTGTTACATAGTTATTGTTTACTATTTAGGTAGGTACTGATTTTTTGTTCTATAAATAAAATATTTGTATTATTATTATTTAATCTCTTCCATATTATAGTGGTTCGGTTATTTTTCTTTTAAATATAGTTTTCCTAACTTCCTCTTAAATACGCCACTTAATAAAACCGCTCATATTTTATTCACGCGGTACGTACCATAGTTAAAGCTGCAGGCGGTACTATCTATTTGACCAATAATAATGTTTTAGACACCCAACAGTCGTTTTAAAAATTTAAAAAAAAAACGATTACAAATGATTGAGTAATGGCGACGCATCAGATTTGTTTTTGTTTATTTCCGAATTACCTCAGTGCAACAAAGGAAAAACATCGAAGTTATCTATCCTTATATAGGTTAAGCGATCAAAATTTTGTTTTCACAATGATTTCTTATGGCTTTTGATGCACAAACTAAATTATTACCCTGTAATATATCCTTTATCGTATCACCCATCAACAGTAGCAGCGCTTACCCATGGCGGCGCCAAGTACATTAATATGTACACTTTTTAAGAATACTTTTTAAAAGCCGATAAGTATAAGTATGAATATGTATAGTTATTGATACATGAAATAGTAAGAATAAGGTAAACTCCCGTGCCAGTTATGTTCTGAAGACAAAAAAAAAAAACCTTCCCGTGAATTAAACGAACATAATACCGCTGCGGTTTTGTTACTTCAAACTGCAGTGGATGGAAATAATAATAATATTAATTCACTGTTGCGTGTGTGTTTGATAGGTTTCAAAAACATAATGTTTTCGTGACGAGCCTATACGATGTAGTAGCCGTTAGTATAAATCGTAATTACTTCTTTTATAATATAGTAGGTATTTGTATAAACAAGCAAAATTCAATAGAATACAATAGCTATAATTATACGATATAAACATGATACATGAGTGTTAACTTAATTGCAGTACTAAAATTAATAAGGTTTTGTTTTCACGTCATAACATATGTGATTTCGGGACAATGTAATATTGTAATTATGCATCATTCGTGGAGGATGTCACAACGCTGAGCGTTTTTGAATGTATAAAAACCCCGTGTCGAGCAAACGCCGTAAAAGGTTGAAACGAGTAGAGTTTAGCGCTGGAACTAAATTTATATGAAATAACACACGCTTCGAAATTAAAAAGTATGTAAAGAAGTAGTGATAACCTAATTAGTAAATACAGAACATGTAGAACTATATAAGAGTATGTTTAAAGTTTATTACTACTATAGATTAATTACAAACGTTTTGTTTTTGTTTTAAATTGGATACGCATTATGTACGCTTAGTGATCGTGGCTGTAGATATATTATCTACAGACCATACAGCCGCGCTAATGATTTATTTCAATGTTTATTCATCTCGATTTTCGGAACCAGTAGCGCCAAATTAATTAAAATTGAAAAGATTAACATTTACTATTCCAACTCCTAAAATATTTCCGGTAGTGTAACATCTTCGTGGAGCCCATGTAGGAGATAATAATATAATAATAATGACGTTATGATATCCAAAAATCATTTTTTGTTCTTTTACGAAATATGATAAATATTGATAACAATAAAGTCTAACATAACAAAAAGCTGGCCTAAGGTAATGGGGACGAGTACAGCCACTATTATAGGTAATTTAATGTAGACCTGTGAGCAACGATAAACCATTGCCTAGTGAGAAGGGGGAAGTGTGTAAATATTTTATTATTTTTTTTTTTTTTCGGTGAGATGGGTGTCTTCATTAGGTGAGTAATAAAAAATAAAAAATATTTATCACGTTTTGCTATCATTGCTATAATATAATTTTATATAGTTGCTATCTATAGTATGAGTTTTAAATTTTGTTTTGTCAATTTTCGAGAGTAAATCGTGCATCATTAATTTCGTCAGAAAAACCACGAAAATATAATAATAATAATGTGTCGACCCGCAAAAAAATAAAACCAAAAACACGAGGAAGAAAAAAAAGTTGAGATTTTTTTTATATATATACAAAATAAACTAGCTAGCCGTTAGTGAAGTTATGACTACGGTCGTCTGCACAACACTGCAGATAATCAGATAATACTATACACAATAGTATAATAGGAAATATTATTATACCGGTTTGACATTTTATCTATTTTTTTTTATTCTCTCCCTCCGTTCGATGCGATGACGACGTCGAAGGTAAACTGCTGATGATCACAGATTCTCCCCCATACGGCCGGATGTTATTATCTCTAACGAGGTTACGTCATTTTTTCGATAATATCCGCAGTGTCTTTGCTGGTAAAAAGAGACGAGTTGATACTCGGACAATCATTATCCAATATTATTTGACGTTAAGAACACAATACTTAATTAAGGCGATCGGAATTGGTTTTCAACATTGTTTCCGATTTTGTAAAATTTGAACGCAAATATATTTTTCATATTTTATTGACTGCCTTAACGATGAGACTTTCCCACTAATTTCCTGTCGTCTGTCAGATGCCCGTTAAAGAGCAAGGGATACAGTTACTTTTTATGGACGAAATGATGAATATGTCGATTTTGACCAAAAATCCGGACAAAAATATAGGGATTGGTTTCAATGGATTTTAATAATGAATATGATTTTGATTGATCAACAAGTTTACTAAGGTACGATGGAGGTGATTTTAAATATAGATTATTTTCTTTAGCTGTGATATTGACGGGTAAAACTATGGTAGTTTCCTGCATTATATAACGCCTACAAGTTCCGTTATATTTAAATTCACCCCCATCAAAACTTAGTAGGTATACTTGTTAATAAATCCAAATCCGTTTTCGAAATTCAAATCCGTCATTAGAAAAAATGAAGCTTTGTCTAACTTTTCGGTCTAAATACCACTTTTTTCTTTTTTTTTTTTAACGACTTCAATCGCCTGAATATATCTATACAATATACCATTGTTTTCATCAGCCATTACGTGCGAGATCACTATATTTTCTCGTAACATATATATTACGACGTTTTGTACCTACCTTTGAGCTTTGTGAAAACTTTTCACATATTTCCTGGGGTTCTATATCTGCTCGAGTTTGTTCGTTTTTATATTCGCTTTTGTACGGCGATGGACGGTTTTAAATTACTCGAAACATCTGAGTTATCTTCTGCAGCATACCAACCGAATGATATACTTAACACGTTAATTTTAATCGAAAATTTCAATGATTTAAAGTGTATTTAAAGTAACAGTAGGTGTCACTGAATATAAATGATAATAGTTTTTTTTTTATCTTTTATAAAAAGAAAATAAAATAATAATATCTGACATCAAAATATATTTGTCTAAATTCTATAATACGCAAGTGTATCACGTTTTTCCATTTCGTTAGTTTTGTTTATTATTAATAGGAAAAATATATGTTCATCAAGTGCGTCAATTGTATAGTTTTATTTTTCAATAGGACGTGCTACTTATCGTATTTAAGGGGTTTTAATGTAATTTTCTCAACAATTTCAACAAAATAAAAATTGAATTTTATCGACACAGAATTATCGAATTCACTTAACCATACATTAAAAATATTCCCGTGTCATAATTATAAGTAGTTATTAAGAAGTTGTGAAATTAACGAAAAGTTTACGAAAAACCGTTTGGTGCGGGTGAGAACTAATTAAAAAAACCAAATCGTTACAGTAAAACGAAGTTCACTTACAATGTAGATTGTCGATTTTAGAGATTTTTTCATAACTATTACGAAACTAATTATTTAAGTCTAAACAAAATTAAAACTATTCGATTGCCAAACAATAATAATATATTTGTTTTATTTTTCTTATTATTGGAAAAATATAACCAACGTTGTACAGTGCGATTTTTCCTTTTTATATAGTCAAAATTTTACTTTTTATTTAATTCTATAGCCCAGAAAGTTTTTTCCCGCGCAAAACCGTTTTTACAGTTGAATTATAGGCACCCTGATTTTAATAAACTATAGCCTTATTTTTTAACTTTCTCAATCAACTTCTTTAACGTTAAAACCGTCAATCAATTTTAGATACCGTGGTTCACATAATTCGAATGGTATTCGTTTTTCATCGCACGAAAGAAAAACAATTTGTAATTTCGCTTATTTACCGACACTACAGTTTCGTTGTAATATCTTTTGGAATTTATCTAATATTCTAAACATGGAGAAATTTTATATTTTCGCGTATAATAGTAGCGCCCGAATCTGCATTTTGGAAACGCTTCTAAAAAATTATTTCGTAAACTCTTTTAAAAGTTACATCTGTCTCGGAGGTGAGTTCGGTGAGCTCGGAGGTCTTAAAATAATTCGTTCTAAAAGTAACACGCCGCCACTTCTGTAGATTTTCTGCATTGGCACGAACCACCGATGAGAGAACAACCAGGATGGCTTTCTCAATAACATAAACCCAGTGTATACTCACTTATTTTAACACCTCATGTATAATATAATCGAAATCGAAAGCTACACGAAATAAAAACTATTCCTATCCTACATGGAATGTAAAATTTATCGGTCTTTCGGGAAAATCCGGAAATAATCAGCACTGGTCTCAACGGTGCGTACGGCTATGTCGTTGAAAATCGAATTTAATCGCAATCAGTTCCGGCCGATTTTCCATTGTGTTATAAATATACTCAAAATGTAATTGGCAATGTTGTAGACGAAAAAAATGTAACACGAGAAAACCATTCGTAATAAAAAGTAAATATTTTGATTGTAAAAATGTCCAAAGAAAAAATGTCCGAAGGTAAAAATGTGTGATAAAAAAAATGTTCGGCATGAACACTGTAGGTATAGATAGATAACTAACAACCAAACTGAAGAATGGAATCTTAGATATTCCAAATTATTTTTACATTCCCACTCAAATGTTTAAAAAAATTAATTGAAAAAATGCGATTGAAGTTGAGGGATAACCAGTGCAAAATAGATCAAAGGAAAATTACAAAACAAAATAAAAATGTATAAAAACTTTTTGAAATTAATATCCTTAAATTTAATTAATATTTTATAGTAGAGTAGAATAATATATATTTGTTTTATTATGATTTAAATTTTTATTATTATACGATGTTTATATTGATTTTTGGTCAATTTTATCATTTTAATTTTATTACTTTCACGAACAAAAGCTCTAGATTGAATATAGCTACTTCGGACATCAAACTATAGGCAAAAGATTAAACTAAACAGTAGGTTATACAAATCGATAATTGTAATTTCACTGAACATTGTGATATTATTATAATTATTATATATATATATGAATTATTTTTATTTTTATTTTTATTCCGCGTTACTTTTATTTTTGATTTTGATTTTTTTTATAGGTTACTTTTATTGACATTTAGTTCTACAATGATTACATTGCGCATTACGTGTCCAAATATGCTATACGATAAATAAATAAATATGACCAAAATGAAGACGATTATTATATGTACATTTATTAATATTATTATTACATATTCAAATTTTTTTTAATTTATTCTTTATATTTATAAATTATAATTATATAAGTATTATATTTTTTCACCTCCGGAAATTTTTACCTCCAGACATTCTTACTTTTTGAAATTTTTCTTCGGACATTTCAGTAAAATTCCAAATATTTTACATTTTTATTATTATAATGTAATATTTTCTGTAAAATTTCAATTTAATTTTTAATATTTTACATATTTTCTTTTTTGTTAGTAATATATTATAAAACTAATAATATAATAATCAAAAACTTTAAAATAATCTATACTTCACCACCTTTCCTCGCTATTGATACAGTTTATAAAATAAATTTAATACTATAATGTATAAAGTATACCATACTTGTTCAGTTTATATATCATAATAATTCGATTGAATTTTTTTTTTTGTACAAGTAATAAATTATCCTTAAAATAAAATAAGTAAAACGGCTATAACTATATAATAGTTATAGTTCTTAAAAGGCCTAACTGCTGTTAATCTGTATGCTATAAGCCTGAAAACAGTAGGCCGTTTGGAAAAATAATAAGTAGTTCGTAAACGGGCTACCCCATTGCAATGAGACCAGTCTTTTCGCAAAAGGGCAAATTTTCCATATGGCCTACGACATGTATACATAATAACTGTTTATTTGTAATCATTTGTATAAATTTCAGTAATTAGTAAATTACTCGCGATTCGTGACTAGTTTAATGTTATCAGTTTAAATTTAAACGAAGGGCCCGGACCGTTAGTTTTTCATAGATGTAAAAATTCTCGGATTTGTTCACGTCCCACCTCAAAAGATACGAAATGTCTGCCCGTGGCGGTACTTTATTTAAAGCACTTATCGAAATGCTCTACAGTTCATTCTCTAAGTCCATTTTTTTGGAGGTTTGATTTTTGGGATACCTAAGAAATAAAAGGAAAATATGTTTAATACTACTCTATTTTAATGAGTTGGAAAAAAGTTGGAAAAGTTTCGGCTTGAAGTATTAGTTTACTCTATTGGAGTACATTATTTGGTTTGTATATGATCCCTATGATCCGAGAATGAATTACTATTAGTATATATGGGTAGTGTCCATGAATATAGTATCCAACTACAGCAGACAAATTTACTGCACCATACCACAAAAAAACATTTGTAGAAAATATATATATACAGGCTGTCCCACGAAGATATACCCTTGAATATCTCCGGAAATAATAAAGATAATCAAATAATATTTTTTTTTTAGTAAAAAAATGAAAAAAATAAATTTATTTTATTATTTACCTAACTTAACTTTATTTTAAAACTTTAAGATTTCGTCTTCCTTTAGAGTTTATTTTTCTGAACATTTTGATGCATCAAACATTTATATCCGATGGATAGTTTCTAAGTAACAGCCGTATTAAATTCTACTAATCCGCGTGAAAACCGATGTTATCTAGGAAATAACCAAATCACGTTACGCAACAACATCTGTTTTCACACGGACTAGTAGAATTTAATACGGCTGTTAGTTAGAAACTATTCATCGGATATAAATGTATCAAGCACCAAAACGTTTAGAAAAATAAACTCTACAGAATGGCTACCTTAAAATTTTTCGGAAAATAATAAAGTAAAGTTATTTTTTTACAAAAATAAAATTTAATTAAAGTATAGTTTAAATATTTGTACTCCTCGTCCCTACCAGTAATATATATATTTAAAAAAAAAATAGAATTCGAATGTCTTTATTGTCTCCAGAGATATTCAAGGGGTATGTCTTCGTGGAAAAGTCTGTAAAGGTATATGATGTTTTTAACTATTATTAAATAAAAATAACCGTTAAGTTAAATAGGGAAAATATTTTATAATCTAACGTTGTGGAAAATGTATTGGTTTTACATTTAACTACTCATAAACACAATGATTTTCATTAAAAAAAAAATAAATAAATTGTAGACAAATTATGACACCCACCTATAGCTATTTTTATTAACATATTAATAATTTGTTGCAGTGTCATTCGGAAAAGTTAGCAATTATTCAATCAATATAATATGAGACGAGCCGAGGACGTTTCATGAACATTTCCGACTCCCTTATTTCGAAATTTCAATGTGCGACTAGTAATTTCCATTTTCCATAAACAAGATTAAGGTCAGATGACACGTATACAATATAGATAGTTGAAATAATATAAATCTTTGATCCTTACAAAATTATACAATATTAAAATGATTTTCCGCTTCACTGCGCTGTAATATGACGGGCAAAACTTTAATCACGAGACGAGTTTCACTGGAAATTTGGTGGTTGGTGTACACACCCCCTCTAATTCGCTCTCCAATCGCTAATAATGTATAATCTATTTAAAGGACAAAATATTTTAGCATTTATACATATAGGTCAACCGCGGAACAGTGTCGAAACACATTTTTTTTTTTTTTAATTTAAAATAATTATATTTCCAGGAATACGCGTATCCAGGACACGATGTTTTAAACATCGATTTCGTAGATTGACTATCGCAGGACCTATACAAAGTGCATTTTTTCATTTCTCTTTTATCACGGTCCAGCAACTATCTACGAAGATCTCGAGTGAAAAATGTTTTAGGTTTTTTCTTTTCAGTCATTATTTTTCTAATATTTTCAAAACGTTACTTTAATTCCGTACACCAAAGCGAACACAAATTTATTTATGTCGACTATTGATTTTCAAATACAACGCTGTAAGTTCCTAGAATATTTAAGGTTTACAAAAATCATGAACTTAACATTATTTTTCATAGAAAAATTGACGAATCGATTGATATTATTTAGTATTGGTAATGAAAATAATTTGAAACACCGTAAAATCCAAAAAAGCTGTCCTAGGATAATGGAGAAGGGCAGCCATTGTTATAGGTAAGTTAATGTATACCTGTAGGCAATGATAAACTATTGATAACAAAAAACAATTCTGAGCGCATTTCAGTTGATAGCGTTACTTTGTAAACAATATATAAGTCATATTATGGTAAAACGATTACAACAATATGCATTTCCATGATAAAAATGATTGTTTAAAAATGAATAAAAAGATAAAAATTTAATAATAAGAAAGTTCAAATAAAAACGGTTGCAAATGACAATCTTATTTTTAATCTTTCAATCTTTTTTAACCTAAAGAACCAAATCTTCTTCATTATCTCGAATATTAATGAGAATTTAAAAAAAATGACCATTTCTCTAAAGTACCACCCAGAAAATATTTCCTTTTAGAAAAAGTGCTATACTTGATAATTGGCGTAAGCTTTCTAGTAGAAAAAGTGTTCACATAAAAAATAAAAAAAAATAAAAAAATAAATATCTTTGTGAAAACCAATACATTTATCGCTCTGAAGCGCACCATTTAGAATCTAAAAGTAATAATAATAACAATGATAAAAAATTACCTTATTTGTTATTTTCACCATCAACACGTCAACGGTTACGATAGTGAATGGTTTTATTCGCACCGAATCTGACGTGCCTGTATTATAGGGACGAGATTTAATAATATTATTATACTGTGGAGACAGGTGTCTAATATATTGATTTAAACCAAAAACGAAATTATTCTCATCACTTTGGGTTCCCTTAATTATAAAGATATAGATGAGAATTGAGGTAAATTTATATTCTACACACAAGTTAGAAAATCTAAAATACTATACGTATACGGATAGACGGATAAGAGAAATCTCTTTGACGAGTAATTATTTATATTATTGTTAAAATGTAATATAATTTATATTACATTTATAATTTACATTAAATAAATTATGTATTTTAATATTTACATCAGTGGTGCACACTTGAAGTTAAATTAGAATGTTGAACGGCCAGTATACTGTAATGGACTAAATAAGCATTAACTCGGGTATTTTTTTGTAATTATGAATTGATACAAAATTGATTTCTTTATGATTTCCGGCATCTTAAAGTATTGGTATATTTTTGTCACAGCCAATACCCATCTAAAATTCTGAGGTTGTAGATTTCCCAAAAACCTACTATAATACGTGCAACTAATTTACATAATTTTAAATTCATATCAACGTACCAAATTATAATTGTTAATTAATCATGATAGGACTTAATGAATTAGACTGAGAGATTAATATGGCTGAAATATAATTTATTTATTTATTCACGTGTCGATTTCAGTATATTATTAAATATACAAATACAATTATATTAGGTACAGAAACACTTAGTTTGTGAAGTATAATATATATAAAATAGATAAATTGTAAATATTTACGACTGAATTGGTGTTTGTAAGCAATTGTTAAAAGTTAAGAAAGTAGAGGCTCTGGGGATATATTAATAGGTCAATTTAGTTCCAATATCGAGCACAAATCTAAATCATTGCGCATAAAAAACGATTATAAGTGCAGTTCATTCCATTTAACTAACTCGTATGGTATCAGATTCTAAATGTAGTGAAAAATGTATTGGTTTTTCAAAGATATTTATTATTATTTTTTTATTTTTTATATTGTGTACAAAAATTCTATCAGAAATATCAAATATAGCATTTTTTCTGAAAAGAAATTTCACTAGTAAGGTACTTAAGAAGGTAACTTTTCAATTTTCTCAGGAGTTTTCCAAATAAATGGGAAAACATGGTATAAAATAGGAAAAACAATAAAATAGATACATAATCCGTAATAATTTAAAACAATGAAATCGTTGTGCCGTAATTTGAAAAAAAATTGTATATTTTGTCTTTTTTGAGTTTTTTCCATTAAATAGGGAAACTATTTAAGATATAAAAAAAACTTACTCTGTCTTTTGTCATTTTTAAATTGAAATAATATTTCTGGTAAAAAAACTTGTGTAACACAATTAAAACGGTAACGTCGTAGCGTTCAGTAAATATTTGCCATTTTACTCATACATTTCTTTTGATTTTTTTCCAATTTTTTTCAAAAAACCCTTGAAAAATTAAAAAAATTACCTCTTTAGTGTACCAACTAGAGAAAATTATCTTTCAGAAAAGATGCTATAGTCTATTCTTCTGAGCAAGTTTTCCGGTAGAATAGTAGTTCACAGAGAGAAAAAAAAATTATACCACATCACAGTAAAATCAATAGCGATTATAGATTCATCGCTACGCTCCATGTCTAAAACAATCGTGAGTTAACTAGTCGCTAGAGATGAATTTTCTCTAGCAAATTGTTTTTTCCATTATAGTGCTTATTATTAATATTTTTTTCATAATTGATCTAAAGTAGTTATAATTACTATATAGAGATGTTCACGGGTGTGATTGTATGAACTATATTGTATTAAATACTTAATTAAATCAAATTTGTATTTATTTATCATTCGTATTTACTATAAAGACCCATAAATAACGTTCAACCCTCTTTTCCTGTCATATTTCATAATTTACTATCCCTCCCCTCGTTTAGGTATGAAGTATCTTATTATTATATCATTTTGGTAAGTTTAATTAAAAATTAGGTTAGGCAGTTTTCGTGGTTTTTACTAACATACAAACAGACGGCGGGGATTGAAAGTTAAAACCTTCTAAAGGTACATCTTCGACAACAATAATAATTTTAACCCCGTTACTTACTTTGATGAGTCTATATTACGAGTATTTAAAACCCAGCATTTCCAGTATGAATATGAAATATAAGCATACAAATGGTTGAAGAGGAAGTTGAAAGTTGAAACTCACAAAAGGCACAGCACTAATATTTACACCGTGCATACACAAAATGTTACCCCCTTGGCTTCATATGAGAGGTGCAGTGTACAAACATTTTATTTCCGCAACCACAAACTGAAATTCATATTGAAATTCAACCAAAACTTTATCACTTTATACACTCATTATCATTATCAAAATTAATATTGTACCGATTTTCTCGTTTTTCCTGGTTTTCCCTTGTTTTTTCCCAGTTTTTCACATTTGCTGGGAAAACTATGGGAAAATCTATCTGAGGTTAGATGAGGTTTGCAATAACCGAATTTACCGAACGTGTATAAAAATTGTTTAGAGATTGTTGTATTTGAAGATATATTAAATTATGTATACTATTTATCTACGTATCTGTGGTATAATTTCTCTTCGTGTGCAGCTGATCGCTTTTCCGCTGCAACAGAGCTCGATACGAGTTAAGAAGAATTGATCTCTTCCGACCGGAGAAATATTGTACCCAAATCTGTGTACTATGCGCGTCGCTTGAACATCAGGAACCACGATATTTTATCCGGTAATAACTATACATACACTGTAGGTATCTATTTTCAGGGAGTTTCTATATTATCATCTCTTCCGCAATTCCGAAAACATTCCCTGTCATAAAATTATCGCGAATACATTTTACGAGACGGCGAATCGTCCATATTAGTATGTCCGTAACGAGAAAGCGATGATTCAGAATTTTTTAGTCACTATTTTTTTTAATAATTACAAGTACACAATGTCTAAAATATGCGTTTACCTCATCCACCAGTCTCCGAGAGTTTTTTTACGCGATGAAATCAAATATTAAAAAAAAAAGACACCTGAGCGGTAGAACTTTGTCACTAGAGTCAAATGTTCTACAAATTAACTATTTTTCATTAAAATATTTCAAAAATTTTTTTTTTTTTAATAATGATATAGAATTGAATAAAAAATGTTGTATTCAAATATGTAAAGTGTACTACGTGATTTTGCTAACATACAAACATGGGTCGACGGTTGGAAGTTAAAACCTTTGAAATGCGCATCCTTAACAACAATTATGTTTACACGAACACATTTTAACGAAGTTCCTTATTTTTATGAGACCGTATGGGTACTAAAAACTCAGTATTTCCCATGAAAATATGACATCTGAGCATAAAAATGGTTAGGGAAGAGATTGAAAGTTGAAATTCCTAAAAAGCACGTTTCTGATACCATCATAATGTATGATACACAAAATATTACCCCTGGCTTCATTTAGTTTCTGGAATGGTTTATGAAGTTAAAATGAAAAAATCACTTCTCCCTCCAGAATATGCGGTAATGAGTTCATATTGAAATTTAAAGTCGTAAATATTACGGCCTTTCAGAACATGTATAACTGAACTTTGCTCCGAATCATTTTTCGTTATTAATGGTTTATCGTTGGTGACAGTCATAAATTAAATAACTTTATGTATTCCACATTCTCCACTACCCACCTGCAACAGTGGCCACACCCGTCCCCAGTATCAGATCTTTTTATTATGCGTTTTTCGTTTATATAATTCCAATAGTGCAATAGTATGATAATAAATAATACGGATTGATATTAATATTTGTATTATTAAACAAAAGTATTGAAAATTATATAATGAATTTTAAATTTTCGGTATTACCCGTCTCTTAACACGATATACGGTATAGTAACTATCATCGTGTAGACTTGACTACGAGGAGATTTTTTATTTTTTTAATTGCTGTCGTGGAACTTCCCGAGGCCCGTATTCCTGTATAGCAGGTTCATTCGATCAATTAATTTACACGCGCACGGTGTGTTTGCAATTAGTGGTTAACAGTCCCGTGTATTGTACGATTAATCTAAAATAATATGCAACATTTCTGAAATAACATATTTTTTACCTATCTGACATTTTAACAGTGATCAGAAGGGCTCGACCCTCCCATTATCCAAGCATCTACAGTTTAATAAACTAGTTTTTTTTAAAAAATGTGATTTACGGCTTGTAATTAATAATAATAATAATAATAATAATAATAATGAAAGGGCTAACTTACGTAAAAAAAAAAAAAATATTATATGAAAAATAGAAATTGTCGCTTGAAATAATTTTAACATTGCAACGTAATATTACGGTGAGTGTTGTTCAGAACAATAAGTATATAGGTACGAATATATACGTATACTGTTTTATTTACTCGTCGAAAAGACAATATTGGCTTCAGGAGCCTATTTTAGAAATGTTTATAAAATTAAATGGAATTGAAAAATGTATTTTATTTCACCGTTTATAAAATGCTAAAAAATTGCTTATAAAAAATTCAATTTTTAATTTTATTAAAACCGGCGTACACACGTATAGGAGATTTTTTTTTTCATTTTTTCATTTTATACATACAGTACAAAACCGTGACCGTCATCGTTACCCGTTTTATAGAATGAAACCGGAAAATAATCGACCCGTTTTCGTAAATATTTAATCGAGGTGCTCGAACAACAATTATTATTTATCCCATGCCCGTGAAATATTCAAACAAATGCACGATTCAAAGTAGGTCCTATCCGACTTATCCGACAAAATAGTATAACACACATATTATGTATACCAAACAACGAAAATACATTTTCATATAAAAGGTGTAATGCGAGACGTATTTTCGGAGTTTCCAATTTTTTTTTTCCTCTTCTCTGGTAAAACTTTTCGCTGGTATTTTAAATTTATACCTGTACGTATCGTAATATATAGAACGAGGTTATCTATAACATATCTACCTATTTAGTTTTAAATGCAGAGAACGGTTCGGTACCCTCCTTTTGAACCGCAAAAGTTAAAGGTAAGCGCTAAACAAAAACTGCATAACAATAATAATAATAATTATTATTATTATTTACTTTTATGATAAAAGAAGTTTTTAAAATTTATTTGCATAGTTTTCTTCTTCCGAGTCGAACAAGAAAATATTATTAAAACTCATATTGTTAACGTTTTCTCCTCGAGATTATAAACGATTATAAATAATTCAGAATGACATCGGAATAACTCGGTATCTATTATCCGGGTACAATAGACGAGAATCGTCGACATGGTAAAACTATGTCAAGATTGGCCGTGCAGCGTTACGGTTTTCATAAATACTATATAATATACTAGCTGTCTCATCCGGCGTTGTCCATGCCAAAAGAAATAAAAGAAAAAAAAAATTATCATTATGTTATTACGGCCCTTAAACGGACTACTTTATTATTCGTTTTGTTTGGTTTTTTTTTTTATTTTATTTTATACGATCGTATCTACCGTGTATCCCATATGCTAATTATAAATACCTATTATATATTTATATAAATTATTGTGAAAAAAATTTTAATGAGCACGAATTGCAATACAGGACGTAGCACGTAACACGAAGATTTATTTAATTTTTTTACCAAAAATTATTATCATTTAAAAATTACGGTCTTGTTATCAAACATTCATAATAAAATTATTCATAAAGTAAATACGTTGCGGGAAGGACTTCGATCAACCGAATCTCACTAACATTTATCATAGTATTTAATATAATTTCGTATTCTTATTGTGATAACTCGTTGAGTGATGAATGATGATAGTATTATACTTAATATTTTACTAATATATTTCGTACGTTTTCCTTTTTTGTTTTTGGTTTTTTACATTGATGAGAAATCGAAAAATGACCTACCTAAAGTACCTCTCCAGTCCGCTTTCCTTTCAGAAAAAATGCTATCATTGTAAATCGGAGCAAGATTTCTGGTAGAAAAGTTGCGCATAGATAAAAAAAAAATAATAAATAAATATCTGTATAAAACCACAAGCTTCTTCGCTTTTTTAAACTTTTTTAACTAATTTTTTTTCGTGGGGCTTTTCCGTCCCTGAATAAATATCACACCTATATTAGTTACCGGTATTGTTACCTGTATTTATATAACAAAATGAAAAATAAAAAAAATGATTGATATTGTTGTATCAAAATGTTTTATTTTTCTATACAAAGTTAATATCGATTAGTTTCCGTATTCTCTCGTGGCTGGCTGACATCAAGTGATGCGGAATCGTAAATAATTTATTCAATACAAAGGCCCGATATGTGACTTGCACATTATTACAATATTCTCAAACAGATGTTGAAACGTCCCACAGCTCGTATATAATACGAGCTAAGTGGGTATTTTGGAATCGTTTATGAAAATTCAACCACTTTAGATTCTAATCGGAGTGCACCACATCGAGTAAGTGGAGTACTATGGACCTTTGAATAATAATAATTTAAAATATTTGAATAATGTATTTCGATGATTTTCTGCGTCCGATTATGACTGTTAAAAAACAAAAATCTTAAATCGACCTTCGAACTACCTAATTGTTTGCGGTCTACGAAAGTCCTAGGCTAGAAATAAATAAACTGATTTCATTCAACCGCCTTTGATTGAGTCAGACAATAAGCCGTAGTAACCGCGAGCTGGCGAGGAGAAATAATAATATTATTTGCTTGGAAATTTAGATCGCGAAACGTATAGCCCTCTGACCTCCAACCTATCGTACGCTACGTCTATTACGGAGTAGGTTAATTATTGATTAATAATATAATAATATGTTCATATTATTAACTCTGTACCTACTTGTATAATACATAAACATGAGTTTACATGTGAAATCCACGACTATATATATTATTTTACAGATTGATTTTTTTATCATAAATCAGTAATGTTTTTTAGAGAATTCTAAGTGAATTTATTTTTTTTTTTTGTCATATTGGAATCGTTTAAGCTTTATTTTAAAACTATTTTTAAGTTTTAATCCTAATTCATGTATCTTAAATAAGTATATACATTTGTTTTTGAAACATAAACCATCTTTTTAAACACAGATTTGATAAATAATTTTTTTTAGAAATTTTGTTTACATAACACTAATATTAAATTTACTGTTTATGCGTTCTAACAGTTTACAGTTTAGACTGGAGGAGTAAGAAAGGGTAATAAATTGCATGATAACTATTTTAGATTATAAGCAGAGCGATTAAAATATAATTTATTTTTTTTTTATCTGTGAACAATTTTTCTGCTAGCAATTTTGCTCCAATTTACAATGATAGCACTTTTTTGAAAAGGAAATTTAAATGGAGTGGTACTTATCTAGGATAATTTTTTTATTTTCCCAGGAATTTTTATGATAAATGGGGAAAAAAACATGAGAAAAACCTGGAAACCCGTAGAAATAACGGGGAAATAGGTACAATATTAAACAAATATTATTATATTAATATTAATATTTTACCATAATATGGCATATATATTATTAACAAAGCAACACTATTAACCGTGCTCCACTAAGAATCGTTTTTCGTTAGCAATGGTTAATCGTTGCGTACAAATATACATTCAATTTCCCCTCTACCTCTTAACTTCTCACCTACAACAACGTCCCCCCCATGTTCAAAGTATGTCTGTCTTTTTAAAAGATAAATCAATAACATACTCTACTCCTTTTTAAAGAAAGTTATCTACATTTAAACCTGTTTTAAAAAAGGGCCTCCCTTTTTTAAATAATAAAAGTATATACTTCTTTAAGTTATATGGAGGAAAAAATAAACAATTAAAAAAGGTTTTAAAATAAAGCTTAAATGATTTCACAATGATTAAAAAAAATACAAAAAAACAGAAATCAAATTCACTTACAATCCCCCGAGAAAATTGCTGGTTCGTGATAAAAAAAAGCACTCTTGAATTTTTTAGATATTTTGATTCGCAAAACAATATAATGAGTCTATTAATATTATAACTCTATTTATGAGTTATAAGTTAAACTTTAAACTGTTATGAATTATAAACGGCCATCTGATATATTATGTAGACCAAAATGTCTTGTTGATTAAAAACGAAACAGAAATCAAACTCACTTAAAATCTTTCAAGAAAATTGAAGGTTCATGATAAAAGAATCACTCTGTATGAGTAAAATAATAACTAAATTATTACAAACGTTGAACATATTATTATGATTTATAGAGCGGCTCACGCGGTTGTTTTCACGAAAATCTAACCTACAAAGAGAAAAATTAATAATTGTATGAATAAATCGCTTGAGGGCCGGACCGGACCTAGTGTGAGTATAATATTCCTGTCCAGACCCGCCATATAGGGTTCACTGTTGAATTTTTAAACACCGTAATGCTGCACAATGCCTGCCTCAGTCCGATTTACAAATGATGATTATGCAGTAGTCAGTGGTGACGGGACCTTTGGACGTCATTTGATACGAATAAAAGGCCTATAGAAAATCACTATGGATCTGCTGATTTTTTTTCCCTTCGAAATTCAAACGATATTATAAAGATTTTATAAAAACATACGAAAATCGTTCGCTTACTACAGGTATTTCACAAATAACTTGATTACGAATAAAAATAACGTGGCATTTCGAAATCAGAGGCTGGTGCAGATCCGTAATCGAACGTAATCCATCGGTGATAATTAGATAACTCGCTTGTATAGTTATGCTGGTCTTAATTGGTTTCTATCATAAACTTAGTGATACAATCGGTTTTAATAAAGTCAAAGGTATTTCGCACAAATCGGTATTCCGAACGACCCATTCCCCAATTCTGTTCAATTTAACGAGACCCTACTATATTCTGAAATCTCTTCACATGAACAAACTAATTATAGTATTATTATACAAGATGAAAAAGTTAACGTAATATTTTACACACAAAACCACGACATTTACGACGAAAGTTATAGAAATGATTCTTAACGAGGGCGGTACTGATCTTCTCCTCATTAGGAAGAATTTCGGAGGGAAGGAGTAGTAGGTTTGAAGAGTTTTTATTTAAATTCACATTACTATCCCCGAGTACTTGTGAAATTTTCAACTTTTTATTTGGTAAGAAGGGGACATTATCTTGATGAAAAAGATCGAAAAAGGTTAAGAATTAAGAACCACTGAGTTATTGTATATTTGCTCACTCGTCTACGAAGTTATTTTATAAGAAAAAAAAAATCAATTTGCTGTCATCATTTTTTTACTGCACTTGTTGTATTTGACTATAAAAAAAAAAAAAAAAAAAAAAAAAACAAGTCGACATTTAATGAAAACTCAACACGCATGTTTTCAGTCATGTGTAAAATGTTTTCGATTGTTATTAATAATCTGTCATTGTAAGCTTTTGCAATACGATTTACCGTTATAATACTTGCTTTTCAGCAGACTGTTCTGAGCAATAATCTCGTGATTAGTACGAGAAATATATTAGAAATAATTTTCGAAGGAGAAAAAAATCTAATGGAATTTCTATATTTCATAAAAACGTTTTATAGTGAAAACATTTTTTTCGACTAAAAAATATATTCACATTACTTCATACCGCGTAAACTGTGTGTCTGCCCTGCAAAACTACTTTTTAAAATTACATTTATCAAATAACGAACACTCACCTCGCTGTCCCGTTTCGGAGTCGTTACCCGGCGGATACAAGTAATCCGGAGGCACCATGGACGCGGCCTGGTCCACGGTCACGTTCCTCAGACCGTTCTTCAGTTCTCTGTCCCACGACCACTGGCAATGCGGATCCAGGGTGCACGTGTCGTCTACGTACGACTTGATTCGCTGCATTCTCAACAGACTCATTTGATCGGAGGCTGGTGTTAGCAGCACCGGCGGTACGGTGGCCACAGCGTAAAGTGCGAACGCTACGAACGCCAGCGTGGACATCGGTCGGTCACGGCGTCGCCTGCGCCGTCTTCGGCAATGATGCCGGAACCGTTGACACCCGGTCGTCGTGTCATAGTACTCGTCGCGGTTGGGATCTCGGGGCGTCGCCATTGGAGCTATTCCCATGATGCCGTGTTTCGCGGTTGTCGGGAGCTTACTGCGGTGGCAGCACAGCTCGGTCACTCTTTTTCGGATCGAAAAGTTCTATGGCACGTGCAGTTGCAACTTGGCCGGTGCCGCTGTCGTTGTCGTGATGCAGATAGCCGTGGCTGCGATTACGCATCAGACGACGCCTGCGAACAGTAAAAAGGCCACAATAAATTAGATTAGGTTAGGCGAAGGCTCGGCGCTGCCACCGGTGTCAAGAAGAGGGAGGGGTACCCAGTGGCGGACTACTAGCAACGGCAACATCAGCCTGGGAGATCATTTATTTAAGATTTGTGCGGGACGATCAGGGTGACGGGCACTGCCAGCCTGTAAAGATGATTTAAAAAATTGTTTAGCTTTATGTGTCGGTGTTAAGATAACCCTGTACGGAGGTTAGGTTAGGTGAACGCCACCTTCATTTCATTGCTATTATTACAGTTGTTCGTTTTTGATTTGTAAAAAAATAAACAATGGTTACCCGCCACCTGAATCATTTGTTCACGCATTTCCGTATGGCGAGTATATTGCAAGTTTAAATAAAAAAACAAATATCAGGTTAGGTTAAGTCACGATTTCGGTGGTACGTACCGATGTTTTTTGATTGGAAAGTATTATTATAATGCAACAGTTACTACTCCAAAACTGCACTGATTAATATTATACTATCATGTACGTTACCCCGTCCCCTCCCCAATTTTTATTTTCCATTTTTTAATAATGATTATCACTCTCCTGTGAGTTCTTGGCCATATTTTTAAAATTCCTGCCCTACCAGTTTTCCCGGAAAATCGAATTTCTCATGAAATTTCAAATTTTCCATTGGTTGATTATTTTCAGTGAAGTCAAGTGGAGTGCATATCTATGAATAATGTAATCCCAGGGATGAATAGCCATTATCATGAGGATACCATAGGCTAGCATCTCGAACTTTACTTATCCCTCGACTGGACACCCTCAAGGTATAGGATTGTAAAGTAATATAAGACCATACCAATTATTTGAATCTTGTCTTGTGTAAACACAATAAAGGTTACCGTGGTCCGTTGCATAGATATCAAACAACACGAGAACTCATAAATATAAACATAGGGCGGTATCCAGAAAGTTCTAGAGAACAACGATTAAAAATAATTAGTTTGCCTTTATTTTTTGGCCTAAATGGCATAAATTATATTAGTGTAAATCGTATAGTTTATACTCGGTATTCTAACATTTAATACTAACATTTAAAATATCTTAAGTCACTATAATACAAGTTTTGTTTAGAATACAAGAGAAAGTAATTTTTAATTTTTTACTTTTTTTTCTAAATTAAACCCGCGCGAGGGCTTTTTTTATACAAAGTCAAAATGGACGGATATGACGGATTGGATCCGAAATTACCGGATTTTTTACATGGTGTTTTGCAAAATATTTAACGTTGTCCGCTGAAGGTTTTAAACTATTAAAATCGTCGATATGATCAATAGAAGTAATAGACGTAACCTGCAGTAGCTTAGTCTGAATTCAAATTAATAATTTATAAAAAATTTTCATTGCTTATCATCCATATAATTAATTTCTGACAGGTTTAAAATAAAAGTTAAAAAAAAAAAAAGGAATTTTTAAATATTTATTTAAGAGCAACGACGGTTAACTGCAGTGATAGTTACTGGGAGACGGGGATTTAACCAGGAAATCCAAAGAAAATGTCTGTATTACATATTTTTTTTTTCTTTGGTACGGGACAGCTGATTAATTATGTAACAATGCCAATATGCTCTTTAGCAATTCTCAAAATTAAATTTGCATTTATAGGACACTTTATAAAATTGATTTACCTACTCAAAAATTAAAATTATTGAAAACCATTACAGTGTTTCGGGAACCGCCCCAGAAGCGTACGAACGAATTAAACCCACGTGCGTTCGGTTTTAGAAGTCCGAATAATAATATTATCATATTAATATCAACACAAATATTATAGCGGTTCTGCGCAATATCAAACAGTCCGACTGTCTGCGGTCATACACGTAACTGAATTTACAAATGGGCCAATCAAAATTTCATAAATGCATATTATTATCATAATATTATTTGATCGACGAGGGTTCTATACATAATATTAAAATAACTCCCCGCTATGTGCGTGGGTGAACTGATCATAATTGTTGACTAAACGTATAAGCGTTATATTCATAGATCCAAAGACGATAAATATATCTATTACATAATATTATTATGCCATAAGATTACGGCTATGAAATATTAGATGTATCGTCATTAAAATAATAACGTTACGGTAAATTATAACGAGGGATGATTAATTGGAAACCTTGGTCTTTGAGTTAAGTACCTATAATCACAGGACTTTTTTTTTAGCGTACTCCACTCGATTACTAATGATATTTCGATAAGTACAATTGTGTCTAGTTTTTTTTTTTTTTTTTTCATTCAAAACAGAATTGTTTACAATGATCGTATTTTTGAAATATTTAAAACAACGGATCATATCGAATGGACGAGTGACGAGGATGAGGGGAATATTTTATCCCGTCTTCTAAGATCTTTTCCCTTTAATATTTAACAAATATATAAAAAAAATATTTCAAAAATTAAACAATATTAAAAATTTCATAAATAGATGCAATTTTAGTTCGCACACATTTTGGAGTTGAGATTTTAAATTTTTATCAATGATGCATGTAAATTGAGATTGAAATTCAAAAATCAAAGTCGGTTTGTAGTTTCACCCATGAAAATAAGGGTGACAAAGCAAAACGACAAGTAACATTTTAAAGCTGTTCTGTATACCGTTAAAAAAAAAAAAATCTAAAAAAATTTATACTTTCCGAGATAATACGTTTCTTATCGAAGATTGATTATCATCCATGTAGATGATTCCAAATCCAAATTCGGCTTTCTTGCAGACCAACCAACCAACAGCATTTTCTTTTAAAAAAAATGCCTAACTTGCAAATCTGGTGGAAAGTTTTTTACATAAGGGGAAATACATAACATAATAAAACCAATATATTCCTCGCCACGCTCAGAGTGGAAAAATCAATCAATATTCGATAAAATACGAAAAATAACAATAGTATAATCTTTGGCATACATGTATTTATTTATTTTATTGTTGTCAGAACGGGAAGAATTTCAGTTAAACTTGTCTGCCGTGTCAGACGTCAATACAATAACGACGGTTACATTATTATCTCGGATAAGTGTGTTCACAAAACTTAAACGAATTGATATACTTTTTCTGAAGAAGACGCTATACCTGCATTTCTGCTTCCGTCTTGTAAAAACTCGATTATAGTAAAAACATGCTTACGCGGACTACACAGAACTCGCTTGGTTTCGATTTTACAGTAAAAGCACCTATTACGAAATTAATAAAGGCCAATATTCCGGAGAGCAAGACATTGCGGTTTTCTAAAAAAAATATTTTAAAGTTTTAGTGAAATGTTGAAAAAGTCGTTACTTATAAACGGTAAATCGTTTGTTACATTCTAAGAAAATCGAAAAAACACAACGTCTTGTCTTTTAGAATATTGTTCTATTTTAAATTTATAATAGTAAATCGTAGTTGTTTTTACTTTAAAGCCAAAACTAAGCGAGTTCTATGTAGTTTTCGTAAGCGTATTTCAACTATATCGTACGTTTGTGAGATGAAAGCAACAAAATGCATGTGCTTTCTCATATTATTTTTTTAATTTTCCGTTACACCGACAATTTTCGTTCGCTTTCGGCTCAGACGTTTAGAAAATATTATTATGGTGTTAGTAGAGAGAAATATAAAAAATATCTATTTAACTTTATTACCCGTTGTATTCCCCAGTTTATATTTTATTTTTCATCACGATTAGGTACAACCAAGGCTGTTAGTGAATAATGATAATAATAAAACGGGTGTACGCACTTCGCACCACGGGTGGGTCTCTGTTGTGGGTGAGAATTTCTGAAGGTAGGATATAGAGGGGAATTCAATATTTAAGCCTAAAGAGGAAAGATTAATAATCGCTAATGAAAAATGATTCTGAGAGGAGATATTTTCGTCACTCGGATTGTCCTTGAACATTTCTAAATGCAGATCTATGTTATTCACCCGTGGCTGCTCACCCATATCTATGGTGCCAACATGCTTCCTATCGACTCTAATGTATGCGATCTTGGCTTTATTTTTTCTTCATCTTTATGTCCTCGTGTGCACATTGACAATATCACGGAGGCGCGTAACGTATTGGAAAATATTTTGTAAGAACCGTATTTTGTCGGAAAATAATTTAGACCCAACGGCGGTAACATACAGTCACGTAATGCTTGTGGTGAAATCATATTGAACCGTTCCGACAAAATATTTTCCGACGAGATATTTTCCAACAAATTATAGCCCTCGAATATCACCTGCAAGACATTTAAGGTTTCAGATTTTATTAAAAAAATAGCAAGTGAGTTCAAACTTTCCTATTCTCTTAAATCACTTTTCTGTTTGTCAGATCTATTGATGAATATGGTTCAGTTGTTTAGGATCCTCAGACTGTGGATTCTTGCAAACAACTCGAGCATGTCCAGCGAAGATTTGTTATTTTCGTAAAGTATACTTTTAATATACTTTTATCAATTATGTGCTTCACGACTACACCCCCGTCCTCCGTTTTCTAAATCTCACCTTAGCCGATCGTTGTAACCATCTTAATAAATCTTTTTTCCAAAAAATTATCTCTGGCTCAGTTGATTCTCCTTCTCTCCTTGCTCTTTTAAACTTTAAGGTACCAACTCGTACAACCGGGAATTATACATTTTATATTACTCCACATTACTCTACCAACTATTTAAGAAATGAGCCTTTCACTAAAATTACGCGTATAGCCAATGAGTATCCGTCATTCCTCCTTTAGGTTAATTTTTGTAATTTCAGTTTTTAAATTTTTGTTACACCCTACCTTATAGTTATTTTTTGAGCTTGTCCTCGCTACTAAGGTAAAACTACTATAACTTAGTCTTATCCAATATATTTTTTTTGTTCTTAATTTAATTTCACTCGCGTATCATAATGTATTTGTTTGACATTTTTGTAAATTGGGCTCAGTCTGTTATCTTAATAAATACAAATATAGAATAGTATTATTCGACGTACTTTTTAGTGTAATATGTAAAACTAGTATCTACGAGTAATGCTGGCATTCTCCACGGAGGCACTAAAAAACTTCTCGTTTGATTATTTTGTTTAGATAAATATTAGTAAGAGACATTTCATTAATCGTCCTTAAACTTAGTGGTGTTAAAAGATTGGAATTAGTACAAAATATATGTCCAAAACAGTATTTAATTAAAAAAGGAAATGTTGAATTCTCTGGAGTAGATAAGATACGTGCTACGTAATTAAGAGATAATTTAATTCAACAAATGTGAACAGGCGGTTCACCAGAAATGGATAAAATGCTTGAAATTAAGCTGCTTCGAAATGCTTCTGTTGCAAGTCAAAGACCACAATACTATGAATTATATCAATTATTTTCAAAATGTTTGGATTAACATAACCATAACACACGGATCCATAGTCAGTTTTAGATCTAACAAGATACGTATATAATTTAATTTAAACATTACATTAAGCACTCCAGTTTTAATGATATTGATAATTTTGGTTGGGCTTGTTTTATTATTGATTATATGAGGTTCCCAAGTATGTTAGCCATCAAAAATAAATAATTTTTTCTAGTGTTTTACTCATTTACATACATGAACTGATAATTGTTTTATTATATTATTTAATCATATTTTATAAAACTGCGAACGGAGCCATTTACCTAATTATTCATTAAAACCGTGAACCGGCGAGTTTCACTTGTGTACGACGCGCATAAGCCGGACCCTTTTTGTTTTTTATTATTATATTAAAATCTCCATGCACAATGCAACCGATATTTCCTCGATATCAAAGCCCACCGGGTCACCGGCCAACACTCACAATATTGCATTGTATCCCAATACACCTTGGAACACATTCATATTTTACTATACATTAATGGCGTTATTTGGATGATTATTATTTTATTTTGTGTCTACTTTGATACTTAAATACATTGTTTTATAATTTAAGATAACGTAACTATGCATAACCCGTGGAACGTAACGGTAGCTAATCAAGTTAATGCATAATTACTCGGTAAACTTAAGATTTTCAAAAATTAAGCTTTAATGAGAATTATTAAACCTTTGTTGACCTCCGTGATATTTTACTGAGAGAGAGGATGAAGTGTAAAATAATTATAATATGTATTTATTAATGGTAATAACCTTTATTCGATACACAATACAATATTCAATCAACAATTTATTCAACTCCTATAACTAAAATTTTTTTTTTTTTTTTATGTCAAGCTACTAAAAACAACTGAAGTTCAACAACCTTCTCTTCATAAATAATCTGTGCATTTGCCCTTGTTCTTATTCCTAGCATTTCGCGGTCAAATTTCACACATTTATTTGGAAACAGTATACAGTATTCGAGGTTATTTATTATTCCACAAAGAATATTCCTGTGATACAAAAAAGTGGGAGCGAATTCGAGTAATCAGTGATCAATTGTCAATAAGACATCGGGGAAAATATTTATATTTTATTTTACCATAATGACATAATATGATATTTATGTATATTGTTGACAAATCAACACTTCAATCAATCGTTGTACACAGATATATATCCAATTTCAGTCACCTATCGTGCGAAGTATGACCGTTTTTTTTTTTTTTTTTGTGAACAGTTTGAGAAATAAGCAGCTCTAAAATTAGATACTATTATTCTTTGTGACACTTATGAAATCACTATACACTTTTGGTTTTTATAATCCCAATTTACATAAAAAAATTCGATAAATAGATGAAATTTTAGTTTAAATACATTTTGTTGTTTATATTTTTACTTACCATCAGTGACGAGATATTCTGCATTTAAGGTTAGGTAAGGTAAAAGTGGGATGGACCACTATTCAAACATAATACACCATGGCATATATGATGTTCCACTCTCCCCTTTCAAAACTTAAAAGTAGAGAATCTCATTACGAGTTGACGGAAACTAAAATTGTGAACTCCAAAATTTATTTAAATTAAAACTTCATCTATTTATGGAATTATTAATATTGGTTTATATTAAAAATCAAAAGGGTGTAGTGGTTTGATTTCCAAAAATAAAGGTCAAAAAAGTAAAACGGCAAAGTAAAACTTTAAAGCTGTTTCATTTATAAATTCTTTCGAAAAAAATGTCCCCATGAAATTTAATACTTTCCGAGATAATTAGTATCTTATCGATTATTGATCAGTCTGAACATACGATAACAGAGTAGAGCTCTGCTACTCGTGAGTTTTTTTTTTATTTATAATTATTATGTATACAAAATAAACTATATAATTTTTAATAGAATTTCACGTGCACATGATATATGCAAGTACGGGATTACTGATTAATAACATTATACTTTCATATAAAACAATTATTTGCGATGTATAACTAATAAAAAATCACACTGTATACACAGAGGTTTTGTTTTTCCACACGGTATAACATAATATTTTACTTGCCAATAATTTCGTTTTATCCGTGTGTTATCTAAACTAGAATAAATTGTGCGCCGCCTGCGCGTCAACAAAACGGAAACGTTATTAATCACACTATCCTACGCATAATTTAATACCACATCGGTTGCTGCAATCCACTAGGGGTCGTTATGAAAAATATATTTCGTATTTTTATTTATTTTTTCAAATTGTCGAGTAAAAATCTTTTTTTTTATAATATTCGTGGATAATGTAGACATATTATTCTTTGCGAAACAATACAAAATATCAATATCACAATACTACTCAATTTGATGATAAGTACAAATGGGGATTGAAACTCGAAACTTCCCAAAAGCAAATACTTATTGATACTAATTGATAATAGTAATATTATGTATATCGTTGACTCATGGCAAAACTACGTAAATTGATCTTACGAAGTTATTCAGGAAGAAGGAAAAACCGAGTTTCACGGTTTTTCCACGGAGGCGACGATATACGTAATTGCATACTTTTGGGGGAAAACTCTCATGTGGAGAAGGGATTTGTGGTAGTGAAAAAAGGCTAAAAAAAAAAACACCATTTTCTCGACAAAACGCAGTAAAATTAATTTATTGAAATACAACTTTCATCATATCAATCCATCAATAAAACAACTGTGACTACCAAGTTTGAGTTTATTTTGGTTCAAAACATTTTGAAATTTTAAAAATATTTGAGCCGTTTTTTAGTTATTTATATTTAATTGTGCAAGTTTTTACGTAATTTTTATTTGGTAGATACTCAATGAATACAACTGTTCGACTAAACAGAAATACTTTAACATTTAACAGGAGGCTCATTGTCAAAATTGTATGTTGAAATTCTTATAAAAAAAAATTCTACATTGCACCCTATTGTATTTTTGATCACAAAATATGACCTTTAATGCAACTCTAGTTTAATTTTCAAGCATTTCTCTTTGGTCAAACAATTTTATTCATTGAGTACCTACCAAATAAAAATGACGTGAAAACTCTCAAAGCTAATCTATAAATATTTCCAAAATAACTTAAATGATTTTTAAAATTATATCACATTTAAAAAATCAAAATATATAAATTTTCTGTTTAAATTTTAAGTTTCTACGAATATTTTTAATTGACTTCCAACAAAAAACAAAATTGAAAATAATACATTTCGTAGATTATCACAATTTTTCCTACGTTTTTTCTCAACTATTACGAAAACTTCTTGGAAAATCAAAAAGTGACCTCCTTAGTACTACCCAGATAAAATTTGCTTTCAGAAAAAGTACTAAAATTGAATACCGAAGCAAGATTTCCGGTAGAACAGTGGTTTACAGATAAAAATAATAATAATAAATCATTGTAAAACCCATACATTCCTCGCTTCGGTCAGAACCTATAATATTGAAATAACAATAAATTCCTATTTTTCAGTAAGAATTAAAAAGTAAAAGTAGCGTGATACTTTAAAAAAAAATCGCACTACACTTCTAAAAAAAAATGTAGGTGGTTGTAGAAAACTCCTTTTTTTGAAAACGTAGCGATAGCGGAAACGCATTACGTTGAAAGTAGCTATTTACAAACCACTAGTGTCTTAACCAATACTTTATACTATAACTTATTTCAAAGCTAAAAAGAGTAATTTAATTAAAATAAGTGGTCCCATAGGAAATAAAGATTTCAAAAAAAAAAAATAATAAAAAAAATAAGAAAAATAAATATTCGTGCAATGGCTTATTTACAACTTACCTGTTTTATATTGTCTAGCGCCGGTTTTACAGAAATATTTCATTCGTACGATATTCACTTACTATATATTATATTATATACCCACTCTAATTGAGTTGTCCATAATTTACGAGTATTATTATAACTATATGTCTACCACCATTCCTAATACATACCTGCGGCAATAAACCGATTCGGAATTCCGAATTTCGACTCCCATATAATTAACTGAGGGAATAATTATTTAATCGTCATTTTCTCCATAACGTAATATATTATTATTGTACACTGAGATTAATGATCCGCCTGCTTCGGTTAGCCGAATATATTACGAATTAAACGTCGACAAATGTGTACGAATGGAGAACCGTATGTGAATTAATGGCTATAATGTAATCCTCTGTTTTTACGGACAACGCGAAAAATAATGCACACACTGAGCAATTTATCTCCAGAAGTGGAGAAATTAGAACGCCAGTTATTATTGCATAAACCTCATGTGACAAATGGCGTGCGCGGGGTAAAAAAACGTTAGAGATTATATTCTATAATTATCATTATTATTAGTAGCATAAATATTTGACATTCTAAGGCATACGGACGTTTAATAGCGTGTAAAATGACAATTTTTGTAAAATTAGACAGGAAATAAATTTGCATTTTAGGATGACTGAAAAATCTTGCCTACTATAAGATTTTGTCCGAATCCGGCTCTAATTTCAACAATAGTTTATTGTCGCTTCCGGTATATTTTTATTAACTATATTATTCTTTGTTAACAGAACAACCTTTTCAATTTTCTATAAGAGTATATCCAATTTGTATACTGATTTTTTTTAATTCGGCGTAATAACACATTGCGGGAAAATTTAGTATATCGTAAACATTTAGAACCAAATCAATCAGATTACTAAACGGCTCGTACGAAATCGCTATGATAATATTTATCATTCAGTCATTGTGCGCATCAAAATAATCGTTGTATTTAATAAAGACGATATTTGTTGATGTTTTCTTTTATTTTGTTTTGTTTCTCACGGTGTCTTGTTTCGTCTGGTGTTTAACAACCCATGAAAAGCAATCAACGTAAAATAAACAGTAAGTCGCGGTAACCACCCGTCCGTGCCACGAATTTTGAATATAATAATTTAAAACAAAAATTATGGCCACTGCTGTTACCGCTGTTTCAGAACCCCCGAAAAACTCGTACTATTTGTCAAAATTATTTCAGGCGTACTTGCAATAATAACAATTGCAATTTGTTACGTTTTATATAGGTAATACGAATCTATGAAACTCCGGCGGTAGTTTTCAAAGTGAAAAGTTTGATTCAATAATCGGTGTCGGAAACAACTTAATAATAAATATTAGGTGTTTAATTTTAAAAACTCTGGGTTTTGTTTTGTTTTTCTCTCAGAAAGCTAGTTCTTCCATCTTAAACAATTTTTTTCAATTAGGTTGAGGCGTAAATCGTACACAGTGTGTTAAACTGACAATTTTATTTGTAAATAATTGGACTAAATAATAATAAGTAGGTCGACTGTGTAGAAGTCAATTTTCGAATTTACCAGTTCGGTGGTCCGAAAATAATAAATTTGTAAAAACTACTTAATATAGTATAAAGGAACGACAAAACCATTATATAAATATATTACAATATATTTAAATGATTTTAAATTTGTTGTATACAAAAATTAAACTGTTAAAATATCAAATGGTTTTTTTTCGCATACCGTAGAACGGGGTTTTTATTTAAATAATAGAGCAGGTGGAAATTGATTCTTATTCTAAGTATTTATTTAATCCGTGCGTGGGAACTTTTTAATACATAATTAATTATGTTTTTCTTGGTTGATAAACGATTAAAACTTCATAGTATTTTCCGTCGATATAATCAATATTGTATGTACTGTTTTTGTTTGTTTAAAATTACCAAACAAAATCCAATGATATTTTTCATTTTATAAATTTATATGATGTGATACGATCGCATTTAAAAAAGCTATGCTAGAATAATGGAGACGGATGCAGCCACTATTATAGGTAATTTAATGTATACCTGTAAGCAATGATAAACTATTGCTAACGAAAAAACCATTCTGAGCGGAGCTCAGTTGGTAGTGATGCTTTGCCAACAATATTTATACGTCATATTATGGTAAAATAATTACATATGCATTATGATATAGTTATTATATTTTCTTTAATAATATTTGTTTAATGTACCGATTTTGCGGTTTTCCCTACGTTTTTCCCGGTTTTTCACATTTGCTGGGAAAACTCTTGGGATTATCGAAAATTTACCTCCTTAAAGTATCTTTCCAGACAGATTTCCTTTCAGGAAAGGTGCTACTTTTTATTTATCGGAGCCAGTTTTCTTTTCGAAAAGTTGTTTACAAACAAAACAAAAAAATAAATAAAAAACACATCATAGTAAAATCAATAGACCCTGGCTATCCTCCGAATGTAACAGTCATGACTCACGAATAATAGTTTTATAAAACTCATCAAAATTATCAAACTCAAACCGTTCTACTTTACCCACTTCGTACCGTGGGTAGGCTACTGTTGTAGGTTGGAACTACGAGAAAATTGAATACGATATAGGGTAATTTAAATTTTACTATTCTAGGAAAAGAATAGTTTTTTTATTTAAATATAAGAGAGACGCCGAACTAATGGAAATTTAGATAAATACGTTTTAAACCCCAAGTCAAAAATGTAATGTAAAATGTAAAAATTTAATCTTTTTAAAAAAAAAAAAACAAAATTAATTTTCAGAAAAAGTATTAATAACTTTGAAAATGGTTTCAAATTAAGTACTGTCGATTGAAAAACTCGTATCATTTTAGTATGACAAGAACATTTATTCTAATTGAAAAATCTCTCAGAATCTAAAAATAAATTAATTCGAAAAATAACGATTGCACACTGGTACATAATTGTTCCAGTTTACTATACATATATTTCAAATTAGTGAATATCTATCCACTGCGTGTCCACTTTTCCTTCCTTTCAAGAAAACTCCACGAGAATAGAGATCAAACCTGACCTCAAAATGTCGGACCTTTCCCAGTTACCATCCCCCCTCCCCCAACTGTGATAATATTTTGTTACATAATCTACTTATTCAATAATTCATCATTTAACTATTAGTGAATACACAGGAAGCAAAGTCTTAATGTGCTTCAATGGACTAACTGTGTGTCTATTTTGACGCAGATAACATCATTAAAAAATGCTCTGCCTACCTACATTTACTTACTTAGTTATTAATAATATTTCACCATGTTAGTTTTTATCAATTATAATATGGTTGGATGGGTTATAGTAATATTAATATATAGACATATAGTTGTTTATAATATTCGACCGTAAGACTTAAAAGATCAAAGATCAAAAAATAAACTTTAAAGGCGCTCTTTGAGGTAGTATTTTTGATGTAGTTAAATTATACGCATGTGTTTTCTGATAACATCCTTTGGGCTTTCACGAAAAATTAATGTTTAAACGTCGTCGAACAAGACCTCGTGTAATATTATACGATTTTAGTCAGTGCGAATTTAAGATAACCTCTGAATATCAAATTTAGAAGTTCAAATGATGAGTTTCTGTTTTCGAACTCCTCTTTATCATTAGAGTGTTGCTCGTAGCTATTTAAAAATCATCCAACCAATAAATCATTTACATTTACAATCAACTTGTCTTAAGGAATCTTAACAAAATACGAGTAGTTCGCTCGGTTTCGATTTGTATCGATTCGCACTCGATCGGCATGTTTTTTTATACTCGGAGAGTAATGAGGAATATATTGGATTTACAATAATGTTCATTTTTTTTTATCTGTGAACAACTTTTCTACCTTCTACCTTTTAACCTTTCAAGCACTTTTTGTAAAATAATATTTTATATATTTTAAATAGTACTTTAGGGAGGTCATTTTTTGGTTTGTCAAGCGGTTTCAATCATAATTAGGAAAAACCTTAGAAAAATGGAACAATTTACGTACATGTATAAAAGAAACTTCAATCCTAATTATTTTTCGTTAGCAGTGGTTTATCTTTGTGTACAGATACAAATTAAATTCTCCTCTATATCTATCTTACTTTCCGAACTTCTAACCTAAAATAGTGGCCCACTTATCGTACAAAGTTTAATACAATTAAATAGATAATATATAATGGGATGGTTTAAAAAGCTGTAATATTTACGCTTTATATAAAATTTAATCTTAAAATCACTATTAAAAAAATTATCAAAAAAGCTTGCTGTTTACACTTAACAACATCTTATACTTTACTTTTAGTTTTTATTGTTTTTGTTTAACACGTAATTTACAGGAAAAAAAATCATGTTTTGGCGTAGAGTGAAGTGATTATAATAATGTTTTCTTGACTTTGATTTATGTATATATATAATAATGAAAGAAAAAATAGAAATGGTGAAAAAAGATCACATTCAAACTCAAATTCTAACATTTGAAAGTACCCTATAATTTTTAAAATCCACGTCCAATACGTCCGGTATTAATTTATCCTCTTTGCGATAAAGAGAGAAAAATCAATACAAATCCGACCACTTTATGAGTAGTCACATATTTTTCTTACAGAGCATATTTTTAAGCAAAAAACAACAGATTGTATGCAAACTCCATCATCAGAAAAATATAATCTATGTTGTTTGAAATAAAAATAAATAAATACGTAGCTTTAAGTGGTTAAACTGTGTTTATAAGTACACCGACTGTTGGTAAGTACACCAAATTATTATAAAAAAAAAACCGATTTATTATTATTATTGTATTTTTCAATGTTTAATTAAAATCAAAATTCAGGGAAAAATTGTCTAGGAAAACAACAATTTGTGTTTAATCTACTATTAAAATTGTATTATATAATACATTAAACAATTAAAATAAAACTTAAATATCTGTATTTTTTCGCAATCATATATTTTTCGAATCTATTGCCTTAAAATAGAGAATGTGGGTTTACATGAGGCAGAATATATATAATATAGTAAATGTGGTTTGGAAAAGTTTGTAAAAATATTGTTGTTTACAAAAAATATAAACTCTTCAATTTCAATGCATTTTTTATTTACATAATATTTTGTTACCTCAATTTCAGCCTCTCGAATTATAGGTTATTTGGACTTATCAAATTTATAATGGACTTCCGCAAGGTGCCTCATGAAGATGTAGCCATTGCAATATCTTTTGAGATAGTAAATATAATTAATTATATTTAAATTCTGTTGTTCTTTTTTTAATATGAATTGCAGGTAAAAGGCCTATAAAAATGTAGATACAAATTTAATTTGTATGTTTTGTTATAAAACTAAACATTTTTTATAATTATTTTGAAACATTTGAAGATATCCATTTAATAGAATTTAATTCTTCATAAAAATTTTGACGTTTCAACTTTTTATTTTCATTAAATTTGTGATTTTTAATATTTTTTTTAAAATTTAGAAAAAAGTATCGATAAATTGTGCAGATTGCTGTAAGCGCATTCACTAATTGTTTATTATTCTTATAGCTAATTAACTGAACACTTTTTTCTTGGAAGTTAAACAAAGCTTGAAAATCACGAGTTTAATGAATATAAAAAGCTGATATATAAAAATTGCCCGAAGAATATTCTGTACAAAACGGTTTCAAATTTTTAAAAAATAAAAATTGATTTGTTTAAGTTTTTTACAAAAATATAAAAATTAATTGAAATATAAATATGTGAAGTCCCTCGAGTAATTTATAAAAAATAAAATCTTCGCGGGACATACTTTATAAAACAATTAAAATTAATTTAAGAAAATAATAATTAACATTTATTTTACATTCCAATACAGTTTTAAAATTCATAATGTAGATATGCTTCATATTTATTAATAATTTCTTTAAATTTAAATTTTATATAATTTCTACACAGATTGTTAGACTTTGTGCAGAAAACCTAGTTTTTATGCTATCATGATTAGAAAATCTATTGTTTTAATCATTAATTTTAATTTTATAATATTCGAAATATTTAAGACATAATTTATTAGTAATTAAAGTAAAATATTCATCCCCAGATACTGAAATGAATTGATACTTTATTTTTCCGTTTCAAAACTTGAAATTATGAATATTTGAGTAAGTGTACCAATATAACAAAACTAGGCGTATGTTGATATTTTTCGCATTATTGAATTCAGAAATAGTACGTACAAAATCAAGCCCTTTTTTAATTGAGGTAAAAATTTTCCTTCTCCGATATCTGGAGAGAAACTTTAACTATTATTACTGGGATATTTTTAATATCATTTTAAAAATATGTGTATCAGAGAAAAATATTACGGAAGCATTGTTTCCAGGATGGGTTTACTGAAAGTTTTGTCGGGTTTGATTAATCCTGGAGACACTCATCAATTTTTAGTAATTTATATAATCCCCTCCTCTTATTCCTCAACATTTTTCCCATTTAACCACTAGATAAAAATATAAAATTTGAATTAAACTGTAACACTGTATAAAATTGTTTAAATTAATATGCAGTGTTGAGCATTATCTAGATAAATTATCTAAATAAATTATCTTTTATTTTATCTCGATAGTGAACCAAATTAGTTATCTGATTAATTATCATAGATGAATAATTGAATTATCTAACGTAATTTATCTAGATAAATGAATATATTTACTTATCCGAGAAATTCGAAAACTTGAAATTGAAAGTTAAAAATACATGTCTCATTAGTAAACCATCGTTGTACAAATACGAAATAAAATGAAAAACATAAAGTAATAGGTAATAATATTATCCGGGTTGATTATTTATGTTATTTCTAAATTCTAATTATATCCGGGCCGATATCTATAGGGTATGACCGAATAGATTGGTCTAAATGGAGTTGACTGGGTTGACTGCTTATAAATTTATTTTATAATTATCAAATTAACAATCAACTTCAATTTAATATTATACATTATGAAAAATCTATACATTGTACTCAACCATCAAAAAAAAAACATTAGAATACAGGTAGTATTGTTTACTGACAAAAGTAAATAAATATAAAATAATTATCAATCAATAATAAAAATAAAAATGAATCTTAAAATTTGAATGAAATAATATATTCTAAATACTTATAATTATTGAATATTTTATGCCTATTAGTTATTAGAACAAAGGTAAGTTCATTTTATTTTATTTCAGTAGAAATTGTAAATTAATTAATAAAATTAAAAATTTTTTATATATTTTTTATCCAGTTAAATAGTGTTTTATCTTTTATCTTTATCCAGATAAATTTCTAGTTATCTTTGCGCAACACTGTAATAATATGTATTATGCAATGGTGATTGGAGGGTTGGTTGGGTTTTCGTGGCGGCTATAACCCCATAGTAAATTACGTTAGGGTAAACAAATGTCCTGTGTGATACGGTGTTGTCCCATGTTAATCCCGTTTTTTCCTTAATGGTAACTTTTGAAGTATATTTGATACTTTTATAACATCGTTTAATAAAATCTCTACTTTACAACGAAATGTTTGTGTTATTGTTTTCGCTATTTTAACAGGTGTATTGTATTATATTGTATTGTATGTAAAAGCAATGAGAATTTTAAATATACAATTTAAAAACTATTCTTGTAATAAGTGTTATAATATTTTACTAAAAGACAATAAATTACTATAGGAAGGTATGCATTTAATATTTTAGTTCGTCATAAAAGTATACAAAAACAGAAGAAGAAAAAGATTGTCCAACAATCATCAAAATAAAATTGTTTTTCGGTATGAAGTATAAATATTTTATATGTATTGAAACCCCTTTACAGAGAAACAGAGATCACATATATTTTATTTTGTTTTTATTATATTATTTATTATTTTTAGTTAGGTTAGGTGTAATTTATTTAATTTATTTTTTTTTAAAATACCCGTATTTTCGTTTGATTTTTATGGTTAGCTTAAAGTACGCGTATGTCTATTATGAAGGGTACGTGGCTACTACCAAAATAATTGCAGATTCGGTCGAGTTCCGAGTTTATACAAAATATTTTTAAATGTGACCATTTATCAACGAAATCGTACCGTCCGCGTATACCGCGTTATAGCGTTATAGCGTATATAGCGTTTACCGTTAAAAAATATAATAATAATAATAATAATAATAATAATCGACAACGTCGGGTTTAAAAAAAAAAATAATATAATATAATGGGAATTATAATAATAAAGACTGTGGGGCGTAAAAAACGACAATAATAAAAATACGAATACGGAATTATCCGCGTTATTGCTTATATTGTTCGCAGGGTTCTGTATATGTATACAATACGAACGGGATTAAATACCCGAATGAAAAATAAAAAAAGTATGGAGTCTGCTGCACCGCCGTTAACGTAGTTTTTAATTTTTAATATTATACTGCGTGATACGGTGTGCTAAATATTCTACAAAAACGCACATCTGACAACACGTATTATATTTCATAATAGTCAATCATGCGACCACTCGACAGGAACGTTTTTCTATTTTGAAATTTTGATCCGATTATATGTATATATATAAAAGAACCGATATTGCTGACGGATGTGCCACCATTGTAAGGTACTGTGGCCGGGAAGTTAGAAGATAGGATAGAGTTATTTGGTTTATGTATGTGTTGAACGGTAAGCCGTTGTTAACGAAAAATCATTCAGAGTTCGGTTATGATGATACTCGTGTGAAACCGTTAAACATTTCTGATCGGCCAAAAACATTTTACAATATCTATAATATCTATCGCTTACTCATTACTATGGTGTTGAAATTCATCTATTGGTAATCTGTATAAATAATATTTGATTTATAATTTATTTTATCTAGATGAGAGAAAAAAATAATCTAGATAAACATACCTTAAAAAAATTGTTTTAAGCATTGTAGAAATTATTAAATAATTGTTCACGTTTTAATTTTAATTAAAATATCAAATTTAATAGCTACTTGAGTAATTTAATACTTATGTTTACCCATTGGGTTTATAAAATAATTGTTTTGACCGTTTAAATTTGTATTTCCCTGTTATAGACAACATAGACAACAAAATCAAAAAATAATTAAATATTTCAATAGATAACTGTTTTAGATTCTGAGTGTAGCAAAGAATGTATTGTTTGTACGAATATGTTTATTACTATTATTTTTTTTTTTTTATGTATACTGTGTACAAAAATTCTATCAGAAATCTTGCTCCGATATATACGCGCGAAAAACCAGGATAAAAAACGTAAAATACTTAAAAACGTAAGAGAATCGAGAAATTTACGAAAATAATGCTTTTATTATTTTTATAATCTTGTTATTTGTTGTAATTCAGTTAAAAATATTCGTAGAGATTTGATATTTGAACAGAAAATTTATATTTGCCTTTTCTAGACATCGTAAAATTTTCAAAAATGTTAAGCCATTTTTAAGCTATTTATAGATATTTGCGAGTTTTATACGTAATTTTTATTTGGTAGTTGGTGTGTAGTAAAATTGTTAGATTAAACAGAAATGCTTGAAAATTTAACAGAAGGTTAATTAAAAGTCTTACTTTGTGGTCATAAAACAAAATTGAGTTTAATACACTAATTATTTTTATAAAGGAATTTTAATATTAAATTACGACGAAAATCCTTCGAGTGAAAAATTATGCGGAACAAATCTAATTTTTCCATTTTTTTTGTTTTGAATATAATATGTATACTGCCGATTTAAGGACGATAGTTAAGTAAGGATTGAGCGTACTGTTAAAGTTTCGAAATTATAGCTTTTTGAAGTTTTGATGTTGTGCGGATATTATATATGTTGAGTTAAATAGTTAAATAGTTAAGTTAATTATTTAAGTTAAACAATTAAACAATAACTATTGTTCTTATATTTATTTACGTTTCAACATTTCAGTTAATCGTAACCGTTAATTATTCGTATCCGTAAAATAAGTTGTCACGAATACATTTCAAAGATGTTATCTCCTAGAATGTGGTAACATCAGTGTTCCCTCAGTTACTATACTCGTATGCTCGAAATAATAATATTACCTATATTATGTTCCGTTATACAAGTGAAGGAAAGCACCCGTATAGTCTTCACCAGGAAATTATACTGGAAACAATTGAATTCAATTATTTTATAAACTATACACCGTAGGTATATCTATTAATATATCTATGTAGTATACCAGCACAATATAATAGTGCATATGTAATTTACTGGAAATTTAAACTTGATATTACCAAACGCTAAAGGGATATTATGAGAGTACATTATTATATTTATATACTGTACGCGAACCGTGCCGCTGTGAACCTAACTTTAGATTCTAAGTGTAGCAAAGAATGTATCGGTTTATCTATGCGTGATTTTTTTTCCCATCTATGAAACGGCTTTTATTTCAGACATTTTGCTCCGATCGTCACTTTTCTAAATGTCTCTGGTAATTTTTCGATTGGAGCAATATTTATGGTAGAAAAGTTGTTCATAGACACAAGGAATAAAAAAATTAAATTAAAAAAAAACACTTATCATAGTAAAACGAATAGATCTCTCAGGCTACGTTCCAAATCTAAAATAAACATCACTGTAAAACCAATACATTCCTCGTTCCGCTTAGAATCTAAAAGTTGAGCTCAATTTAATATTTTTTTTTTTTGTTTTTTATCAAATGTTGCCGAAAATCGTAAAAATACCAAATAAACACGTTATTAATTAAATAACTATATGTATACTACCTTTCGAAATCCAAACTGTTTACCTGCAACAGTGGCACCTCCCTCCCCAGTATCAGCTAGTTTTGTATTTAATTTCAAACAATTTTACCCGTGAGTTTACTGCAGTGAAAACAAAAAAATTGATTCCGAGCAAAGTGCACGATTCAAATCTGAACCGACGCGTAGCATTTCACGGTTGTATTTCTGTTTTCGAAAAATCGGATGTTTCGCAATATTTTCCGTTCGGTCCAATTATTGGCAAGTTCGATTGCTCGAAGTGGACCCTTATCGTTATTATACTCGTATATATATATATGTATATGTATAGGTACCATCTACGTTCGGTTAAAATACGTACAATATGTTTGTTCAATTATTAAATATTATCTAATATTATATATAATTGCTTCGGAAAAACTTTTTGAACTTGCAGTTTATACAGTTTATCGTTGCCATAGTTTTTCAAAAAACTAAACAATAACAGCATACCGCATTATACTATTATTATTATTGCGGTTAAACTTTACGGTTCCTTCGATTTTCTCGGTATCTATGTCCTATGTGTGCGCAATAATACAATTTAAAACTTTTTGAATATATATTATATTATTATGTATAATAATCTATTTCGATTAAAATAAATAATAATGGAATATATACATGCGTGTATATTCGTAGAGAAATATTTTCAGAAAAATCTGTAGCCGGAATAACAATAACGAATCATATTTATACGAGATCGGAAACAACAACGTAATGTTCACTATTTTAAATACTATAGTAATTTTGATAATAAATCATGGTTAAGGGCCGATTGAGCTGGTTAGGCCGTGCGATTGAACTCAATAGTAAAAAAAAATACACCAAATTGAAAACAACGAGACTTCTGCTTCAAGAAAAATCTGAAAAATGGTGGATAGATAAAGCTGAAAAAGATTTAAAAACCATAGGTGTAGGAAATTATACCGTAAATGGACATTGGCAACAGACAATTAATTGAAAGAAGTGTTTGATACGGCACTAGACTTAATAATGGCCTTTAGAGTTTATAGAAGAAGAATAAGAGAGGCAAATTTTTGTAAAATGTTATAGGATGTAAATATTAATAATAATATATATTGAATACAAATTACAATTCTGCAGTGTATATTCGATAAAGATATAGTGATATGGAAATCCTTCCAGCGCTTTTTATCGAGTATAATATTTAGCTAAGACTTTTGCAGCTAGGAAATCTCAACTTACGCTAACTGTAAAAAAACCAGACAAACTGAATCGTTTTTTTATCGAAACCCGTATCATGTATTGGCATTCATCCGTACCTATCTGTGCAACCTATTCATGGAAGTCCGAGGAAATGAGACGCTGAAACGCATCTCCGTCTTAATTGAAGTCCGAAATGGAATTTAATTTATAAAAATTACTAAAAAATGAAACGTGAGGGTGGTTCGTTTTTTCATACCAATAATAAGCTGTAGTAAAATAATCAAACTCCCAGTAGCTCAATATTTCTGTTTTGAAAAATTATATACTTTTATTCAATATTTTTTCATGAACATATAAATAATAAATATTTATATCCCAAAATCAATCCCTTAATGAAATATTCTTTGAGTTTTCTTTGATTTATCTACTCTAAAGATAATCATTTTGTTATTTATCATTTTTTTTTCTCAAACATTATTTATGCGTCATCGAATTAAATTCAAATTGATCTAAATCTATGTATTTCAAAATCTAAAATCAAAAAGGATGAAACCTGCTTAAATATATAAAAGAAAATAAAAATAATAAATTTTTCATTTATTACTCATAAACAAGAATGTTTCATTTAAAACAATTAATAATTGTTTGTATAATTTTTAGATTCTAAGCTAAGCAAGGAATGCATTGGTTTTTTTAACGATGTGTATTTTATTTTATTTTTTCGTGAACAACTTTTCTAACAGGAATTTTTCTCCTATTTTCAATTGTAGAATCTTTTCTGAAAGGATATTTTATCTGGATTATATTTTAAACAATAATATTTTTGATTTTCCTTGGGATTTTTATAATAATTGGGCAAAATGTTGGAAAACGGGAAAATTTACGAAATTTATTATTTTAAATTCTGTTTTTTTATTGTAACTTCGTTAAACATATTTGTAAAGACTTGAAATTTAGATAAAAACTTTTCTAATTTGCCTTTTCTAAACGTAATAAAATGTTCAATACATTTTATTTATTATTGTGCTATTAATGTCTAGTTATAGTGAATAATATATAGATAAAATAGTTTGACTAAACATATATGCTTGAAAATTGAACAAGAGGTACATTATAAATCGTACTTTGTGATTGAAAAAAAATTGGGTGTAACGTGAAACTGTTTTTTTTATAAGAATTTTAGTATCATTTTAGACTAAAATCGTAAATATTACGACCTTCCACAACATGTATAATTGAGTTACACTTAGAATCGTTTTGCGTTAGCAATGATTAATTGTTGCGTACAGATATACATTAAATTTCTCCTCTACCTTTCTAACTTATCACCTACAACAGTGGCCTACCCATCGTGTGAAGATAGATAAAGTAGTTGTTAAAATACATTTTGGTGTTTAAATTTTTAATTTCCGACAATCCGTTGACGTGATATTCCACTTTTAATTTTGGATTGGGGGAGAGTAATGGTACATTATTTAAACGCCGCGAGCTGTGTCGCCACGCAAATGATGCACCACTGTTCTCCCCCGACCCAAACTCAAAAGTAGAATATCTTGTCAACCGATTGAGGGAAATTAAAAATTAAAAAATCAAAATTTATTTTAACTACCACTTAATCTATTTATCGAATTTTTAGTGTAGGTTACCACTTGAGAATCAAAATTAGGTAGTCGTTTCAACCCCCAATAATTAAAGTAACAAAAAATAATGTAAATATTAAATTTTAAAAAAGTTTGTTTCTTAAATGTTCTTTAAAATAAATTTAGAAAAAAGTTAATACTTTCCGAGATAATGAGTGTCTTAGGTTAGATTGATATACATATAATGGTATACATATTATGATATACATATAATAGTATTTTATTTTAGCTTTGGTGCCATGTCTTTTTGAGGTAAAATTTACCATCTGAACATTTCACTTTACAACAATTATTTTACATGCTTCAGAACTTGACAATAATATTTATGTACACAAACATATTTTACTAGATTTTAATTTGAAATAACTTATTGTCAATATTTTGTGTACTTTTTTTTATTTTATTTCACTAATTAGATAAAATATTAAAAATGTCTGCCCTACATTTATGTATAATAATTTATGTACAAATAATATTATCCAGTTGTTTAAAATTTTAAAAAAAATGAATAAAAGATAACTTCATCGTAAAAATGTTCACACAGTTTTATGACACGCAATATACCAAAATTAACAATTCGTTGAGAGTGCTAAACATTTATTTACTTTGCACTGACTTTTAGATTCCAAGAAAAGCGAGACACAATAGTCTCTGTGTAATAGTTTTTAGATGTGTACATAGTTTTGCGTTTTTCTTCTGTCTGAAAAAATCTCCTCCCCCTCTTTAGATCAGTAAAAATGATTAAAAGTTTCGTCCGGCGGCCGTGCTTTTTTATGGACAGAATACTGAAATTCGTCGAAAATTGGGTAAATATGTTACTAAAAGAGCATTGAGAAGAACTTCAAGCATCGCGAGTGTCAACAAATTTTATTTCCGTTTTCTACACTCAAAGTCGTCGTTATATTCGAACGCGATTCTTCTTTTATATCATTCTCGCTTTCAAATATTGAAGTAAAATTATTTCACCGTAGGGTCTCGTTTACCCCCGACAGTCTATATTTTATTATTTATTCCGAGCAAACCGAATAAGTACATCAATATATCGATACAATATTTAATTTCAGTGTACTGTGATAACATTATAAGAAGTACCATCAGACAGGTTTCAGAGTAAAGTAAATAATTTGTTTTTTAAACTTTCTTATGGTTTATTTATTCTTTTTATTTTATTAACCTTCGTAACTTAATAATATTTAAATTTACATAATTTTATAATATAATTTCTTAAATAGTGATAATGAATTTACTGTTCTTAGTTTATTGTTATTTTTTTGATCGTGTTCTCGGGTTTTTTTTTAAACATTTTTAAAGGGATTGGGCTCATTAAAAAAATAGTGACATTTAGACCAAAAAGCTGGACAAAACTATAGAGTTTCAAAATGTTTTGAAAACTGATTTATATAGACTAACAAGTTGTCTAGATTTTTACGAATTTGGTTTAAATATTCCGAAAATGTTGCCGTGGCACAACATGAATATATTTAAATAGAAAAGTATCACAACTGAACAAATTATATATTTAAAATAACTTCCATAATAACCTAGATATTATAGTAAACATTTTATCCAATCAAAATTAAAATCCGTCAAATCCAACGCTTACATTTTCGTCGTACTTCTTATGGTTTAAAACGTTATAAACGTTATGGTTTAACGTTATTCGTTCATAAAGTACCTCTTTCCCTTAAATGAGTATCGAAGAATCGATTTATCATTGAGGTGTAAAAAAAAATACTTATTCTAAATAAGTCAATCCTTTATTAAAAATGATCCATATAAGAGCGGTGCTTATCTTGGTTTTGAAAAAACAATTTCTTTATCTTCCCCAAAATTGGTTCTAAATAATTGAACAGATTTTTTTCCTCTCTATCTTCGTCTGCTTATTTTGAAAATATTTTGTATTAAATAACCAACATATCTATTTTCTGTTTTCTAAAATAAAAATAATTATTCGTTTTTTTTTTTTTTTATGGTCACATTTTTATTGTAAAAACTAAAAAAAAAAAATGTTTACGGCGTGTTCACCATAATAGTGTTTTAATACATTTTTGCAAAATAGACAAATGGAGGTGAGGAGGAAAAAAAAATATTTTTTTTTATTATTTTATTTTTATTATCTGGAACTGATCTAAGAGGTGCTTAAAATGTATTTTCCTATATTCAAGATTATGACCACCTCAATCCATAATATATTATACGTTACACATAAAATACTACACACACATTATAATATTAATTATATCCATCCATCCATCCATCCATCCATCTTGTATGAAATAGGTACGTGATTTTTATTTGTGAATCATAAATTGTCGTGGATAACATAATAACCAGTCGAAGAATAGGTTTGGGAGAATATAATAAGAACAAAGAGGAGCTCATTATACCACGGTTTAACGTACTGCAGACGGTTGTTTTTTTTTTTTTTTTTTTATATCTACCATCGCCGATGACAAATTGGATTCGTATAAATACAATATCATAGTATAATATTTATTTAAAAAAAAAAAAAAAAAGATCTGAAAATCATACCATAGTACCATTTATGTGGGACGAGTTAACGTGAAATTTTTTTTTTTTGTTCTTGTCAGACAACTAGTTGTTTAAATACAACATTGTTCAACATAATTAATTGATACACCAATATGTGGATTAATTTAATATGTTTGTTTGTTATGTTTCATTATTATATTGTATATGAACTAATTATTACGCTGTTTTTAATTTAGTATACTGATGTACAACAAACGTTTTGTAATGTCTTTTTGCAAATGGAGTTTACTCCGTATGAAATAAAATAAACAAATAAATAAACAGCTAAATAATTAAATACAAAAAAGGGCTAATACTGGGGATAAGAGTCGGGATGTACCACTGTTGTAGGTGGGAGGTTAGGGAGGTAGAATACACATATATATGTAATTTATATTTGTAGCGATAAACCAATGCTACCTAACAAAATATTATTCAGGACAAAGTTTGTTTATACAATGTTAAAAACATGTTTAGTAGAATAATAGTAATACCACTGTTCAAGTCAAAACTATAGGAGAACAAAAATTAGGTTATACAAAGCCTTGATCAGGCCTATTGTATAATATACATGCGGGGCCTGGGCATTAATGAAGGTAGACGAAAAGAATGACATTTGAGAGAAAGATAATATCAAGGAGGATTTTCGGGCTTAAAAAGAACACTAAAAACAATGAATACGAACGAAGGACAAACGCAGACCTAAGAGAACTTTTGAACAAAGCCGATATAGTAGGTGTTCTGAAAATTCAAAAACCTAACTGGGCGGAAAGCGGAGGATAAAATAATAAACAAAGTCAAAATGTGGAAGGCAAATCGGACAAGACCAAGAGGACGACTAAGATAGAGGTGGAGCGACCGAGTCAGAGAAGATCTGAAAATCTAAAGATCCTAGGAGTCAGAAATAGAGAAAGATTAGTGTTAAATATAGAGGCATGGAGATGCATAGTGGAAGCGGCGATAGGTCTAAACGGTCTCGAATAAGCCATTGACAGTTATAAATTATTGTAAACACTAAAAACAACTTGCTATTTTTTTAACATTTGTGAAAGTTATTGTTGGAACTTTGAAAACTTCCGTTCGGAGAGGTGCTTTTGGTTTTCGGTGATGAAAAAAACCCCGTGCACGATAATAATAAAATACCAGTAGTTATATAAAGAATATATGTGGTTTAACGTCAAATTGTTCCGATCTGAGCGTGACATCTCGAAATAAAACTTTTCAGCGTTTTATTAAATTATAACGGTTTCATGGAGTGAATACGACCTTGAGACTTTTAAAACCGAAGAACTAGTGTGAAAAATAATATGATTGCAGACCAATGAATATTTCTCTTCAGTTGCTGGAAGAAAGGAAATAATAATAAGCTATGTGGGGTTGAAATGGAGCATGTGGTTAAAATACCCCCTTATTAAAATGCCTTGGTATATTATTTATCAAATCACGGGTTTTGTTTATGAGAGATATTGACATTTTTTAAAGTAAAATTAGCCCTTACATGCAAAAATCTTCTCTGGCTTAAGTAAAGAAACATAGATATTATATTTGTCTTTTCTATAGATGTGGTAAAATTTTCAAAACATTAAAGCCATTTTTGAGCTAATGATAGACATTTTAATTTTGCAATTTTTTAAGTAATTTTTATTCGGGAGATACTCTTTAATAAAATTGTTAAATTAAACAGAAATACTTGAAAATTGTACAGAAGGTTCATTATAAATTATGTATGTGATAAAAAAAAATGAGTGCAACAGAATGTTGATATCTAACTTTGACGAAAATCGTCAATATTACGGCTTTTCAAAACATGTTAACTAAACTTCCCTTCAAATCGTTTTTCGTTAGCAATGATTTGCTATGTAAATTTGTCTATCTTTGGATTCTGAGCAGAGTTCACTGGTTTTACAATGTTATTTTTTTTTGTTATTTGTGACAACTTCTACTAGAAATTTTGCTTAGATTTTTTAATGTAGTATTTTTTTTTAAAAGAAAATCTGGCTGGGGAGGTACTTAAAGGAGGTAATTTTTTTAAAATTTTTCAACGATTTTCAATAAATGGGAAAAACCGGAAAGAAACGTAAGAAAACCGGGAAAATTTACGAAAAGTATTATTTTCGAATCGTAAATATTAAAATCATTCAAAGCATGCATAACCGAACGCCATTCAAAATCACTTTTCGTCAGTAATAATGAACGGTTGCATACAGATATACATGAAATTTCTCCTCTACCTTCTCACTTACAATAGTGGCCCACTTATCATGCGAAGTATGCCCATTTGTTTTTTCTCATTGTATTCGTCGTTCAAAATGTGTGGTTTTTAACAATTTCCCTCTCCCCCCCCCTTAAATTACTGCCGCTGTGACAATTGTGACCCCGACTCCGGAGCTCCCTTAAATATGAAAAAAAAAATAAATCACATTTAATATTTTGTGAGTATATATTTGTTATTAATGGTTCCGTCATTATTCATTTTTATACCGCACCTATATAAAATGTGTTTAAATAAATCAACGTTATAAAAGTTTTACTGGATACACGGACACGATGATTACTATAGAAAAATTATTGGCACACCAGTAAAAATAGTCCTGCCAAATCGACAACGATTTTACATGGAAATATACGGCAAAGAATATTCTACTTTTCCATTATAGCTATCGCCAGTTTTTAATGCCATCAATTGTTTTGAATATAACACAAAAGTAATTATAATTCGGAGACCATTGAATAGACGGCATCGAAGCGTAACGAAATGTCTAATTCTTAGCAAAGCGAATTCGATTTATACAAATATTATATATACATAAATAAATAGAAAATTTGTGATAGTGCGTGATTTAACGTGGTGGCTAACGTAAAATAATTTTATCGGATCAAACTCTCTCCGAAACACAAATAATACCTGTTTAATGTACTTGAATTTTAAATAACAAATCGGTTTATGGCATTGCTAATGTTAAATGGGAGCGATATTGTTTACTTTAAAATAACGTGTATAGTGATAATGTGTCGCCTTTGTAGTGCTCCTCTTATGTTTTTATAATTAAGTTTATCCATTGCACAATATTATTATTACCATCACCTTATTAAACCAAGAAGTATTTGCACTTATAAACTGATCTTCTTTCTATTCTTTTCAGTGTCACGTTCAATTAAAATGCCACCAATGAGCAAAATACATTTCGATATCCCATAAATATTATATGATAATTAGAGAATAACTAATCAGTTACCAGATGGCAACATGCGGAACACATTATACTGTTTCCAAAATATTACATCTTTAATTCCTAATATCGTATATTGTATACATTTTTAATGACACCTACTAAACTTCATTGTACTTATATTATTATTTTAATGCTGTTTCTTTCAGATTTCAGATTCAGATTTAAACTTTAAAAAGGTGTTTCAATAAATTTATAATAATATGTTGGTCAGGGCTAGTGTTATTATTTGCAATAGGCTTGATAGAGAGAGTGTAGCTATACAGTTTTTGCTTCTGATTGGACGATAGATTTGTCTGACATTATTTGGCTACTTTTATTTTTGACAAAAACAAAAAAGGCGAACAATTAACTACTACAGAACGTTGCAATCAAATTCCGTTAATATTTTTTGAGCTGAAATAAAATATTGCTGGTATATTTTCGATACATTAAGTTTCAAATGTTCTAGAACTTTTCAGTAAACTTAATTTACTATCTAGGGTGTTAGTTTACTATATTAGTTTACAAAAGTTTGTCACCCTCTAGACGCGATACAATTTTCTACCTCTGAGCAATCATCTCCCCTTGCCCATAGTTGATCGCGGCCCTGCCTCTCAACACCAATTGTATTTCAATATATATGCGAAGTAAAAATACTATTATCGGTAGATACAAACGACGAATAGTATACATTTTATTATTCTGCATCATCGTTCTTAAATCGGCAATATACATATGTTCAAAAAAAATTGAAAAATTAGATTTGTTCCACATAATTTTTACTCGTAAGATTTTCGTCAAAATTTGATATTAAAATTCTTTTATAAAAAAAAATACCACATTAAACTAAAATTTTAATGAACCTCATGTGAAATTTTCATGCATTTCTATTTAATCTAATAATGTTACCACACAGTAATTGTCGAATAAAAATTACATATAAAACTCGCAAAACTAAAATGTCTATAAATAGCTAAAAAAGGTAAATAAGAGTTTTCTGTTCTAATTTCAAGTCTCTACAAATATGTTTTACTGAACTAATACAAATAGCAAAATTGAAATGAATAATATAAGCATTATTTTCGTAGATTTCCTGTTTTCTTACGACATATCCCGGTTTTTCCCAGATATTATGAAAATCGCTTTGGAAATTTCAAAAGTACCATCTAGACAATATTTCCTTTTAGAAATGGTACCCCGCGTATATATCGGGTAGAATTTTCGTACACAGTATAAAAAAAAAAAAAAAAAAATAATAATAAATGAACATCTTTATACAACCGATACATTCTTCGCTGCCCTCATAATAGTAATAATCAATTAATGAATGCAGTTACAGCCTTGTGCATAGTTATCGGTACTTTTCATTGAACTTAAAATAATTAATAAAAATCGCAAACTAATGTAATTTAAAAGTTGATACGTCAAAGTTTTCATAATCTCCATAAAATGGCTATCTTCAAATTATTCGAAAATAATATAATAAAAAGTTAGTTTTAATTATTTGGTTCACCAAAGTATAAAAATCTAATTTAAATAAAAATATTCGTAGTCTTTGTCCCTGCGATTAATATGAAAAAAATAAATAAATAAATAAAATTCGTTCTATATTTTCGTGGGACATCCTGTATAATAATTATCTAGTGAAATATCGATTAAAATATACATGTATAGGTATATTTATAGAAATTCAACGAAATAACAGAAACCTCTAAAGAGCACACAATTTCCATCGCTGACAATATTATACTTTTTTTACCAAAAACATGCAAGTACGTATAAAAAAAAAAAACCTATGCAATTTATTATTCGAATAGTACTTTTTGCGGTTCACTAGGCAGTTTCTGATTAAAATATGTCCGTAATAATACGTACAGTGTATGCGTATCCGAAAAATATCAGTATGGCTGGAGTGAATATAATATGCACATAAAAGAAAACATTCATTGTATATTTCCCAAAATGAAACTTCGGTTTTCGATATTGGATTTATTCCGTATACCATAATTTATGCGGAAATTCATTATTATAATACGGTCATGTAATAATGTATAAAATATTTTATTCGTATTGTTAAATATTGACCGTTGTAAATAAAAAAACTAAAAAAATACGGAAATCGTGTTTCTTGTATATATTATATTATTTCACTGTGAATTTACATAATATATTTAATTATTGCATAATATCGCGTATTATGGGGATTTTACTCTAAAATAATTTGGGGATACGAGTCGAGCTACAGAAAATAATTTCTTCAATACTGATATGTTTTCAGTTGAAGAAAATAAACGTTTTTAGAAACTGTTGTAAATATTTTTTTTTTGTACAGCGGAAAAACAAGTTCCGACGCATAGAGTTTTATTCGGATAGGCCAATATTTCAGATGTAGTGTAGTTGGAATTGTAGGATATACAGGGAGATTAAATTAGTGTACTATATGCAACGATAAATAATTTAAAACAAAAAAAAAAACAGTTTTGAACGGAATAGTAAATAATAATTATTCGTTTTTTCCTTGTTGCCCTAGTAACACAAAAACTCAAAAAATAAAATCAGACAATATTTAAAAAAAAAGGCCTGGAGACAAACTACTAAGAATATAGCTATATGCTCCACATGTACCATCTGTCAGCAATTTATGCATCATTTTAAGTACTGCGTGAAAATATTGGAAAATTGATTTGTCTGTTGGAAAAAGTATTGCAAATTTCGAAAAATATTTCAAAATATGTATCATCAGTTTAATTACATTAGGTGAAGAATCCACGTTTTTATCTATATTAAGTAATAAAATTAAAGCATTTTTACTGAACAAAAAGAGAAAAATCAAATGTTTTGAAAATTAATAGATTCATTGTTTTTAAACTCAACATCTATACTTAGAGAATGAGGACTTTAAATAGATAATTTAGCATTTGATTTTGTGAGTTTATGACAAAATTAAGGACAAAATATTTGCGCACGTTGTCTGCTATTGACAGTATAGAAATATATATTGAAGGAGTATGTTTTATTTTTTTTGGACCATTTTATTCGAGGGATATTATCCCTTCTCGATTATTATTACGGGTCTAATTAATTACGTTTAAACGTCCAATTTCGTTTATATTCAATGCGAGTATCTAAAAAGTTTATATAAGCTTTTTTTTTCCGGTTCGTAAACAAAAAAATATCATTTAGTTCAATATTTATACATGGCTACATCCGTATATGAGCTCGTAAAAATCAGTTGAAAAATAATTCTTCGTGATAAACACAAAAAAAATGATGATTCATGTACTAGAACTATAACCTAACCTACCGATTTCTTCCTTCAAAAATATTTTATTAGAACACGGATCCCACTATTTATTTAAAAAGCTGAAAACCATTATATTTTTTCATCTTATATGAAACGAGTTCCTATAAAAATGTGGAAATTGGAAATCTGGAATCTGTAAATCTGGAGCGTAAAATTTTGGAAAATAGAATTTTGAAATCTTTAAAAACCTGGACAGTACAAATCTGAACGGTATTAAAGTGAATCGTATTAATCTAAACGATACAAATCTGGACGGTACAAAATTCGATTGTACAAATCTAGACTTTACAGATCTGGACTATATATTATTATATTACACCCGTTTAAGGGATAAGCGTAGGCCATAAATATACCATTTCATAAATACAATATATTAAGGGGCTATGCATAGGCAATTTGTATTACATTTTTTTTAAAAGTAAACGCTTTTACAAAAAACCCCTAACGCCTAACGTTAAGATTTAATTTTAATTTTCAATATTTGTTGGCAATATTGTTATTGTACAAACTAGTCTAATCGTTTTTTATGGTATTAAACATGAACACACAGCGTTATTTGAAATAGCACCATATGGAACGATAAAATGTGGAATGACTTTTTATTTAGGTGACAGGGCAAAAAGGCCTTTCACTGCGTGAAAGCGAACGTGGAAAAGATTCAACCATACATACCGTGGAGGGTAGCAGCAGAGGAAAGAGATGGATGGAGAGGAATTTGTTTGGCAGTATGGTCTCAATGACCAGAAAAACCTAGAAAAAAAAAATTGTTGACAAAGCATCACTATCAACTGAACTCAGATCAGAATCGTTTTTTTCGTTAACAATGGTTGCTAACAAATGTACATTAAAATACCTATAACAGTGTTTACACTCGTTCCTATTATTCTAGTATGTCTTTTTTAAAAATTAATTATTTAAATTACCTATATAATATATTATAATCAAATAATCATAATTTTAATATGAAACGTTTTTTGGCAACTACCTTGGGTATTTCGACTAATTCATTATCCACAAAATAAAATAAAACATCAGCTAATTTGAAATATAAGCAAACAACATTTTTTAAAATGTCTATTTTTTATCTGACTAAAAATGTAAATATCTTTTATTTTAATCTAGATATTTTAAATTGGTTTATCTATTATCTTTTTTTAGATAAATTCGTGCATATTATCTTTTATCCAGATAAATTTTGTATTATCTATCCCCAGCACTGCTCTTTTGTAAGAAGTAATTTAATGAGAACAATTTTTTTCTGAGAAATAAAAAAAACAACAATAACATGAGAATACCGAAAGGAGGTGAATTGTTGGAAATTTTGAAAAATATTTTTAATCAAATACCACCGGATTGAAATAACGAATTTTTTTAGAGCTAGATCTGAAAAAATTGTACGATTTTTACTAACTGATAAAAAAAGAATGCTTCTTATATGTAAAACAATAAACAATCTATAACGAGAATTACTAAAATTTTAAATAATATTCGTAATACAGTATTTACTGAATAATTAAGAAAAAAATATTTTATGTAATTAAAAATATATTATTCTTAATACAGCATTCAGAATACTACATTGCCACCATAAGGAAAAATTCCATAAGTGTCCCCGAAGCCAATATGAGATAAATGTATTTTTATGTTGAGTCATTTTTTGGGTAGAGACTCGTTTGTGTATATATTAATATAAATATTAGTTAAATTTATGACAACTAGTTTGCGCACAAAATTATGAATTTTGGAAACCAGCTTGTAGGTACAGTTTTGGATGTACACTGTACAGGGTACCTTAAGGTATAACAATTATTTTTAATCGTAGGTTCCCATCACCCATCAGCTGTTATTTATCAGTAATAAGTTATAATCGCGATAAGCTTTAATCTTTATTGCAATATTTCTAATCCAACGCTATTTTTGTTAAATTTTTCGCTGATAATTGATAAGTGTTATAGTTTAAGTTATAAAAAATCTCTTATACATTTTAGTTTAGTCTCTGATCGGAGCATAATAACAATGTATGCTATTTCTTTAACACTGAGAGAAAAACGTTGTTTAATATTGAATAATTTGAAATGTCGAGAGTATAGCAGTTAAAAAATAGAATTTAATGTATTTGCAAGTTTTTTTTTATTTTTCAGTGCATATTTTAAAGTATATTTTGCTTGTTCTTAGTGCATAGATACATGCATATTAAACATTTTTTTTAATTTGGATGTAGGCACGTAGATTACATACATACTATTCGTGGTTAAATTTATTTGAAAAAAGGTTTCTATTGTTCGTAAATTATACGCAAATTAGTTTTAGCCATTTTTGATAGTCTTACCTTCATAAATATAATATTTTTTACTGGTAAAACCGTCATATTCTAAGGTTAAAATCTAAGGTGATCAATTCAATGGAAATTTAAAATAGTATTTTCAGTTAGTTTTCCGTCAAGATATTCTGATTTTGATATTTGTGCTAAGTAATTATTTACAGGTGTTTGCGTGCAAAAAAGTCATAATTTTTTTTACGGCTTTTTCACTTATTTTACCAAAATGTACTCGCTGTATATTATTTATATTAGTTTAGTTATAGTTGTTTTAGTACAATAATATTCAATAAAATAAATTCCTAATGTCTATAAAAAAAATACTTACCTACATATTAGGTTTATTTAAATAACTATTCGTATTATATACCTACGTCTAAAAGTTTCTAATAGTTTTTCAGTTCATAAACTTTTCTTATTTTATCACATAGGTACGTAATAAAAAAAAAAGTTAAAAAAATATATTTACACTTTTTATGTATTATTATTATATTGAGGCTATCACAATAAATGTTTTTAAAATATTATTTTCCATGTTTGTAAACTAAATAGTTAGGTATTTATTATAACCAGATAGGTAAATATTATATTGTTGTACTATTTTTAGCACGATGATTCGAACAAAAACATTGGGAAAAAAAAGGAAAAAAATATAGAACTCTGACCAAAGAGCCTGTGCACGAACGTATACTCGCGTAAATATAATAAAATGCTGTCAACGTTTTTGGCATGTCTACCAACAACGCTATTGTCCATTGCCACGGATATACGCATGATTCAATCGTCCGAGCATAAAATATAACTGATTAATTTGGTCTTATAACCACCGTTTTGTCGTAGAAAAAAAATATAAATCAATGCTACAGAACTTATATAAAAAGGCCAAAATGATATTTAGAATCGCAAAGTAAGATTATACGCATGAGTAATTATTATATGACTAATTTTCTCAAATGGTTGTGAGATTTGGAAAACAACAATTGGGAAAATTGAGATTATCCGAGAATAAGCCATTCTCAGAAAATCGTCGATGAAATAAAGTTTAACAAAGAGCCGGACGCCCCTTGTAGTATAATGGCGTAACTAGTTACTAGCGCCAGTGACAAGGTTTGTTAAAGGATACAAAATTATATTAGGTCACGTAACGAAGAGAGAAGAAAACAAAACTTTCACGATTTAATACGGAATGGAACCCTCGAACGAGTAAACCTTGACAGAGACACCAACAAAGCGATATAATAGAAAAGAATTTAATAATTTTCGGGAGTTCAAAATTGGATATAAGTAGTCCAAGATAGAGAAAAAATGTAGTTATGAGGTAAAACTATTAGGTATGTCAGTAAAAGAAAAATATAAAATTAGGTAAGTAAATTTAATACATATAAATGTGTTACCTATACCTATACATTAAATATTATTAACGTCAATTTTTAAAACGAATAACCTTTTTTTTTTATGGTTTATGGTTACATTGAATTAAAGTTTTGTTTGATTTAAACACCATGTTTGTCATTAATGCTGAATAAAAAAATTACTACAACGAGGGCCGTATTCTTAAATCGACTAACGGTTAAAATAACGATTTATATATTAGAGATAAAGTATTATGTCCCCGTCAGTCATCGCTTTCGTGGTTTAATACCTAAACGAGACAGAATTTTGTCGTGTCTTGGCAGGAAGCCCTGCAGGCTCCGGTATACATAATAACAAGATTAATAGTGTTGTTTCGCTTGTAATTAATAATATTAAATTAATCGTTTCGACTGTTCGTATATCTTATATATAGTCAAATATCGAAGACCTTGGAGGATAGATGACCGGATTACTACACCCTTTGAAATTATTCTTCAGGAACAACGAAAAGACCCTGTGTATTATTTTATTAAAGAGCATTTTTTCCCATTAAAATAAGCCATCAATTTTTAAATTATGATATTTTACATACTTATATCTCACTTCGAACATAACTTCAATATCAAAAAAAAAAATCACTTAGTTGTACAGATAATGTTTGATCTATAACTTCTAATTTGGGTCGATCCACTTTAATATTAAAACTAACAGTTCAATATTTATGATCACTGGTGAACGAAACTTAATTTGCCATCATGCGTCTGTAATACGGTTGCATCGCCTGCGGGTATAACATCCTCTTAACAATTTGATCACATAATGAAATGTGGTCTTTTTGCATAGAAACATTTTTAAATTAAGACATAAACATACAAAATCTTAACTGAACATACATTAATTTGCACTGTCAGTGCATGAGCACATCATTTAGTTATAAAATGCACTCCTGAACAGTTTACAATTTTTGATTTATGGCCCTTTTGTACTGACAGTACGATTTGTCGATCGCTAAAAAAGACAAATGCACGAGTACAAGGTAAAATTAATTTCACATGGGTTTCTAAATCATTTTATTTTGTACTCTAGTCGAATATCCAATTTTAATTTGATCATGCATAATACAGCTATTATCGTAATACATCATAATACTATACGAGTAAAATGAGTGGTAGTCTGCAATTGAAATTACTGCACTTAACGTTGCCTTCAAAAAACCGATTGTTAAAAAAAAAAGAGCTGATCCTGGAGACAGGTGTTCCATTTTTGTGGGTAGATGGTTAGGAAGGTTACATAAAGTTATTTAATTTATATCTGAAAAACGATTTGGCGTGAAGTTCGGTTATACAAGTTTTTAATACTCACGGTTTTCAACAAAATTTGATAATAAAACTCGTATATATATAAAAAAAAAAAAAATACTTCATTACACTCAACTTTTTTTTTTTCACTAAGCAAACTTATAATAATGAATAACCTGTTACATTTTCAAGCATTAATGTTCGATGAAACAATTATATCCACATAGTACCTACTAATACCAAATAAATACTTCGTAAAACCATAAAAACGTAAGTTGCATACAAATAGTTAAAAAATCGCCTAATGTTTTGAAAATTTTACCTCATCTAGAAAAAGTAAACATAAGTTTTCTGTCAAAATTTCAATTTTCTACGAATATTTTTAGTTAAATTACAACAAATAAACAAAATTAAAATTAATAAGAGTATTATATTCGGAATTATTGAAAAAAAAACCTGGAAAAACAAAAAACGACTTTCTTATTCACTGATTAGATTAAAAATGAAAAAATAAAGGTCCCTTGCCATTTTTGTATTAGCTTAACAATTTTTTATAGACAACTTTGTTTTTAAAAATTAAATCAATGAAATAAGTAACACCGTAAATATTTTCCATTTTATTAATAAAATGGTGTACCTACGCTTTTTTCCTATTTATTATGAAAATCCCTTGGAAAATCAAAAAATGACTCCCTACGTTTCGAATCTAAAATACAAAACACCGGCCGTTAACATATTTATAATATATATTTTTTTATTATCCCCGACAACTTACGATAACTTATAACTATAGCGATAATTTTTACGAGACGTTTTTATGTAACCGTACGATGGTCGACACCGTGATGTATAGCTATATTAACAGAAATATATTAACTTAAACCACTCTCTTTCATTTCCTTTCCTGGTACACACTATAATCGCCATATTGTTTATTCGAATATTCCAGTGTTTAAATGATTCATAAATATAATTTTTAAAGAAATCGTTCCGTTTTAAAAGGACACCATACAAGGTGACATATCTCTGTCTTACGAACGTACGATATGGCAAATTAGAGACGTAAATGTGTGCGGTTAGTTTCAATGTGACAGTGAATTGACCAATTTCCGGATTTAAAGAAAAAATCATGTTCTATACAACATCGACTATATTTGTTCAATAATTTTATTTTCGAGCTCTTCTTAGGCCCTATTAAACTGTGATGTTACACATGTTCGTTATAAATTTAAATATCGAATACATAGTACGAACGTTGAACACAAAATGCACACTACTCTATCCCTACCTAAACTTTAAAGTGAAAACTTAGACTAGCCTAACTTAAACTTACCAACGGGTAAACGAAAATCAAACATTTCGACACCAAAATTCATTTAAATTTTTTCTATACATCCTTTTGTGAAACTGTTAATTTAAATTGCAATTTAAAAATGAAAAGTACATAGTGATTTCACTCTCAAAAAGACGTCCTAGGATAATGAAGACGGGTGCAGTCACTGTTATAGGTAATTTAATGTATACATGTGAGCAACGATAAGACATTGCTAACGAAAAAGCGATTCTTAACAGAGTTCAGTTGATTGTAATGCTTTATCAACAATATATATACCATATTGTAGTAAAATAATAAAATGGACTTTATATATTTTCTTTGATAATATTTTTTTCATGGTGTACCGATTTTCCCGGTTTTCCTATGTTTTTTCCCAGTTTTTCACATTTGCTGAGAAAATTTCGGAGAGAATCAAAAAACAAACTTTTTAAAGTACCTCCCCAGAGAAATTTCCTTTTAAAAAAATTGCTATTTTTAAAAGTTGGAGCAAAACTGCCAGTAGAAAATTTGTCTACAGAAAAAAAAATTGTAATATTATACAAATATATTTCGTAAATTTTCCCGTTTTTTTTTTCGGTTTTTCGCATTTAATAAAAAACTCTTGAGAAAATCGAAAAATTACCTCTTTAAGGTCTCCATATCGAATTCCTTTCAGAAAAAATGATACACGTAAAAATCGGAGCAAGTCTTCTTATAGAAAAGTTGTCCACAGAAAAAAAAAATAAACATTTTTTAAAACCATAAGCTTCTTCGCTCCACTCAAAATCTAAAATAAGGATGACAGAAAATTATAGTAATATATAAAACTGTTTGTTTCTTGTATTATGAAAATAATAATGTTTTTTAAAAAGTCAACATTCTACAAAATTTTGAACAAAAAATGTTTACGTTAACTAAATCGCCTAATTATTGTGGGCTATAAAGTTTTTTCTCCATTAAAGGTTCAACTTTAAAATTAGTCAATTATATGTCAACATAATCGATGGTTATTTTAAGTTTTTAAAATGATTTTTAGTATTTATTTAACGTGAAAACAGCTTGAGCTTTACCGGGTTATTAACACTAAATAGTTATTATTATATAACGTTACAACTTTAAAAACTCGGTACAAAAGTTGAAAATAATTTTTATCAATTTATACGATTTTGTAGTTTTAAATTAAAATAATGATAATAAAAAACAAAAAAAACCGATATTTTCGGATAAAGTATAAGCAAAATCCGTTTTTTTTTTTACTAAGTTATACATAACTTATCGATATTCGAAAAAATGCAAATAGTACCTAGTTCATCGCTATATATATTATAATAACGGTATTTTATTAAAAAAAAACAAAAAAAACAAACAGGAATTTTATTAAAAATATGTAAATATAACAATCAAATTTCCAAAAATTATGACAGTAAATTATTTCAATTGTTGGAAATGAAATACACTTAAATAGAATGCGCGGGTGTGTATGTATCTTTCTGCGCTAAGTAGTAATAAAATCGACCGGTGTTTACGAACGTCGACTGTGGTTTTATGTGTGTCATCTTTTAACATCGCCGTGTACAATATACCAAGGCAACCTTTGCATCCGAAAGCGAAGTATATAATAATATTATTATAAAATATACGGGGAGGGGGAGGGGAGTGGTAGAGTGACCGCCGATTCGGCCTTGTTCGCGGCCGTATGGCCACCGACTTAGCTCAAGAAAAAAAAAACCCGTGAATTCAGCTGAGAATAATAAGTAAGTAGGTCGCTGTATATGTTTTTAATAATTTTTGGCGACTAACCAGATTTTTGGATACTTAAAAATATATAAACTATACATATTGCACTTACGCATATTTCGATAATACTAAAATCCGGGTATAACCGCCGAGTAAATTATTATTTACGTACACGAATGACGGAATGGGTACGTAGATATTTTACCGAAATTAAAAAAAAATTCGCGAAAAGAATCCTGCAATAAATTCGAATTCAAGTTCGAATAGCAAACGTAACTATTAAATAGGCGATGTGCAAATCATACACGATTTGTGACAATTACGTTTGAATATTCACAAAATGTTACCCGACTATCTCAACATTTAGATTAATATTTTAATAATGTTATATTGTTGTTATACGTTTTGCATTAGGAATATCAAATTATGTTCATCGGCACTTTATAAACACTTTATTATTGTGCAAGGTGATTTCTATGCATACCAATCCATTTTTATGGTTAAATTATGTATAGATTTAAATTCAGATTTTTGGGGATTTTACGATTTTTCATAAAATTTAAGAAACTATTGGCGATACCAACTTTGGTTTTTAAAATGGGAAAACATATAATGTTTTAATGCGAATTTTAAATTCTGAAAATTCTGAACTTTTTTAAAAATGTTGACGTATAATTTACATTGGTTTTATTATATAAAGATTAACGAAAAGTTTCAGATTTAGTTTAGTTTGCATGCTTATAAAAAATCATCCTGTCTATCTAGAATAATATTATCATATAACATCAAAGCGATATTAAATTTTTACACAATAATGATGTTTGAGTTATGCTGACAAAATATAAGTAATATATCGCAACTAATTATATCTCTTCGCCAGCGACGGATATGGGAACTATTCGATGAGAGAAAGGAAGTAATACAAATATTTATATATACATATCTAATACCAGATATAGTTTAATTTCATAGGAGGGAAGTGCGTATGGTAAAAATTGTTGTAATTGTGTGTTGACGGCAAGGACGAAAAGACCGGTTCTGGAACCCATAAACCCTTAAAATATTTGGAACTGGAACCTAACTGGAACCGAATTTAAATATTTTCAACCGGAACTGGAACTCATATTTTTGAAATTAAAATAACGGGTTTTACAATGATAAATTATTTTATTTTTTCCTCCGTAGTTTGTGATCAATTTATCGGCTATAATGCTTATATCACAGATTAAAATACGACTGCTTCAATAAATATTTTTCATTTTTATTTATAGCAGTCTATTTCTTGTGGAATCATAAGTTTCATCAAGTAATCAGTAATTTGATTACTACTATTTTAATAATTAATGTACCCTATATAAAACATTTAATCTAAAGATACTAAAAAGTAAATAAAAACATATACATTTTTAAAATCGTCTAATACTGGTTTTAGCTAGAACCCTAACTTTAACTCTTAAATTAATTTTCCAAAACCGGAACCAGAACCAGAACCTTTTCATAAAATAATTAAGTAACGAAACCGTGAAAATCAGAAGGTACCAGTCCCTGGTTGGCGGTCACGTTATGTTTTATAGTAGTATTTCATATAATACATATACATTTTATTTTTTAGATTTTGAACGTAACTATAAACCAACGTATTGGATTAATTATGATGTGTGTTTGTGACCAACTTTCTTGTGAGACCTGTAACTTTCATAGATTACTTATTTGTTTTTATACATAATAAAAATATTCAAAACATTCTGGGATTTTTTTTTAGTTATTTATAGATATTGAAATATTTGACGTGTTCGAGTTTTTTTGTACTTATTTGGTTTCACGCGGATACAATTGTTTGGTCAAGCAGACATGCACGAAAATTCAACATAAGGTTCTTTATAAACTAAGTTAAGCATATTGAAATAGTTTTCATTGTATGAGTGTTTTAAGTTTGAATTTTGATGAAAGTTGTAAGTATTATGGCATTTGAAATCTGAAACTTGTTTTATCGAACTTCGCTCAGAATCTTATTTCGTCAGAAGTGATTTATTATTTTTAATTATCGTTGCGTATAGTTACAAATTAAATAATTTTATGTGTCCTACTTTCCAATCTACCACCTACAACAATATCATCAGTAGTATCAAAATAGCTACTTTGATTGTATGATTGTAATTTGCTAAAAGCAGCGGGGTAAATACCCTATACCTCCAACCCTCCTTTAATCACCCCTACGTTACATTTTGATTACCGTTTTAACTTTATCAGTATTGTTTTAAAGAATATATAAAAAATTACTTACCTATTGAAGAAATACATGAAACCAATACTTACATAATTGGTATGTTTCATAGGTAGGGAACTGCATAATACAGGTATTACTTTTTAAATAACAATATTCATTTATTTAGTAGTATTGTGTTTTACAATTTTACATAGTTACAAATATTTACAAATTTTACTGCATCGTCTATCACTAAGGATGAAATTCTTGTTTTGATAGGCGACAGTTTCTATATAAACGAAAAAAACAAAAAAATTAAATAGTGATGATAATAATAATAATAATAGTAATAATTAGAAAATAAAGCTAATTTATATATTAACGACGGTAATGATTTCACAGAATTAGATTATTGACCAATAATCATCTCTTTACAAGCAATTTATTGTAATTTTTTATATAAGTTGGTAGTTTTTCATAAATTCTTAAACTCATTATCAAATATCTATCATAATATTATATTTCGGTGTTTAACAGAGACAGAGTCAAGGTTTTTGAAGAATAATTTTGAGTGAGATATTCTGCGCTATCTGTATGTATTTAACGTAGGATTGTGCTAATCCACCTCATGCTAATATACCATATCCAGTAACTAATTGTGACAGAGTAAAGTAAGTATACTTTCTTAGTCAGATTTATTTAATTTGATATACATCATTTTATAAAGTAAATTTCCGAATTTTCTGGAGTGAAAATCCGAACAATTTTCCACGTAAATTAACAAAACAGTTTACTCGCGAGAAATTGACAATAATATAAATCCATCATATATATACTTACTTAACTTAAAGGTTACACTACTTAGGGTTTTGGATTATTGTTACGTATTTTTCAGTTTCTGAGTTTAGCGAATAATGTATTGATTTTACTAAGACGGTTTTTTTTTTTTTTTTTATGTGAACTCTTTTCTACCAGAAGGCTAACTCCGATTATCAAGTATAGCACTTTTTCCGAAATAAAATGTTCTCTAGGTGGTACTTTAAAGAGGTCATTTTTTTAAATTATCATTCATATTCGAGATAATGAGGAAAACTTGGTTCTTTATGTTAAAAAAAATTTAAAGATCATTAAGTTTTTATTATTTTAATATTTTTAAAACAATCATTGTTGTCATGGTAACGCACATTATTTTAATCATTTTACTATAATATGACATTATATATTGTATTGTTGACATAGCAACGCTATCAACTGAACTCCGCTCAGAATCGTTTTTTCGTTAGCAATGGTTTATCGCTACTTACAAATGTACATTCAATTTTTGTATGTATCCTACCTTCCCAACTTTTCATTTATAACAGTGGTTACACCCACGTGCAAATTATGTCCGTCCTTTTATTTTTTCCCAAGTGTTACAAAAATAACAGCAAATCATTTGTATCAGATTCAAAACGGTTGAATTTTCCTGTTATCAATTGTTATTACAAATATTTTTTTTTTTTTAGTAAAACTATCGAGAATATCGATCAAAATATCATGTTCAATTATTTGTACCTTTATAGAAGCGTTCGAGAATCAACTTTTCGAACGTTTCTACTATTGCCAAAGGTATAAATTCCTAAAAGAAAAAAAAACTATACATGGCGTTGTTAAGTTGTTACGACTTCTTTTCTCCGCTCGGAATTTAATAAATGGCCTATTTGCAATACTCCGTGGGTCGTCCGAAGCAATGGCCTACGCGATAAATGTAAATTATGTACTTACAACTTTGTTGTACGTGTTTACAACAAATTTATCATATTTGCACGTGAATTCGAGACCAGGACATTTCTTTTTAGTTAATAACTTTTTAATATTTTTAATTTCGAAAAATCGTAATAAGACAAATAAGTTAAATACATTTACATCTTCCGAGGAGCAACTTATTAACGATCATAAAAAATCCTATCAATGAAGTTGGTGTATCTCACACAATAGAAACATTTCTAACTTCCTGTAAGTGTAAATTGTCATAATCTCTAACTTGAACTTGACTCAACGAATTTTTGTTTACACTGGTAATTTTGACTCCATCATCCACAGGACACGTATTCGTAGAGTATGTGATATTTTTATTAACATAACTACTATTGATATTTACTATGAGTATTTAGATTGCATTTATAATCTAAGCTAATTATCTGCGGTTGTTCGTTTTCTTCCAAGAGACGCATAAAAAACTAGATGTGGTTAATCAGTGGGACAAATTATTTATATCTTTTAACTAAAGAAAAAGATACAATGTACACGATTAATATCGAGGGAATTGTAGATAAATATTCTTATCGAGAACGATAGTGTATCCCAGTGGCGGATTTATGAAGGGGGAGGGAGTCCAGGGGGGTCTGGATATAATCATAGACACTGATATAATTTCAATAAAATCTCGTTGAAAAAAGAGGCATTTAAATACGTATTATTTTTTCAGGATCCCTCCCAGAAAAATGTTGAAAATCTGCTACTGGTGTTTCCCTAGGTTTTTTTTATAATAAAAAATCTCCAATAATATTATAACGATCGTGTTCATAAGAGTTACGTGGAAGATGGGTCACTGTTACCGTACAAATTGAGCCCACCAGTTCTAGTTGCGTCTACGAATCGACCTACTAACAGCCAGACTACGGGTAAATGTAGCGTCCAAATGAAATTTATCATTAAACTGTATAATATTGACAGACAATAAAAAATGAAAGATGAAAATATAAGATGATATAGCATTGTTATCGACAAGTCCAATGCGATTAGCCAATACAAAGATATATTTTCTTAATTCGTGAACTGGAGCAATTTGTGTTACATATATAATAAAAGTCTTATTCGAATAGTTTTAGAATATAATTATTAACCATTAAAAATACGTATATACGTATATATTAATACGTATTTACGTATATATATATAAATTCATTTCAAACTCGGTTCCGCGGGGAAACGTTTCTCGGGCCGTTTTAAACAAAAAGTTTTTACGGTCAGATATTAAAGCTTAATATTTTAAGCTGTATTATACTTATTTCAATTCGTTCGTTTTTGTTTTTTTTTTTTTTTTTTTTTTTTGTCCTACTAAAATATATAAGTTCGTAAAATTATAATATTACCGTTTGTGTTATGTAGTGTCTTATTACTTTATTCCGTAAAGTCACCATATGGCATTCTTATGAGTACATTCCACGGGCATATTTTTTTTTTTTTTCAAATAAAATTATAAAATATTTTTTTAATTTTAACAGTAATTTATCAAAATATTTTATGCATATTATTATATGGGGTATGATACCGTAAAAAAACTGCTCCAGTAATCGTCCGGTTTACGACGAAAAGCATTTTCAAAAAAAAATTCGATGGTATAGCGTAACGCATACGAGTATAATGTTATTGTAACCGATTCTGCATAAGTGGGGAAACATATTTATTAAAAATAAGTTTTCCAAAAAAATATTAATAAAAAGATGTCTTAGGATAATGGGGATGGATGCAACTACTAATGTAGGTGGGAAGTTGGGAAAGTAAGATACAGAAGTGAATTTTATGTATATCTGTAAAAAACGAAAAACCATTGCTAACATAAAAATGATTCTGAGCGGATTTCAGTTAATAGTATATTCTCAACAATATAATATATATATATATTATACATAAGTCATAGTATGATAAAATAATCAAATAGGCGTTATACATTTTCTTTAATAATATTTGTATAGTATTGTACAGATTTCCCTACGTTTTACCCGATTTGCTTCGTTTTTTTCCCGGTATTTTCTATTTGTTAAAAAAAACTCCTGGGAAAATCAAAACATGGCGTCCGTAAACTACTTTCTAAGCAGATTTCCTCTCGGAAAAATTGCTATCATTATAAGGTTGAACAAAATTGCTACCAATACTATGAAACGATATATTTATTAACTTCAACTTTATTAAGATTCAGATTTAATGTTACGAAAAATGAAAATAATCATTGAAGTTTACATTAGGTATGATGGCAATGCGTTTTCAAGACCATCGGCCGTATGATAATGAAATCGAAATTTATTGAAAAAAAAAAAATAATAAATAGTTTTTGCACAAAAAGGTTTTTCCACTAATAATGTGACGTTATCGATACGATTATAATATTATTATATTATACGCAGCAATGCAAACAAGTTATATTTATCTATTTTTGTGACTAATATTTATAGATACGACGTGCTTACAACGAGTACCGAATTAATTATAACTTATATTTTTTTCGTGTGTAAAGTACTTATATTATACTAATATTATATTAAGTTTAAATGAGAATCAATCGAGACAACAAAAGGTAGGCCTTTAACAATTTTTAATGATTATCAATTCAAAAAATGTAAACAGAACGGGAATGGAACAAAATGGGTTCGCTGGATAAAAATAAAGATAAAACATGTCCTAAACCAGTAAAAGTATCAAGGAAAATTCTATTTTGTTATATTATATTAGATATTATTTAAAATGATCATTATTAACGTGGGTGTTAAAATCGTAAAATTAAATAATAAATAAAAGAAAAAACCCAATAAAAATAAATGTGCCGTCACCAATTCGCCCTCCCAAATGAGCTTCAGATCCGTCACAGACTGCATCACAGATGTTAAAACTGCTTCTTATCAGTAAAACTATTACTTATTGTTTAGTAAATTGTACCTCATCAAATTGATCATCTCGTGTATTACGTTGATTCCATTAAGTACCAAAGACTATATTAAATATTTTTCGTATTGTTAATCAAACAATTTTATTCTTATATCTAAAATCTAACAAAGAACATAAAAAAAAAAAAAATCGAAAATTTGAAATGCCTAGAAATAACTCAAAAATATCCAGAATGTTTCGAAAATTGTACCACGTTTAGAAATATCCAATATAAGAATTTGATTTAAGTTGGTATAAAAAAAAATTATTCAAGTTGACGAACAAATTCTAAATATATAGTTAAAATTAATTTGAACTATTTAACTCGTCGACATTCTGCTTCTATATAAAATGGTAGGTATTATAAAATATTGGTTGAAAAAAGGAAGAAATATTGTTTAATAAAGCCCCGATTCGAAAAATAAATACTCGTCTAAATAATAATCTACCGACATTATTTCACGGCGGAACACGTGGAACGAGCAGCACGGTTGAATGTATATAGAAATTCAGAAAAAAAAAACTCTCAAATAATTTTACATTTCGATACAAAAAAAAATCCCTCTTTTACTTTTTATTTCTTTTTTTTTTTTTATTCTTTAGTAATTTTAGTAACGAATTCCATCATTCAGGTTTAACGGCAAACATTTCCGTCGTATACTATGACGTATTACGTATATTCTCAGCAAAGTCCGAAAACTACACTGACAAAAAAATAATCATAAGTAAAAATACGAACATACTTCACACGAATGGGTGAGCAATGTTGTAGGTGAGAAATTGAGAAGGTAGACGGGTAATTTAATGTATATCTATGCACAAAAATTAACCATTGCTGACGTAAAACGATGCTTAGCGGAATTCGGTTAATAGTGTTTCTTTGTCAACAATATTTATGTTAAACTATTGTGAAATAATTACATATGCATAATATATTTTTTTAATAATTACGGCTTATAATGAACCTCCTGTTAAATTTTCGTGCGCTTCTGATTGTTCTAACAATTTTATTCCCAGATTACCTACCGACCAAAATGTACGTAAACCAAATCAGTAAAATTTAAATGTCTATAAATAACTCAACAATTACTACAATATTTGAAAACTCTATCTCGTCTAGAAAAAGTAAATATAAGTTTTCTGTTCAAACTAAAATCTCTACAAATATTTTAAACAAACATTTTCCTGTTTTACTCTGATTCTTCCAAAAAATCAAAAAGTGAACTTCTTCAAGTACCTCCCCAGTCAGCTTTTCTTTTAGGAAAAGTGCTAACATTGTAAATCTGAGCAAAATTGCTGGTAAAAAAGTTGTTCACAGATAAAAAAAAAAAATAATTATAAACATCATTGTAAAACCAATAAATTCCTTGCTCCGCTAAGAATTTAATAGAATTACGACCGAAAAACTCTATTTTCCGTAATTATCTACTCGAACCATGCGTAGTATTGAATAATAATCATAATAGAAATCACCGGAAATGGGAAAACCGATGAACGGCCGTCCTCATCTACTGAGACAATAAGTCATTAAAATATTTATTAATTACGGTGAATTAAAAATATGTATTTATACCAAAACATGTAATAGAAAATTGGCGTCATTTAAATAAGAACTATTTCAATCGCGAACATATTTTATTAAACTTTAGGTACCTAATTCTAACCAAAACAGTAAATACATTCACTATAATAAATTAACCCTTAGACTGATAGAAAAATAATACATTAATTAATGTAGATATTGTGATTGATAAAAATATGTAATTTCTTTATTACCTAGTACACAAAAATACATTCGCACAAGGAAAAAAAACCTTTAACAGACGAATTCAATCCATTAATTTGATGAAAAAGTAATGTTTCTAAAAACAAATACGAAAACACGTAATTGAAAAAAGATTTCAATAGAAAATTTCGAAAACACTATCACATAAGGTTAAGAGATGAGAAAGGGCTTTGAACCTTTACAACAAATCCCTCCTAAAACATATCGAACGCAAATCTGCAGATGATACTCAACGTGAAAATATAATAATATTTTGTCGCCGTCCCACTGCAGTGACGAAAATAGATAAAGTAAACAAACATAGTAAATAAATATATAAGTAAAAAATGTATACCTACAAATAAAATTAATTAATTAATAAATGTGTCACCTGGAGTATTATGATAAGTATTATTATACGTTCGGTTTCGAATTGAAAATTCGTCATCAGGTATATCATAATCGAAATGTAAAACGTGACTGATTATAAAAAATTAAACGTAGGAATACAAAGAAAAAAAAAATTGTACAAATTAGTCGTTTTACATAAAATATAGAAATAATTTATTTTAATAGGAGGGATAGATGAAAATAGATGTTTTAATATATGATTAGGTGCTATCGATTATTGGTGTGTAGAAAAAAATCTTATTCGAAAAAAAAACGGTAAAAAAAATTAAATATATAATATTAATAAGTCAAAAACCATCATGTTTACAAAGAAGTCGAGGAAAGCGATTGCTTCTACTGCAAAATTGTAAGACAAATTATTTTTTTATAATTCCAACATGGTAATAAAGATATAAATTTGATTTTTAGATTCTGAGTGAAAAATGTATTAGTTTTACAAAGATGATTATTTTATTTTTATTTTTTTATACTGTGTACTAAAATTCTAACAGAAATTTTGCTCTGATATTTACGCGCGGTACCATTTTTGAAAAGAAATAAGTATTTAGATGGTATTTTTATGAGGTCATAGTTTAATTTCCCAAGCGGTATTCGAAATATCTGGAAAAAACCAACATAAAACGAAAAAAAATCAGGAAATTTACGAAAATAATGCTTTTATTACATTTCAATTTTGTTATTTGTTGTAATTCAGTTAAAAATATCTGTCATGGCTTAAAATTTGTACGAAAAAACTTAAATTTAATTTTCTAGACGTGGTAAAATTATTAAAACATTTGAGTTATTTTTAAGCTTTTTAAAAAATTTTTAATATTTTTGTTGGAATTCAGTTTTAAATATACTTATCGAGTCTGTGAACTTGAAATTCAGACAGACAATTTACATTTGCCTTTTCTAGACGTGGTAAAATTTTCAAAATTTTGGGGGATTTGTTTTTGATTTTTTAAATGATTTTCATAATATCTGTGAAAAATCGGGAAAAACGGAAAAAAAATGTTTGAATTAAGTTTTCCTATTTTATTATTATTTGAAGTCCATAATATGCAGTTATTGAAATGTATTCGATTCATTATTATTGACATTTAAAATGGTTGTGGTATTTTTTTGTTGAACAGAGAAACGAAAAATGATGCATGTAACGACTAATTCCGTCTAAAATTTCGTGTAACGATTGATTTCAAAGAACTCTCTCTCATTTCACTTGTACCTACGTACGCGTACGTTTATGAAGTTTCTATACATATAGTTTCAACACCAAAAAAATCATCATTTAGGCTCAAATCAGTGCTACGCTAAATCATGCATGCTATTATTATACATGATAATATTATATATAGAAGACAACAAAGTCGATTCGAATAAAACTCTCGTCGTCGCCGCTAAAACCTCTTGGACTCTGAAATTAAACATTGACTTTATTGTAGTTTCAAAAGTTTAACCGTATCACTATATTATTTTGTTTACACTGGAAAATTCAGATAAATATTATCACGCGATACACCCACACATTGGGCTCAAGATATATATTAAACACAGCGACGTTTCTATAAATTATTAAACCAAGAACAATACATCGGCACTTACTTATAGCTATTGTTTGTTAGTTTGAAAAAACATTCATCTGCGAAATAGTATGACACTAGGCGCACCAGAAGTCTTCGCTAAGCCTTTAGAAATTGCCTAGAAAAATACATTGTAATTCTTAGTAACTCCACGATGAGTACTTACACAACGACGTTAATACCTCCCCATTCGTCCACTACAATCTTATTTTAATCATGCACATTGAAAATGCGAAATCATCAGAATATCGTGCATCACGAAATTTTTTTTATTGTAATGAAAAAATCGAAAAACTAAAAGAAAAATATGATTAGGTTAAGATTGTCCGCGTGTACATTAATATCGATAGTATATTTCACGACGATTGCGTTCATCGGTTTATTCGGCGGTATACTAGATTAAAGGCTTTATAATGGACAAATTTACATATAGACGTTGATCACCTTTATGTAAAAAAAAAAATGAAACTGCGTAATACCTATCATATTATTGGTTCGACTGTGAGTGACAGTTTGTAGTTCTGTCTGCAGAATCGTGTTATCCATTCGGAAATATAATATCTCTTCGAATACATATATAGTATATATTTTGATAATATTTATTATTTACCTTGTTATTTCAAATAAAATAACACTGAGCTAACTGTACAGAGTGTTCCACAAAGATATGCATTGCGATATCTCCTGAGATAATAAATATTATTTTATTGTTTCTTTTTTGATTTTTTCTTTTAACTCAGAGATGTGGAATACAATTAATATTCATGTTGCAATTGAATTCATATAATTCGATAAAACATTTTTAATAAAAATTAAACTGTTTATTTTATTATTTCCGAAAAATGTGAAGATAACCATTTATAATAGAGTTAGTTCTTCTGAAAATTTTGAAATTTCAACTTGTTATTCTCATTTATCTCATGATTTTTACTAAAAATTGTTTTGTTTAAAGAAAAAATAGTGTATTAAATATAATATGCAGTGTTTTGATATTATTTTAAAACCTAATGCAAAAAGAGATTAAATAATATTTTAAAAACACTACGATATTATTAAATGATAAATTATTTTTCTCTGATCTAGTAAAATTAAAAATTAAAATCATAAGGTTAATGAAAATAAAAGGTTAAAACATAATTTCAAAAGAATAGACTCTGTAAATAGCTACACATTTTCGAAAGACAAAAAAAAATAATCTTCAGAATAAAGTTACTTGGTAATTTTTTACCGAAACATAAACATGTAATTGATATGTGAATATTTGTAAATATTATACCTGTGAGTCATAACATTATATATAAATATATATAAACAAGAGAATTTGATCTCCTTCAACATCCCAAAAGACATAGCAATGCATATATCTTCGTGGAACACCCTATATAATTATATTATATTTATGCTGTACAACATGTCACAGTTGTGTCTGATGTAATAAATTCCCATTTATTACATTTTCCGCTATTATATAATATATGTATTATGATAGTTTAGAACATTGGAAAATAAAATAGATTACCACAATATACTATTACGAGTATATACTCAACTGCAGCTATACGAACGAAGCCGGGTCGTATACACTGGGGAAGGGGATATGAGGATTTAATCCCCCCCTCTACATCGATTTTTTTTTTTGTCAACTATTTTACAAATTTAATTTAATTTAGACACAATCATTTTGAATATAACGGTCTTCGTGGTTTGGTAATGAATAATGAATGATATATTGTTTGTACCATTATTGTGATTTTGGTTTTTATTGAAAAAAAATCCAATCAAAAATTACAAGAATTACCAAAAATATCTAGAAGATGGCATATAATGATGATAATATTTCTTCAAAGAGGTTATCGGTTCTCCACTTCCTCTTTTATATCATATTTTTAATCCCCTCTCCTTTTAAAAATCATGCAAACGCCACTAAAATGAAGAATCTGTTATAATAATACGATAGGTAATTTTGCATAGTGCACAGTATCAACGAAAATATTATAGGTGAAAAAAATAAAAACGTGATTTCTTAATGATAACCGTTATTGATAACCAAACGCAATCATTTATCATGGTGCACTAGGCGATTTATTATTATTTGTAATATAGAGTACATAAGTTTAAAACACATTATATTATATTAGATAAATACGGTTAGGTACAAACAAGTACGAAAGAGACAGCAGCATTTCCAATCACTTCAAATGCTTATAAAGAACCTCATCATCTAAACCTATCCCGAATAAACCCTCTTGTTATCAATGGGTGGGCACTACTAAGCTACCTACACACACACACACAACATGCCCATTAGTGAATTACAGACTACAGTCAGTGGCTGTAGAAAAAATCGTAGATAGTAATACACTCGAAGTCTATTTTGATTAAAATAAATATTGATTATGAACAAACGAACACAAATTAACAACACTTCGTTCCGAAAAAAGTAAAAATAAAAATATATTTAAAAATAAAAAAATTGACTTACTTATATGGATTGTGTTTTTCTAATTTTATGTTACGATTGCTAAGTATAGGAATAAAAAACTCCATAAAATACTTACACTCAAAAATAACTGTAAAAAATCCTTTATTTTTGCAATGCAGGTAAAACGTTTTTACTGTATTACAACAAAAAAAAAAAAACTCAAAATTAATAAAACCGTTATTAACGTACTTTTTCCGGTATTCTCTACGTTTTTTCTCAACTAGTTAGAAAATTACAAGGAAAATAAATATTATAATATTTTTTTAAATAATTAAATAGATAATATTGTAATTGTATTTAAATTTCAGTGGCCTGTTAAAAGTACTAGTAAGTAACTAGTGGTAACTAGTAAGTGATTTCTGTAAATATTCTAGCTTCCTAATATCTATTTTATTAACTTATTAAATCTACTAATTATGTGTAGTTTAAATGTTGGTAACATTTATCAGAAATGATTTACAATTTATGATTAGTGAATATTGTGATTAAATATAATTATAGTTAAAAGAAAAGACAGTTAATTAGTTATTTAACTAATAACATTTTATATTTTGTTATAAAAAATGTAAATGTTTCTCATAACTGATAAAAAAAAAAGAAACGCAATTTAAGATTCCAATACAAACCGCTAATTAAATTAAGTACATTCTAAGCTAAATAATGTTTTTATTGTAAATGTACAGTATTATACACCTAACCCTCCACCCCAGGAACAAATTTCTAATTAGATCACTGTATTGTGTTCCTTTTAGAAAATACATCGAATTTAAATAATTGTATATAACAGTAGGTTTTCTCCGATAAAAACCTATTCAATAACTTAATTTTCTATTAATTTGCTAATAATTCCGTTAAGTTTTTAAACTAGCACGAGAATCAACCACTTTACACTTTACAATCTCTCTTAAAACTTGTTTCCTACTTCACGAAAATAATATTGAAGGTTTTTGTTCTTCTTTGACCGTCAATTTATTACATGTAGTAATTATTAGAATAAAACAGCAGACTTCACTAGCTGTCTTGTGTCGACAAGACGCGCGAAAGTATACCAAACGGCCGTTTTTCCTATCGTTTTTTGACTAGGTTAGATTAAAGTTGTATACGAAAAATTCATTACAAGCCCCTGTGATTATAAATTAATAGTGGACCATGGTAATCAGTGGCAACGAACATATTTTATACCATCCGTCCCACAAAGATTTTCCGTGTCAATATTGAACAAACAATTAAAATAAAAACGTGTTTCTCTGTAATTTTCCGTCCCTTTCATTGTACACATTGTTATACATGTATATATTGTACTCTATAATGTATGTATGCAGTAAATATTTTTCTATAAAAACGTGGACCTATCAATCTCATCTAATAGGAATTGATTTATGAGAGAGAAGGAGCCTATATCATGTTATTTCTGGTCTAGAACTACATCTATGCAAAGTTTCAACTAAATTCGTACAGTAATTTTTACGGGAAGGAGTAACAAATATCACATTTATAATAATTATGAGATGGGATAAAATATCCGTTTAAAACTTGTCCCAAAGCTGATAATTTACCCCTGCCTTTAAATAAACTATCAAGAAGGTTTGATAAAATGTTGTACATGGTTGTATACAAAACAAAACTTATTCAACCGAACGAAATTAAACATTTAAAAATAAACTCTCATAATACTATTAAACTGATTATTTAATAATAGCATGGCCACGCAAGGAGATAACATTACTTACATTGGTTCCCAAATAGGTTTAATAAGTAGTAGTAATATTTCTAGGAGAGGTGACGAAATGTTACCGATCATCACCGTCTATCCGGGGTTGTTATATAATTTAAATGGAACGAATTTAATTATGTTGTAATCACTTAAAATTTTTAAGGAGATACAGTCCCCGGTTACTATCAACAAATTTGTGGATACTGGCGTAGGTATATGCTTGCCCATTCAAATGTAAATTCATATATTCGCGGGATATTCAATTTAAATCACTCCGCGTTTTAAAACCGTACAGTTATATACATTTTACTTATCGGTAATTTTACATTACCTACCAATTCACGTATATGCCTAATATAATATTCAATGTTAGCAGTTAACACTGCATCACTTTGCATAACCAAATTCGTACGAGCGTACCTATATAACCTATAAATAAATTTTTTTTCTTCCATACACTTTTGGAAAGTTTGTATTTTCTGAAAAGCCCGACACGTGCAGATACGAACTGCCGATGGGAATGGTATAGATCGATCAAAACCAGAACAAAACCTGATCTGTATAAGGTAAGTATATAGGAAGTACAAAACATAATATTAATATGTAACACTTTAAACAAACTATGTTCGCTATCGAGGCCGAATAATATTTATCGTTCGCAGTTGCATACCTAGGCATTATTTTATTCGGAATGTGTGTTGAAAATCTACTGTTTTCCCCGTATGTGCAATTATAATTTATTCGTACTACAATTTCGTATCTAATTATTATGTTTATGAAAAATATTAAACAGTTTTTTGTTTGGTTTGTTTTTAAATAAGCAGTAAAAACTTTAAAGCGATCTACACTTTTTTCTTTTTCTGCAAACATTTTTTTAAGGATATATACTTATGTAGTAAAAATTACCCCGTATATTTTATATACAGCTTTTCGGCATATTAGCATATTTTATATCCAGCGTATATACATACGACGGTGGGTACAACTCTGAATACGAAATTTGACAATTATTTGTCCGCGGGTACTTTTCAAGAAGAAAAAACAGATATTCCACATACATGCATGTACCTTCGAATGCGATAATAATAAAAATTATTATTGAAAAGAAATATTAATACAATAGCACGCCATCTAATTATTTTGCGAATAGCAAATAGCGAACAGAGCCAATAAAATTTCCCGAACGTAAATATGTCCAGTTTTCTATACCTTCTTTTTTTATCGCATTATATTAGTTTTCGTATAAGAAATAAATTCAATAAAAATGTTTAGGAAAAACTTATTGAGAGGGTCGTTCATAACGGGCGGACCATTTACATAATCCATAATATTATAGAGATGTTGAATTTTTAAAATCGAAAGATTTGAATACGAATTTTTATTCTTTTAGATTTGTGATTCCTGTTGTAACTATTATCACGTTATACTTGACATACTAGCCTATACTAGACATACTTGATACCTAGACATAAACAACTACTTAACAATATTTACGTCATTTTTGATTTTTTGAAAATTTATTCAAAGTAATATAGTGATATAGCGATATTTTGAATACAGATACTTATTTGAAAAATCGTGAACCTCGTGGAAAATCGAAATATTCGAAAATATCGGCATTAACTACGATTAAAAATTTCAAAAATCAAAATTTGAATATCTTTTAAATCTAACCAAAAAAAAAAAGAAAAAAAAGGGGGGGGATAAACACGCTAATTGCATAAATGTAATGTATGATTTTGGGAAGTCAGAAAAAAATTAAAAAGCCCACGGGAAAATCTAAAAAATTATATATATAATATATATCCGTGTATAATATTTATTATTAACATGCAATTTTGAGTTGGTTTCACATACTCGCACTTGAATTAAATTTTCGAGTGCTATATACTCTACATTATGTAAATATTATACACAGTTATACAGAATTATGGGGTTAACCACGCTGTGACACAATTATTATGTCACAGTCACAGCACAGGTACAACCTATACGGTATTATTATTATTTTTGAAATCTTCAAGGATAGGTTTACGTACAGTCGCATGTACGGGTTTAAAAATGTGCTCTTTTTAGTTTCAAAAATAACTTCAAGTAGAGAAACTAATATTTCACATCGAGTATATGATAAATTTAAGTTTATTTTTAACGAGAATTTTCATATTATTTTAAAAAACCAACATATTTTAATTTAGTTCTATAATATTAACCGTTCCCTTCTTAAATTATCATATTATTTCCAAAAAAATCAAACGCGAAAAACGTGAATATTATAAATTTTTCATATTCACTTATTATTTCAAAATCGTTCGTGGATTTTCTATGGGCGACACTGTTTTGGAAATGATATCCAAATAATATTATTTGAAGTACTTCTGTGTGACTTGGACGTTAACAAAACCAACGAACAGTAAAACTAAAGCTTTAGAAATATGGTTACATCACCAAATTTCAAATATCTCACGGATGTAGTGTATATTCAACTTAAGTGTATTCATAGGTGGAAATCGAGGGGGTATTTAGTGGGTCTTAACCCCTCCGAATATTTTAATGGACCCCCGAAAATCGAAACTTTATTCGAAATGTTATTATTACTGTTAGATATTTGTTTTAATAATTATTACCGAATTGGCATCGAAACTGTGAAGTTGTAAAAAAAAGTTTTAAAGTAATAGTTCTAGCACTAGAAGAAGGTTAAGCGTAACATCAAGTGAATTATGTTACATGCATTATTCATCGACGAAAAAACATAATTTCTGATTTCTGACATACAAAACGGATATGAACGCTAAGAAAAAAAAAGAGCTGATATTGCAAATGGATGTGTCACTGTTGTAGGTGGAAAGTTGGAAAGGTAGAATACATAAAGTTATTTAATGTATATCTGTAAGCAGTGTAAACCACTTCGGACGAAAAACGATTCGATGCAAAGTTCGGTCATACAAGTTTTGAATATTTATGATTTTCGTAAAAATTTCATATTAACTCTTATATAATACAAAATATTATACATTACTATAATTCTACTTTTTTCGACCACTAAGTACAATTAATAATGATCTATAATGATTTATAATGATTCTCCTGTTTAATTTATAACCATTTTTGTTTAGTCAATCAATTTTATCCACAGAGTACTTATCAATTACAAATTGCGTAAACACTCGCGACCTTAAAATATCTGTAAATAACTCAAATGTTTTTTTAAAATTAGACCACGTCTAGAGGTAAATACAGATTTTCTCTCAAAACTTCAAGTCTCCACGAATATTTTTTACTGAATTACAATAAAAAACAAATTAAAAATAATAAAAACATTATTTTCGTAAATTACGTGTATACCACTATTTCTTAGTTTTTTTTTAGGGGGGGAGGGAAGGGGATTTCTTAATTAATAAAAAAAACTACAGACAAAACCAAAAAACGACTCTCTTATTCACCATTCATATTAAAAATTTTTGTCGTTTTTCTATTTGATTAATTTTTCTGGTAGAAAACATCGTGCGTACGAATTTTAAATAATGAAAACGTACACCGTAAATTTATTCGTTTTCATTTTTCGTCTTTTTCTGAGTTTTTCCAATTATTATGAAAATTGTTTGGAAAACTAAAAGAAAAAAGACATACATCATAATAAAATGAATGAGAATGTACACAAAATTTAATTTCGAAATTAATATATATTATTAATAAACACGGTGAAAATAAAATGCATAAGGCCGAAAAAAAATGTAAATCTATAAAAATCTTCATGCATTTATGTATAACCGTATGCATGCGTACAGGGGGTGCTGGGTGTGCTTGAGCACCTCCAGACATTTTAAAATTGGGGCCCTAAAATGTTAAATCCCAGAGCGTAGGGCCGGTATTTTAACCGATGTTACTAGAATAAAAAATAATATATTATTTTAATATATCCGGTAAAAGTTAATCATGTTTCGCGAAAAAAAAAAATAATATAACATAAAATATATTTAATTCGCTAGGAAAAACTTATCACAATTATAACAGCTAGATGTTGTTGTCTACCAAAGTACAAATAATAAACAAACATTGTAATTATCGTAGAAATAAATATTAGATTAAAGGAGCATTGTACATTTTAATAGTTGTTCGTGTAAACGGTTATTTTCAAAATTAAGTATCGTGAAAAGTTAATTAAGAAGTACCATGGCCCAAGATCATATGGAATCGTTAATTTTACTTTTCATGGAACAGGAAATAGTCTCTAATGTCGATGTAGATTTAGTTATTTATGTAAGAGGTGCATGTTATTATAAATTTGTCACTTTTGTATTAAATAAATAATTGAAATGATGTTTATGTGTTGTATGTTATTAAAATTTATCAAATATACGAGTATTGTCAGGAAAAATTCAGGTATTCGTAAGCTTACGCGTATAAAAAAACACTCACACTGTATTAATTTTAATGATCAATTAAATACTTAATAATAGATTACATTATAATATATTGTATTTGCTCAGACAACGATTTAGGTAATTTTTCAGGTCTATTCTCGGATAGTTTAAAATATATCGTTCGGCCGTTCCAATGGATTATTAGAATACTTATGGCGCATAATATATTAGTTTAAAAACCAAAAAAAAAAAAAAAACCTAAACAAATATGTACAATACTATCTGTGATATAGACACTTAGAATACTTGCCACAATTATTGGCACGAATCACTAAATTGTTTAAAAAATTCCTTTTGCTTATAAAGAAACTTGACGTTGTATTCTGTTCGTATGCACAATACACGAAATAAAGGAATTACTAATCGAAATAAACACAGTCGGTTTTAAAAATGTCACGAATACAACTGAGTAAAAACAGAATTCATATTTAAAAACAAAAATAATAATAATGTTTATGAAGGTACGACATTTCATGTTATATTATTAGATCCACGAATTATGCAAATAGTTTTTATATTTTTTTTATACTGGGAGGTAAGCCCAGTGTGGACAGTTTTGGTGTGTATCGTTTATAAAATTTATTTTTAAATAACTATTTAATCGAAAACTGTATTAATAATATTGAGCGTGCTTTTTACTATATGTAAACGAACACAAGGTTTATCAAATTGCATGTCACAGTCAAATTTTCAATAAAATACTTATATTTTAAAAATATTACTTATATAAAAAACTGGGTATTGCCAGTATCATTGAGAAAAAAAACAACGAAAAAGAGCCGATACTGGGGACGGGTACGGCCACTGTTGTAGGTGTGTAGTTGGGAAGGTGGAAAAAGAAGAAGAAGAAGATGAAGAAGAAGAAGAAGAAGAAATAAATAAGTAAATAAATAAATAAAAAGAACTAATACTGGAGATGGGTGCCGCCACTATAATAAAACATTGATAATGAAAAACAATTTAGAGCGAAGTTCGGTTATAAATATTTTAAAACGCTGTAATATAAACGGTTGTCGTCAAAATTTGATTTTAAAAATCTCATTAAAAAAATAAAAAAAAAAAAATACTAAATTGGACTATTCTTTTTTTTTACAACTTATAATGAACTTGCTATACAATTTTCCAGCGTTCCTATTACTGCTAACAATTTATTTACAGAGGGGTATCTACTACCTACCAAATAAAAATTACCGAAAAAACTCGCAAAATTAAAATATCTAAAAATTGCTCAAAAATTGCTTAAGTATTCTGGAAGTTTCACGACGCCAAAAAAAAAAAATATATAAGTTTTCAGTTAACATTTTAAGTTCCTACGAACATTTTAAACGGAATTAACTTAAAAAAATAAAATTAAAAACAATAATAAAATTACTTTCGTAAATTTCCCTGTTCTTTTTATACGTGTTTTCGGTTTTGCGCAATTATGAAAACTACAAAGAAAATTAAAAACCGTATTATGATATAGTGATTTTTTTATGACCAACTTGTTTAAAAAATTATTATAAAATACAAAATTCGAATACTATTTTAGATTCTAAGTGGAGCGAAGAAGCTGATAGTTATAAAATGTATTATACAGTTTTACTGTTATACTATTATACAGTTTATTTTTTTCTTTTCTGTGGACAATTTTTCTACCAAAAATGTTGCTCAGATTTTCAATAATAGCAATTTTTCTAAAAGAAAATCTGACTGGAGTAGTAGTTTAAGGAGGTAATTTTTTGGTTTTCTCTAGGAGTTTCCTAATAAATAGGAAAACCCGAGAAAAAACATAGGGAAACCGGGAAAAACGTAGTAAAAACGAAAAAATAGGTACAATATTAAACAGATATTATTATAGAAAATGTATAATTCATGTTTAATTATTTTACCATAATATGAAATATAATATATTATATTTTTAACAAAGTAACACTGTCAACTGAACTCCCCTCTGAATCGTTCTTACGTTAGCAATGGTTAATCATTGCAAGATCTCTTTATCGTAAGACACTAATTATTTTGGGGATTGTTAACTTTTTTCAGAATTTGTTTTATCGTTTTATTTTTTTTATTTGTTTTGTTAGAACATTTAAGAAACAATCCACTCTACAATTTTACACTTTTATTAATTTTGGAAACAAAATTACTACCCAATTTTGATTTTGGTTTTCAAACAGAAATTCATGTTAACATTTCTATAAATATATGGAGAATTAGCTGAAATAAATTTCGTTGCTGAATTGTTTCGTTTCCGTCAATCCGTTGACGAGATATTCCACTTTTACGTTTTCGTCGGGGAAGAGTAGTGATGCATTATTTAAACGCCACGCGCTTTGCCGTCACACAAATGATGCTCCACTACTCTCCCCTGACCCAAACTTAAAAGTGGAATATCTTGTTTTATTTTTTACCCCCAAAAACAATAGTGAAAAATAATATCATAGATGTAAAATAGTAAAGCTACTTGTTTTCTTAATGTTCTATAAGACAAATTCCGAAAAATGTTAATACTTTCCGAGATGAGTGTCTTACGATAAATTGATCAATTTGTATAAAACGAGATGATGTAGAGTTGTAAAATATACACACAATTTAGATACTATGAAACTATCGAAATTTAACTGATCAAATGTACGAATACAGAATGATTTTTTTCTCGTGAACACGCAATTATCAGGATTTTAAGTGAATTTGATTACTGTTTGTTTTTTCAAATAGGAAACATCCTTTTTGGACATAGATAAGAGTAAATATTATAGATGGATATTTTTGAGAAATTTCGGTATGCATAACACTAATATTAGGTTTACTAATCTGTATCCAAAGAGGGGGTTTTTATTTGAAAAACAAAAGTATGCACTTATTTTAGATATATGGATAAAAAATTAAATGGTTTTTGAATAAAGTTAAACGATTCCACGAGATTAAAAAAAAACAAAAACAAAAATCAAATGCACTTAAAATCCTCCGAAATTTTTGCTGGGGAATGATAAAAAAATCACTCTGTATAATATTCTATAAAACATCATTTGACTGAAAAAAAAATAATTTCTGAAAATAATAATGAAATACTATGTAATATTATGCATTTCGTTAGAATTCTTATGATGCTTGTTGCACATTTAATTTTGTGTTCGCTGAATAGGTAAGATATTTGTATACGATTTATTTTACTAACATAGCTTAGCTACAGTGATATAAAGGCGCCGTTAAGTCAAATGCCATCGGTTCTTTCGAAAAGTTTTCTAATTTTCACCGTTTTTATATAGGTCTATGTACGCAAAACCGTGAAGTTGACTATTGATTTTTAGACAACAACTTTTAATTATAATTTTAAAATTTTAAAACTATTCGATTAAAACTTTCGGTGTACAAATAAATTGATTTCTACAGAATTTATTGTTCATATTATATAAATAACGTTATAATTATTGAAATTTCGATTTTACCGGAGAGAATTCTAAAAATAGACGAGTTATACATTTTTTTTTTTTTGTAATATTTGTTTCTTATTAATTCAATTAAAATTGTAAAATAATAATTTATTACTAATTTGTTTGTTTAAATATCATAATAATGATGATTGTTAGTCGATAAACCGTTAAAAATTTGCATAACTAAATTATCATGAATGCATAATAAAATAATAATAATTCTAATAAAACACAAGCTCACAATTTACTGATTACCTATTACAAGTTTTTCTATGGCCAAATACATGCAGTGTAGTATTAATTATTATTATTATTGTTTAATTTCATTCGGTCTCTATAAGATATTCCGTCTGGTAACCATTCCTTCAGTTATCTGTATCCAGAAACTGATTATCTGAAATGGTAGTCAAGTGCACAATCCAATTCGGGGAGTGATATTGCATATAGATGGAGATGATACACTCGTAATAAAACAACAGACATCAGATATCAAAAAATAACCAACAAATGTAAAGATTAAAAGATCTAACGTCAATTACCATGTATGTAATCAACATAATGTAAGACATTCATTAACTCGGAAAATTTTAACTTTTTCGGAATTTACTTTTAAGAATATTTTGGAAATAGGTCTAAAATATTACAATACTCTGTTTCTTTGTTGTCCTTATTTTAAGGAATGAAACAACTAACTACTTTTTATTTTCTAATAGCAAATTTTATAAACAAAAGAGCTGATATTGTCACTGATAACGGCTGTTGTTGTAGATGGATAGTGAAGAAGTTGGGATACATAAAGTTATTTAATTGATACCTATAACTAACAATAAACCATTAATAACGAAAACGATTCAGAGCGAAGTTCGGTTATGCATGTTTTGAAAGGCCGTAATATTTACGAGTTTCGTCAAAATTTGGTATTAAAATTCCTTTATAAAATATACTACATCAAACTCAATTTTTTTTTACCACAATGTACGACATTTAAGAAATAACCTGTTCAAATTTTTTAAACATTTTACCTCGTCTAGAAACAGCAAATATAAGTTTTCCGTCCAAATTTGAAGTCCATAGAGTCGATACAAACATTTTTAACTGACATTCTATGAATATATTAAACTAAATTTCATTAAAAAAATGAAACTGAAAAATAATAAAATAATTATTATTGTTTATTTCCCCGTACTTTCTGAATTTTTGTTCGGTTGTGCTCAGTTATTAAAAAAAACTACAAAGAAAATCAAAAATCTACTTTCTTGTTCACCAATAAGATTATAAATTCAACGAAAAAGATTTCTTGATGTTTTTTAATAGAAACAATATTTATGATAGAAAACATAAGCCGTAAAAGTTAAAAATAATAAAATCGTAACGCCACAAATTTGTCAGTTTTAATTTTACATTTTTTTCTAATTATTAAAAAAACTACAATGAAAACCAAATATAAAATAAATTACTCATGAACTGAATTAAAAATTCAACAAAATGTCTCTTGTCATTTATCTATTTGAGCAATATTTATGGTAAAAAACATAAGCCGTACAAATTAAAATTTAAAATAATGAAATTCCCCAAGTTAGAGGGTTTCCACACTGATGGGCTTCCCTCCTCACGTTACCTCATGTTGAAATAATTGCATATGCATTATATATTTTCTTTGATAATATTTTTTTAATATCGTAAAATTCCTGATTTCTGGGAAAAGAAGGGAATTTAAATACCACTGATTGACTCGCAAAGTAGAATATTGTACCTATTTTCTTGTTTTTCCTATGTTTTTCCCTTTTTTCCCCTTTTATTATAAAAATAGCTGGGGGAATCAAAATATAACCTTCTTAAAATATCATTGCAGTCAGATATATTTTCAGAAAAAATGTATATTCTTGAAAATTGGAGTAAAATGGAAAAAACACATCTATCAATAAAACTATCAACAACTCTTCGATATTACACTATAAATCTAAAATTAACAATAATAATAAAAAGAAAAAAAATTTAAAACTAGAATATTCCTCGATGGTTATTTCAATACTATTGTTCCTTTAGGGTTTATACTTTAGATACACACATCTTAAATAATAAATGTTTACCTTTTATTTTTGTTTACGAAAAAGTTGATCAAATATTATTTGTATATGTCACCGCAAATGGTTATAATTCCTAGGAATTGGTGATCATTCCTATAATATAATGTTATGAAATGATATCATTGCCTAGTAAATGTAACCTATCACTTTTGTGGTTGATTAGGCGATGTTATCGGGTATCAATTCCTACTCTTAATCTAAAAAGGTTCAATTGAAAATATAAAACATACGAAGATTTTCTCTGTAAAAAGATACTAAATGTTGAAGTCTTTTATTTGGTGAAATAATTTTTGGGTTAAGACTATTAGAGCATGCAAGGTGCAGAGTCAGGTGAAAACACCGAATCCGAATTTTGTTATTTTTAATCCTAATTGACTAATCGGTAGACCTAACTGTTAGTATTTTAATTGGCAATATTTGTAAAACTTTCTAATATTATAATCGTATTATAATAATTAACAATTAATAAAACAAAATGCTTTTTAAATTTTACGTGTACATTTTTTATTGTATTTGTATCATAATTACTGTGATTGTTTTCGTTTATATACCATTTTACTGTAAAAACCGTTTAGTTTCAATTAAAAATAATAATAATAATAATAATACAATAATAATAAAATGATAAGAAATTATTATGTTATAAATTATAGTAATTACATGTTGGGGGTCCATGAATAATAAGAAAATTATAAGTAAAACAGAAAATATTAACGACGCGCAACGACATGGCGTTACCGTTTTCATTGTTTTTATCATGTTTACACGATGTTTACTTCTAAAAATAATGCTCCAATCTAAAGATGACAAGAGATCGATTTTTTTTCTTGGATCGAAAGTCTGATGGGCACGGATTCATTTTCCGTTAAATTGAAAGACAAGTCGTTGCATGTAAACACAGGTTCGGTGCATTATACAACTTTTCGTCATCTTTCTTTTTGTATGGCGTTACCAGTTCCAACAATCAATTGTAAGTCGTAGCATTCATACGCAAATAATGACACCAGTCATTATCATCATTCTTCATTAATATAACAGATTCAATAATCAATTATTTTAGTAAATTGTCACGGAAGTACTGAGTTCTTTTTAAAAGCCATTTCCTTGACCGCTTTCTTCTCTTTACCTTCCTTTTTCCCATAAGCTGATGTACCCGTAATATAACGATATTATGGTAAAAAACCACAGCAGTACTTCTTCCATATCGTTAAAAGTCACTAAAAAAAACTGAACATAAGATTATTCTTTTATAGCACTGAACATTAACTGAAGAAAAATACAGTTGATACTGAGATGGAAAATTGAGTAATAAACGGAACGTGTAGATATTATAAAATTTACATTATTTTGTCCGTTTTTAACCCTACTATACATGATGTTGCCTACCGGTAGTATTGTAAAAAATTACTTATCTGAATAGGATTTAAAAAAAAAAAAATAAATATTTTTCCTGTAAATAAGTGGTCAATGGACAAAAAAAAAATAAAATAAAAAAGTCATGCATTGTAGGGTTAATATCCGATAAACCGTACAATAAGTAATTGCGTGTAAACCGGCCTGAATACTTTTCCATTGATAGAATAAGTCGTTCTTTGATATCAAAAGTAGTTTTTCGAATAAATGGGAAAAAACCAAAGAATTAAAATTAATTAATGTTTATAGCAACGTAGCGTCCTGGTTTAATTATTTTAATATGTTCAACTTATGTTTTATACCAGACATGTTGCTCCAATAGAAATACGGCATCAACCTCTTTTGTTGTATTCTCAGTCAATAAAAATGCTTGACAATTTAACGGAGGTTCATTATGAATTGTACTAAGTGGTCAATGAAAACAATTTTTGTTTAATGTGTATTGATTTTTTTTTTTTTAGTAAGAATTTTAATGATAAATTTTGACGAAAATCGTAAGTATTACGGACTTTCAAAACATATATAACCGAAATTAGCTCCGAATCGGTTATCGTTATCAATATTTTAATTTCAGTTACAGGTATAAATTAAATAACTTTATGTATCCAATCTTCCCCACTGCCTACCTAGAACAGTGGCCACACCCGTTCCTAGTATTAACTCTTTTTCATATTTAAATTACAAATATAAGATTATGTAATTAAACTCGTCTAGATTCTCGAGAAGATGCAACAAAAATTTCGTTTTCAATAGCATTCTGTCACGAGATAATTAATTAATTCTAACGTAAATATTCAGCGATTTTAATTCTTTGGAGGGATTATTATTATTTTATAAAATACAACGGTGAAAATGTTATCGCAAAAAAGGATTCACCTACGTTGTCATTAATTCACTACCTACCTATACTAAAAACTAATAAATAATAACATTATATATATGACGTACTATTATTTCGGATTCAAATAGCAAAGCGATTAATGAATGAATGTTCAACTAGGATGCATGTGATATATCTTTGTATTTTTAGATTCAAAGCGTAGCAAGATGTTATCGGCCGTACTTGTTGGTAAATACCGAAAAAGTCCAAAATTAATTCGCGGTCTAAAACGCCAAAGTTTTCCATTTCAGCATTGTAACTAATGATCGGTACAGCTAAATTAATGTAACTCGAAACTTTTGGACCATTTATGCATTTACAAAAATCTAATCGATAAAATATAAAATATTATGATTCTAATATTATAATGTCTCAACAAACAATAACGGACGTGTTGTTTTATTATATCATTACGATCATGTCGATTAGAGGCTTGATAGAGAATTTTTTTTATTTTTCTTATTTTTCTTTTCTTTTGTGTAGGTCCTTTGCGAAAACTTAACAAAAATGTTTAAGTTACCGGAGCTTAAACTCACTGGCAGAATGACACCCATGCCTTTTTTGTCACCATTATACTAATTACTTAGACATGATTTTGAGGACTACAAAATCGTTAATTTGGTCTAAGCCATTCCTTGTTCTCTCTTATTTATGCCGGTGAGCCTGTGTCCTAACCTAACTCAAACTTATTTTGGATGGTTAGCAAAATTTGAAATATCAAAACTCGGAAAGGAATAATTTGGTAAATAACAATATTTACGTCATTACGTTTTCCAGGTTCTTTCGCGTTTTCTTTGTCATGGATTTTGAGAATGACTTTATAACAATATTATATATAATGTGTCTCTCCATGTTTGACGGATTTTTCTAGTGCTGTTAATATTAAAATTGTTTCGATTTTTTTTTTTTTTTTTTCAATCGGTTTGTCTTTGAGGGAGATATCGATTTGGAGACAAATTAAATTTTATTTCCATCCTCTAAAGACAAAAAAAAAAAAAAAAATGTTTTTATTTATTCATTTTAGAAAATATTCAAAATAACTATTTTGTAAAAAATATTATTCTAAAAATGTTAATGTTTTATACATTTAATATTCCATTATAATAGTTTCTTTACTATAGCCGTTTTAATTTCTAGAAAATAGGCGTGAAAAAAATTAATATTCAATAGTAGGTAAAGAATTGTTTCTCTGCTGATTATAATAAATTCCTTATCGCATAACGAGTTATTTTATTGATAGTTAATTATTTTCACACCTAATTAAAACGGCTATAACTAAGAAATTATTAATCGGATATAAATGTATGATACATTACATTTTTTAGAATAATATATTTTACAAAATGGCCATTTTGAAATTTTTTTTTTGTGAATAAATAAATTTATTTTTTTTTTTTTTTTTAGGGGATGAAAATAAAATATAATTTGTCTCCAAATCGATGTCTCCCTCTCGAAAACAAATCGATTGAAAAAAAAAATCAAAACAAATTTAATACTAACAGCGCCAAAAAAATCCGTCCAACACGGAATGGAACTTACTGTATATATTTTATTCGTGATACGGAAAACCAAATTTTTACTATCGATTCATTCGATGATTGATCGCATTCAGTTCGAATGGGTTAACAACTATTCGGTTAAGAACCAATTATTCGATAGTTCATTAAAACAAAACAAATGTATCGATAATTTTTTGATAGTAATTTTTTGAAGTGCTCATGACCGTGATTTTTATACTACAGTGGATTTAAACGGTTTGAAGTAATAACAGTTCATCACTCCATAGAAGAGGGATGTTGGTGAACGATGGTATTAAGTATAGAATATTGCTGGGCCTCATACAAAAAAAAAAATACTTTATACGTCACTGCAGGTGTCAAATGCCAATAGAATATAGTGTTTAAGCCGGTTACGAAAATAAACTACCAGGCTAGTAGTTGTTTCATGTTGAATATATGGTAATACCAGGTATTCTTGATTTATTATTACTATAGGACTGTGAATATTTCGTTAATTTACATATAAACTCACTTATAACTTATGTATTGAAATTAAAAAAAAAAAATACTTCGGACGCGGAAAAACGGTAGTGGATTTACAGGGATGGAACACCAAATACAATTGCCATATACTAAAATTAAAGTAGTATATAATATTTGTATTTTTTTTTAATGGTTTTTTTTTATTATTATTATTATTATTATTGTAGGTCATGGACGTAGTATATTTTTATTATATAAAAATAAACATAAAATAATAATATTATTCTTAATCCTTAAATTTTACGAACTATCGAGAATTACAATAGTTTTGTAATCTGCACGTACCGTTTTCGTCAGCGTATACGTATATTATACTTACATAGGCAAAGTTAGGATATGTTAAGTCACTGAGACTCAAGCCCCCGTACCCGACCGCCAAAATATCTTTTCCAATATTTTTGAAAACAACCCTATTGGAGTATCAGGCGCACGTTTACAGAGGCTAAGCTCCCAAGTCCTAGTTACATCGGCACATATTTATAAAATGAGCTTCTGAACTTTATTCGTCGGATAAGCCTGCAGCCCTCGTCCCAGTTCTAAAATGGGAGGGGGCCCATTCTTAGGTATTATTTATGATGACGTGTCGATAACCATCAAATTGTTATGATATCGGCTAAAACTACAAGAAACCGAAAAACCCAATTAATAAAAATATGTATTCTACGACGTTACGTTAATAATATAACCTATCAAAGGCAATCGCAGGCAAAAATGTAGGGATTGAATGATAAGTGCGTTCGCGACTGCACTTATACGAGTCCCGTGTCAATCGCGTCTTACCTTTGCCATCGGCAGTTTGACGAGACTACGGTGTCCCCGAACCGCGGTGCACGTGTTTTCCGATTTTCTGTTGTTAACTATTTGGCACGGACGGACTACGGCGACGGTGACAGAGTTTAGCAACAGCATTAGCGGCATTTCCCTGGGAAAGCCCCCGTCGAAAGGTCGATACGATACGATTGGCCCGGTGCAAATTTATTCGAGTACGTTTATATTGTTTACTCGCGGACTCCGGTATCCGCCCGTTTATTAATATACCGCGTCGAGTCGCGTACTGAACAATACCGCACGTATATCCGTGTGGCGGCCGCCGCAGCAGACGAACGAGCGTGTACCGCGGGGTGGTTTTGCGCGTTAATAATTCCGTACGTGCAATAATAACTACGGCGATTTGACGAAGAAAAAATTTAAAAAAAAAAAAAAAAAAAAAAAAATGATTATAATAAATTTTCTTTTCGTCCGTCGGCGTTTACACGCGTAATTTTATGTGGCGATCGTGTCGAAACGCGGGGACACGTGGACACACGGCGAGCGTCGGGCGTCGGTCGCCGGGTACGTTTTGCTACTGATGATGATCTTCGTAGCCTCTCCGTACTCTCCGATAGCGCGTTTCGCTCGGCGACCGGTGTGCGCGCGCGCCCGTCGGCCGTTGTTCACGCGCTCGATGTTTTGGCCAGCATGAGTGAAGAAAAATAATAATAAAAAAAAAAAAACAAATCGTTCACCCGTACCACGCTTACGTGTATTTGAATAACATGTACGTGTGTGATCGAAAAAAAAAAAAAATAATAAAAACAATAATTACAACCGAGAGCAAAAATTGCAATGAATTAATGAATAGGCGTGTTTCGGCGATACGGTGTTTTCGGTAAACGATTCGCCGCGTGGTTCGCTGCATCGCCAAAACGTTTTGTTTACTGTACAGTAATTTGGGTCCATTTTTACTTTTTTTCAGTCGTTTTACGGAATCCGGCATACCGGCTGTCGAAAAATGGTCATTCAGTAGTCATCGAACAATAATAATATTGCAGTAAGCGATTTGTTCGCTTAATTATTTGTACCTATCCATCTGGTCGTTCAAAACTGCGTCGCCAAAACTAGGGCTGGGTTAAGCACAGAACCCATAGAACTCCATTATTCCGAGACCTGAAATATTAAAAGTGCCTTTTTTCTCGGAAATTTGTTTGAAAATCAATGAAAATTTGTAAATATACATTTTATTTTTATTCGACTCGATGACAATTTATATAATATTTGCATCTTTAACTTAGCCAGTAGACACAGTAAAGAGATTGTTCTGTTAAAAAAACTAATAACTGCAGATGAAATTGTCGTGGAGTTACAAAATTGAAAAGAAACGCTACTTAATAAGTATACAAATAAAATGTATACAGTTGAACGACACGTAATATATTAAACATTTTTAAACGATCATATTTATATCATTTATTTTTTAGTTAGGTGAAATTGAGTTGTTGGTGATAAATAGTCTGAACCTTTATTATTATTGAGCTGACATGCTTTAATAATAATTCACAGGGAATTCCGATCGCCGGACGCTTCTAAAGTGCACTCCTCCACCTTGGGCTATACACAACTTACCTGAATGATGATTTCGACTACCTCTTTCGCTTCTTTTTTTCTCCACTCGCAGTATTCCGAGTGACTTATATTCTGACACGAAAAAATCCTATATATACCTAAACCCTATGTAAGACGAAAATCTGACACTTGAAATGACTATTTTTCTATTCTACATTTTAGATTCTGAATGTAGCGAAGAATATATTGATTTTACAAAGATATTTATTTATTTTTATTTTTTTCACTGTGTATAGGTACAAAAATTATACCAGATGTATATGATGTAGACCCTCTTCTAAAAAGAAATTTTCTTTGGATGGTACTTTAAGGAAAGGTAATTTTTGATTTTCTCCGCAGTTATCTAAATTAAAAGGAAAAGAGTAGGGGAAATGTAAGAAAAACGGGAAATGTACGAAAATATTGCTATACAAATTTTTTCAATATTGTTATTTTTTGTAATTCAGTTGAAAATATTCATAGAGATTTAAAATTTGGACGGAAAATATTTACTTTTTTTGACGTAGTCATATTTTCAAAAAATTTAAACCAGTTTTAGACATTTTAATTTTGAGAGCTTTGTACGTAATATTTATATTCGATAGGTACTCTGTGTTAAAATGATTAGAGTTAACAGAAATACTTGAAAATTTAACAAGAGGTTCATTAAAAGTTTTACTTTGTAGTAAAAAAAAAAAAAAAATGAGTTTAATATAGTATTTTTTTTTTATAAAGAAATTTTAATATCAAATTTCTCTAATAATTCTGTATTGTCTAGTTCACTATATGTTTGTCGTAGCCTAATTATCATAGATACCTATACCTATTGTTCTCCTAGGGGCTGTGGATCAAACCGGATTTTGAAAAAAATTGTTTGCCTTTTTCCCCCTTTTTACCTAAACAGGGAAAAACTAATGCATTTTAGGTGTACCTAGAAACCCAGCTATTACGCGCTCAGACTATTTTAACCGAAAAATATTCCTCGATTTGCTGTGTAAACTTTTCTATCAGAAATGTTGCTCCGCTTTTAAATTGTAGAACTTTTTCTGAAGGAATTTGGACTGAAGAGGTACTTAAGGGAGGTCATCTTTCGATTTGACCAGAAGTTTTCCCAGCAAATTTGAAAAATCGGGGAAAAAAACACGTGAAAAACCGAGAAAAAATGAGAAAATCAGTAAAATATTATGCAAATATTAAAGAAAATATATAATGCCTATTTAATTATTTTACTATATGACATACATATTGCTGACAAAGCATAAACATCAACTGAACTCCGCTAAGAATCATTTTTAGTAAACAATGATTTATCGTTGTTTACAGATACAATTTAATTTCTCTCCTATATCCTACGTTCCCAATTTCTCACCAACAACAGTAGCTGCACCCCATTGTACGAAGTATGTCCGTTTTTTACAATTATTATGTCTCTTTGCTACAATTAAAATATTATACGGGGGACCATTGTTGACTATATTATATTTGTGGGTGTTTTCAAAATATTTTTTGAGTGAAAATTACTCTACTTATATGTTTATAACAAAACAATATTTTTATTCCGCGTATTTCCGTTTTTAGAACGCGTTGTTTTTTCCTCGGAAAATTATGTGGTTTTTATTATACACGAAAGAGATTTTTTATATCTGATAAAAATCATTATTGGCTATTTTTCTTATTTTTTTATAAAGTATTTTCTGATAGTCTTTATGGTGTATAGAAATATTAATAACGTACAGGACTGAATCGCATAATTGCATCAAATACGCGATTTTCGGGCCCTGCCCCGTCTCCACTATCGCCGTACTTTATCGTATAAATGTATTTATACGATTTTCATATTTTTATACTTGTATTATACATATATATATATATTCTGTGCGTACAAAGGATTACTATATTTAAAATCTCGTCTCTATAGAAACGACTCCGGGCTCATAGAAGTTATTTGGCTCGAATTCAAGCAGTTCCCGTTCTTCCGGTACCTATACAATATTATAGCAGTACATGCTGCTGCAATGGTGTAAACGGACGGGAGCCGCCGCCCTCGAGTAACATTGAAGAATAAAATCGGCAGCCAGGTCTGTATGTATGTAGATAGGTATAAGTACGAGTCTGTAAAGTCGGCGAAAGCTGTTTTATATCTTGTTCAACCGGATATAACCCTCTGTGGCCTATACAGGGGGATTCACTAAGCGTTAGTTAGGGGTGCTCAACCTATTTTTTTGGTTACATTTTGCATATATTCAAATTCTGATTTTTGAAATTTTCAAGTATGGTTAAAACCGATATTTTTAAGTACTTAGATTTTTTACAATATTTAAAGAGTATCCTGTGGTAATACCAACTTTGGTTTTTCAAATTAAAAATTCCATAAATAGAAATTTTAGAAGCTTTAAATAAATATTGGTGTTTAAATTTTAAATTTCCTTCAAATCGTTGAAAATATATTTCACTTACAAGTATTGGTAGGAGACGAGTAACCGTGCTGACACATAAATTATACTTCACTACTATTCCCCAATTTAAATTTAAAAGTGTGGAACATCTCATTAACGGGTTGATGGAAATCAAAAATGTCGACATCAAAATGTATTTAAAGTAATATTCCGTCTATTTATGGAATTTTCAATATAGGTTCTCATTTGAAAAATCAAAGTTGGTACCACCACATGGTACTCCTAAAATATTGAGAAAATATAAGTATTCGAAAATATTACTACACTTAAAAATTCCAAAAATCAAATTTTGAATATATTATTCAGAATCCAACCAAAATAATGAGTTGAGCACGTTTAGTGAATCACTCTGTATACAGTGTGTCCCTGCATCTTCAACGGATTTTTCTAGCGCTATTAATATTAAATTTATTTCGATTTGTTATTTCAATCGGTTTATCTTCGAGGGGGGCATCGATTTGGAGACAAATTAAATTTTATTTCCATCCTCTAAAAAAAAAAAAAAAACAAATTACTTTATTTATTAACTTTAGAAAATATTCAAAATAACTATTTTGTAAAAAATTGTATTGTTTTATACATTCATATTCCTTTATAATCGTTTCTTAACTGTAACCGTTTTAATTTCTAGAAAATTGGCGAGAAAACAATTAATATTCAATAAAAGGTAAAGTATTATTTCTCTTCTGATTATAATAAATTCCTTATCGCATAACGTGTTATTTTGTTGATAATTAATTGTTTCCACGCCTAATTAAAACGGTTATAATTAAGAAATTATTAATTGGATAGGAATGTATGATACATTAAATTTTTTAGAATAGTATTTTTTACAAAATGGCTATTTTGAAAATTTTTTTGTTGTTTAAGGGATGAAAATAAAAATTTAATTTTTCTCCAAATCGATGTCTCCCACTCGAAGACAAATCTATTAAAAAAAAAAATCGGAACAAATTTAAGTGTAACAGCGTTAGAAAATTTCGTCAACAATAATGGGACACATTGTATAGATTATTTAATATGTATACTTACTTACTTACCCAGTGGTACAACCAGGATTCATTATCCAGGGATGAGGGAAATTATGAATTTAAAACAAATTTTTAGGCAGGTTTTCAGGATTATAAATTACTTAAACTATTAGAGTCGTAATACTCCATATTACCTATTGTACCTATACTGAAAATTACAAGAAAAATGTCTGTAGTTGCAGCAAAATATTATAAAAGTATATATATATATATAATACTTAAATTTCGCAAATTATTTAAAATCTCTTATTTGAGGGGTTGGGTGTTAACTACCAAATCTTCTATCGTAAGGTTGTTCCACGGTATCACACACATAGTAAAATTACATTT